TTATTGTGGTTTTTTTTATCCTGGGCAATAGACAAAAAGGATGTGGTGGGCCATGCTTGGGAGGATTCCAGCGATTGTGCGGTGTGAGTCGCCGCGTTGTGGCCTTTTTACGACCGAGATGACGGATTTATGATGCTTGATGAACTGTCTGCATTGGTAGCATGCTGTGGCTTAATAACATTATTGTGTTGCACGCGAGTTTGGCTGTGATGAAGGGGTACTGAAGTCGTCGGCGTGCAGTGTGCGGCGTTATGTGTTTGAGGCCAGCGGCGCCGAAAGCAAACACACGTCACTGTTTTACGTGACGACGACTAGTACGGTTATTCTCTTTAATATATATATCAAGTTTTTTTTTCAACGCAGATAGTAGTACTAGCATCATGCAATAAGTATTGGAGTTTTAAAAAAAGAAAAAAAGTTCCTTAGACCCAGGAAAAGAACACGACAAGCAGGAACTACTCCGGGATATGCGCACTCCAGTTCAGGCCGCGCTTGGTAAACCGTGCACACGAGCCAGATACCCGACAAAACCCCGACGTGGTGCCACTATTTTGAACCAAAAAAAAACATATAACACCAGGTATTCGCTGGTCGTCACCGACCCAACTACTAATCTGGCGCTCGCCAGTTTGTCGTACGAGATCGGACGGGATCGTGATTTTTGCTGGCGGCTGTGGTCATATGTACCTGTTCCGCTACAGATTTTACTTATAAACCTGGTAGTAGAGCAAAACAGAAAAAGGACAACCAAGAGAGGCACAAATACGAGCGGCACCAGCTTGATCTCGACGGCGGCTAGCAAGGACAGCCTCGGCTCACGTCTTGCCGCTGCTCTCGATGCGTATTCCAGGCGGCCATGGAAAAGGAAATTGTGCCGCCGCCCAAAGATTCAGGTTCCGGCGACAAAATTGTCTTCCCAGACATTAATATAATCCGCCCTACGGAGTACTAAAAACCAGTAAACGTATTCGCCAAGTCTCTGATCCAGAGAGTATTCGGAGTCTCGGCGTAAGAGTGGTCCTTTTTGTTTGTATCCAGTAGCTGACTTGCTAGTGCTAATAAGCCATCACCGTGTTAATGGGCCGAGCAGAGCCGGGTATAGGTGTGGATTTTACATCTTTGTCGTCTTCAGGAGTGTCTAGCAAGAAAACGGCACACTCAGCCAAGCCGTGGGCGACGAAGTGAAAGGCAAAAATACATCAATTCGCACGAAAACAAGAATGCCATTTTTGACTCCTGTGCCATACATTAAACTCTAAAAAACTCAATCACATCATTTGGACCCCTTGTTCGACTTGGCATTACTCCTGGGATCCAAGCCCCGTCTGCGCATGGCGTTTCTCCGCCCCTTCTCCATGTACTCGTTGTCCTCGTCCTCGTCCCAGCCGCCGAAATCGTCGTCCTTGCCGGCGTCCTCGTCATCCGCAGGAATGGGCGTCCTGTCAACAACGTCCTCGGCGTCGCGTGCGGCGCGCGTGTTATCCCGGGGCGCCTGGGCGGGCGTGGGACCAATCTTCTTAAACTTGGCGACGTAGAAGCCGTCGACGTTGTACGCGTGCGGGTAGTACCTCCTTGTGAGGCGGAGGCTGGGGTCAAACTTCTTGCCCATGAAGCTTGTGAATCCTTCCTTGCCAAATGCCAGCCCCGTGTCGACGAGCTTGACGTTGGGCCTGCGCCTGAGCGCGTACTGGACGACCTGTTCGTTTTCTTCAATAGTCACCGAGCACGTCGAGTAGACAATGTACCCGCCCGACTTGCTGGAGTGGTTGACCGAGTCAATGGCCGCGAGGAGCAGCTGCTTCTGCGTGTGCGGGAGCTGCATGAAGTCGAGCTCCGTCTTGTTGGTCTTGACGCTGGGGTCCTTGGCGATGACGCCTGTTCCGGAGCAGGGGGCGTCGAGGAGGACGCGGTCAAACCCGCCCATGGGCTTGGGGAATTCGCGGGCGTCGTAGTTGGAGACGATGACGTTGCGGGCGCCGAGGCGGTGAATGTTGCCAATGAGACCCTTTGCACGGGCCTTGTTGGGGTCGTTGGCGATGATGACGCCCGTGTTCTTCATCATGGCCGCCATGTAGGTTGTCTTGCCACCGGGGGCGGCGGCCATGTCGAGCACGCGCTCGTTTTCCTGGGGATCAAGCGCCATGCAGGGCAAAAAGGACGAGGCAGCCTGCAGGATGTAGTGGCCGGCGAGGTACTCGGGTGTGGCACCGAGGGGCACGCTGCTCTCAAAGACTTGCAGGCCAACCTTGGACCACTTGCCGACCGGCTCGAGGGTCACGCCGCGGTTGATGAGAGCCTGCGCCAGGTCGCGGCGGTGGGTGCGGAGTGTGTTTGTACGGATGACGACGGGGCGCGCCGTCTCGTTGGCTTCGAAAAAGGCGAATGCCTCGCGGGGTGTGAAGAGGTTGTATAGCTTTTCGGCGAGATACTCGGAGTAGCCATAGTACGCGCACACATCCTTGATCAACTGCGCGGTGTACTCGGATCGCGAGCGCCCATCCTCGGCAAGGTTGGCAAAGTCGTCGAGCACGCGGATGTTTTCGGTGATTCTCGTCCGGAGCAGCTGCAGATCCGGGGCGAGGAGGGCACTTGTCTTGGCGGACAGCTCGTCGTCCTCGTCGTCAATAATGTGCGGTTTGTCGCCGTCAATGTTGGTTTGCAGTGCGCTCTCAGCCATCTCTGCCGCGTTGGCAGCCGCTTCCTCGGCCAGCTTGCGGTCCAGTTTCCTCGAGAGTCCGTCGATATTGGCGGCCGTGAGCTTCTCCTCTGCGTCGGACTCGTCTTCATCTTCAGAAAATGTGGCCTTTTCGGCGTCATTCTCGTCGTCCGAGTCCAACACGGATGAATCCGAGCCCAAAAAGTCGTCGCCCAGCGTCGCGCCCTCGCCTTCTTCCTCTTCAAGGTCGGATAATTTCTCAATGTCCAACTCCGCGGCGTCAAACTCGTCGTCCTCGAGCTCAACGTCGCTGTCGTCCAGGCCTGGCATGACAGGCTTGGCTTTTGACTTGCTGCCGGGCTTTGGCTTTGCTGGCTTGTCGCCGTTGGATTTCTTGGGCGCGGCGGCCGCCTTCTTTACTGAGGCTCCATTTGCTTTGGGCTGTCCATTCTTCCCGGTTCGTCTTCTCTTGTTGTCAGGTGCTTCTGTACGAGTGTCGACTGGCAGACCAGCCTTGCGCTTCAGTTTTGCGTAGTGTGCTTCTGATAAGGGTTCAGGGGCACCCTGCTTTCTCTTCATCCGTCTTCCGGCGCCCATTTTGTGTGACTTTTGTTTTCTGTTTTTTAAAAAGTGTTGGGAAAGGAATTGGCCGTGCAAAGGAACGGCGACGGCTCAGTGCAGGTACAAGAACATGCGCGCCCCGCCCAACTTTTTTTTCTTCGAGACTACGATAAGATGGTCTTTGGCCGGTAAAACTTCGTATCGGGGAACCAGCCACGGCCACTGACTTTACTCATCAGGTTGGAGAGCAATTCTCATGTACAATTTAAATACGAATCAGTGCTTTGCTAATTATAGATGAGAAACAATTTCCATGCTTGTTCACGCTTGTTCAATGAAAAAAGAAAAAAAGAAAATGCAACTACCGCCAATACATGTCGTCGCTGGTTGTCGTCGACCGTCTTCCCAGCCCCACTGCTTACCTAACACGCCCCAAGCTCCCACCTCGACTACGCCAACACTCAGCTCGTGGCGCATCACCATTTATACGACTGTACAGAGCACCCCTCGCCCAGTTCGTTCAACTACCCCGAATCTACAGCAAGTCACGGAAACCACCCACCATGGCGGAAGCAGCATTCGCCAAAACGTTCCTCTCAACCCTCGACTCCCGCCCAATCAAGCTCTCCGCAGACCACGTCGAAGATGCCAAATCCTTTCCCCCGCGTCCGCCCGTACGTTGCCCTCTCCCTCCCCCCCTGGTCCCCCATTCCCGGCTAACAAGAGCAGTACATCCTCCCACGGATGCCCAGCCCCATGAGCAAGCCCAAGACCCTGCTCCCCGGCCAAGAGCGCAGCCTCACCGTGACCCTCAGGTCCCTGCGCAACCCGCCGCTGGACCTAAAGCTCACCTCGCAGCCGCTCAACACATCCATCCTCGACATCAAGACCAAGGTCGCACAACAGACGAGGATACCGGTCGAAAAGATGAAGATTCTGCACAACAAGCGGCCGCTGACGGACAGCAAAGTCCTCAAGGACGTGGCGGGCGCCGAGGAGCTGCGGGTCGACTTTTCCGTCATGGTGATGGGCGGCGCGGCGGCCATACAGCCCGAGAGCAGAGAGGAGGCGCCGGCCAAGGCCAGCGGGTGGGACGCGCTGACGACGGATGCCTTCTGGGACGATCTGAAGGGGTTCCTGCAGCAACGGCTCAAGGACGAGGCCGCAGCCGCCGAGTTGGGGACCTTGTTTCAGCGGAGCTGGGAGTCTAGTCGTTCCGGACCGTGACTTTGATTCCACTGCATGACCATATGATGGCCAAAACGGGGGGTAGTACATGTCGGTATTAAAACGTGTCAATACGATGAGCATGGAACGATACACACCAAGGCGCTGGGTTGCAATGACGTTGGGGCAAGCCAAGTCACCCATGATGCACATCCAGCGTGATTTCATTTCTGTCTTCCTATGGCGTTGATATCACCAAGACTCACACATCTAGCAGCTACGAGTCTCCACCGACATGAAGAATCCCAATGCATGGGTCACCATTGTATAAGTTGCATCCATCATGTTTAAAATCCTCCACCATCGCCGTCGTCTCTTTTCTTTTCGCGTCACAACTCGGGTTGGCTTTTTGTTTTCCTTTTCCAGTAGATGAAAGGGGCGGGTGAAATGGGTCGGTTAAAGATAAGCCATTTGGGTAGCAATGATTCTCAATTCATGCGCTCGTAAAAAGGCGGCGTGCCCAGAGACTTTTTTTCCCCTTCCTGCACGTTTGTTGTCACGTCGCAACATACAAAGAAAGATACAAGGCAAAAGAAAACACAACAAGACACCATGCTTAACCGGCAAGACCCTTGCTGACAGTCTTGACGATGGTGTCGTGCTCAATGTCATCGGCGTCATTGGCCTGCAGCTCAGTAGCAATTCCGGTGAGGGATCGCTTGAGGGCCTCCTTGGAGGAAGCGTAGATCATCTTGGGCTGCGTGGTCATGGTCGTCAGCTGGTGGCTCAGAGATGGGGTCGGGGATGGTGGCAGGTTACCTGAACGCCGGCATCATCGGGGGACCAGGCAATAAAGGTGATTTTGTTTCTGCAATCAGTTAGCGTGATTCTCACGATTGTAAACTTTTCCTGTTAAAAAAGAACAAAGCATACCGGACACCATCGCCGGTGGCCAGGCTGTACTCAAAATCGTAGACGGCGTATCGGCAGCCCTTTCCAACGACACCCTGGCAAAAGTTAGCGCACCATTTCATTGCAAAAGAGAGGCAACTCGAATCACCACTCACAGACTTGTTCTTGGTGGTAGACTTGATGAGCTTCTCTCGGAAGTTGTCCCAGTCCTTGTCGTCGGAAGCCTCCTCAATGACAATCTCCTTGAAGTCGTCCGAGAGCTTGAAGATGATGTACTTGTACTTCTTGGACAGCTTCAAGTCATTGTAGGCAGTTATGCATTCCTGCGAAACGGTCGCTCTACACGGGCGCCAAAGTTGTTAGCAGCAATTCCTACTGTCAATCGTGGCTCTTCCTTTGTGCGCAAACCCCCCTCCAAGGTCGGCGGGGCACACCATCGTCAGGGGGGGGGGGGGTGCGGGTGCCGCAGATTGCAGCAACGGCAAACTCGAAATTCAAGAAAAATATATCGAGGACAGTTACGAACCCGGATTGAGACTGGGAAGGGGAAAACAAAAAAGTCAGCAGCCAGTATCGCGCAGGGCCGTCGTGGCGGAAACTCACCATGATTGCGGTCAAGGTCAGGAGACGGGGTGCGCGAATGAGGGGCGGGGGAGGAAGGCTGAGGGAAAGAGCTCGTCAGCTTTTTGGCTTAACCAACAACAAAAACAAAGAGAGGGAAAAGAAGAGTGCGGCGACGGAGTTGCAGGCAACTACTCGAGTATTTAAGCCGCGGGGGGGAGGCAACTTGGGCTTACATCAGAAGAGCGACCAGGCAAATGTGCGGTGTCGCGATGCAAAGGCAAGGAGGGCGGATTTGTTTGTTGGAGGATAATGGCAGGAAAGTACGGGATGGGGACCAGAAGACCAAGGCGTGCGATGTTGCATGCTCGGGTGGAGGGGCCCAGAGCATGCGAGAAAAAACACCAGACCACATCATCATGGTGGGGTTGGCCGTGGGGTGGCCGTGCCTCCACGTGACTGGGCCAAGCTCCAGCTTCCCTGCACCAGAGTGAATAAATGTGTAACCAGATGCTTCGGACAATGACTTGGTATTCGCCTTGTTTGACTTTGTCCGCCGGACCAATTATGGTCTGTAACAGAACCTTGACATACTTGACAGCCACGCTCACGCTCTCTTGACAGTTGACCACTGCGGTACTCAGGCAGCTCTAGAAGCCGTGGTGCATGAACCAACAGCATGACTCTGTTCTGCTACGGCAACGAAAACGATCCCTCACCCTGGCTTCCTACCCATGCCTACCCGGGAGAGCTACAAAAAAGTAGTTAGGCACCGAGATAATTGCTACGATGACGAATCCCGTCAGGCTTCCAAATCTTGCCGTCTCACTCGGCAGCTAGCGCAATTGCAAACTCGCTGCCTCAAGGCAACTATATTTTCGGCCCTACAGCCTCAAAACCACAGATGTGTGCATAATTCGTTCCTTGGTTGTTAGGTTTTTTTTTAACTGTTTTACATGGCCAAGCGCTACTTGCTATTATACATAGAGTCCGGGCTGGTTGAGAAATCTGCAGGGGTATGAAAAAAAAATACATGCCGACATGTAGAGAGGAGATCGTGCCAGATCACTTGATCCATCTGTCTTTTTGTTCTTCTACCAACACCAAATCCATGCCCAATTGGTTTTTTTGTACAATGCCAGAAATGGCAATTTCATCCTCTTCAATTCGTCCATCTTACATCATTCCCATACCTCCCATGCCGCCCATGCCTCCCATGGGAGGACCGGCAGGACCCTTCTCATCAGGGGACTCAACAATGGCAACCTCGGTGGTACCCAGCAGGGAAGCAACACCGCTGGCGTCAATGAGACCGGTGCGGACAACCTTGAGAGGGTCGAGGATACCGGACTCAATCATGTCAACGTACTCGCCCTTGGCGCTGTCAAAGCCCCGGTTGAAGTCGGCGGCGTGCTCATCGGTGAGCTTGCCAATGACAACGGAACCTTCCAGGCCAGCGTTCTCGATAATGGTGCGGGCAGGGCGGGTGATGGCGTTCTTGACAATGTTGACGCCGAGCCGCTGGTCAAAGTTGGCCGCCTTTACGTCTCCCAGAGCCTGGGCAGAGGCCTTGATCAGGGCAGTACCACCACCGGGCAGGATACCCTCCTCGACGGCAGCACGGGTGGCGTTGAGGGCATCGACAAATCGATCCTTCTTCTCGCCGACCTCGACCTCGGAGGAGCCACCGACCTTGATGACAGCGACGCCGCCAGAGAGCTTGGCAAGACGCTCCTGGAGCTTCTCCTTCTCGTACTCGGAGGTGGTGGGGTCAGCGGCGACACCGCGGATCTGCTCGCAGCGCTGAGAGATGGCGTCCTTGGAACCCTCGCCGTTGAGGACGATGGTGTCCTCCTTGGTGATGGTGATGGAGCCGGTGGAGCCGAGCATGTCAATGGTGGCCTTTTCGAGCTTGATGTCGAGCTCGTCGGTGAAGACGGTGCCCTTGGTCAGGACACCAATGTCACCAAGAATGGACTTTCGGTTGTCGCCAAAGCCGGGAGCCTTGACAGCGGCAACCTGGAGCTGGCCACGGAGCTTGTTCAGGATGCAGACGGCAAGGGCCTCGCCGTCAATGTCCTCGGCAATGATGACAAGAGGGCGGCGGGTCTGCGTGGAGATTTCCAGAGCAGGGATGATGTCCTGGACAGCAGAGATCTTCTTCTCGGAGAGGAGAATCAGGGGGTTCTCGAACTCGACCTTTTGGGCCTTGGCGTCGGTGATGAAGTAGGGGGAGACGAAACCTCGGTCGAAGCGCATGCCCTCGGTAACCTCGAGCTCATCCTGCATGGTCTTGCCCTCCTTGACGGTGATGACGCCCTCCTTGCCAACCTTCTCCATGGCATTGGCAATCATCTGGCCGACGTGGTGGTCGCCGTTGGCGGAAATGGTGGCGACCTGGGCGATCTCGGCGCTGGTGGTGATGTCGCGCTTGTGCTTGTGTAGGTACTCAACAACAGAGTCAACGGCAGCCTGGATACCACGGCGGAGATCCATGGGGTTGCAGCCGGCAGCCACGTTCTTTACCGTCTCGGAGAAGATGGCCCGGGCGAGGACGGTAGCGGTCGTGGTACCGTCACCAGCGACATCGTTGGTCTTGGAGGCCACGTCCTGGAGTAAACGGGCGCCGAGGTTCTCAAACTTGTCCTTTAGGGAGACGGCCTTGGCAACGGTAACGCCATCTGTGCAAATTATCGTATTAGCTAAAATCCCATGGCGCAACTTGTAGAAAGGCACAGCGCACCCTTTGTGATCTTGGGGGAGCCGAAGCTGGACTCGATGAGGACATTTCGGCCCTTGGGTCCCAAAGTAGTAGCAACAGCCTTGGCCAAGGTTTCAACACCAACCAGGAGAGCAGCACGACCCTCGACGCCAAACTTGAGCTCCTGCAACACTAGTTAGACACGTTGACACTATATTTCGACGATTGGAGCTCGCGTCCTTCTCACCTTGTGAGCAAATCGGAGCTGCTGACCAAGACCGGCACCGGCGCGGTAGCGGGAGGCAGCAGAGGACAGAGCCGTAGCCCGCGCCCGTGAGCTCAATGCACGCTGCATCTTGTATATATTAAAAGGGAAGAAGGGGGGGGTATTAAAGTACAAGGAGGAAGGGGACAAGTGATGCAGGATGTAGCTGGCGGGAAGCAGCTTTTGGTCAGAGGTCTGGGGGAACCAAGGAGAGGGAGGTTGGCTCTGCGGTCTTGGTTGTAATTGGAGGTGTTGGCACCCGCAAAAAAATTGTCACGGGCAAGGGTCGGAAAAACCTGTTGCCACGGAGGACGGCAGTGGCAGCTTCGCGCCACAGTCCGCAACCCGAGCTACAGCCCCAGTCTGCAATCATCGGACCCAGAGAAGGTTCTGGCGCCGTTGCCGAAATGTTGGACAGTTGATTCGCCAAAACTCCACATCGCCAATAGCATGGTCACGGACGACGTCAATCCTCAGGAAAACACGACCCCGGCCACCGATCCGAATCTCAGAGCATCGAGCACCTAGTTATACTTTGAATTGAATGATTCTCTATGTCCCCAATCTCGTCTCAAGCTAATTCACATGGCTGTATTGCTCCTCACTCAGATTCTCGCGTCTTATTCAATACACTTGGAGACGGGCAAGTACCCGTTGCCTCAGATTTGTTTATATGCTGGAAAAGTGCTGGAGCAATTTTGTCGCGTCGTGCAGGCTTTACCCAATGACCGCCAAGGTCGTCAAGTCCTTCGGCCCAAAAATTAATGATGCGCTGCAACCGCTCACTAAGTATTCAGCGTCGACATGATGCCGCCAACTCATGATTTATAAGACATTACATTGCAACCGAGCCATCAAGAGCCCAGATACTTGCCTGGTTCTACGTAAGTGGTGTCGAAATATCGGCGACCTTGGTTTCGTCCGCATCAGCTACGCCAATGCATGGATCTCCAATTCGTGCACCGTGAGCTGTAGCCGGCTCAGCCTGCATTGCTCCCTCCTTTGCGGCGGCAGCAGCAACTGCAACGGGCTGCGCAGTGCCTTGTTTCATGAGGCCTGGGTCTACTGCCATGTACGGCTCATATGGGCTAGTCATGGCAAAAGGCATCCCCATGTGGAAAGAGGCCTGTAAGCAGTCCTGGTGATCAAAGCTAAAAGCAGACGTGTGCATCTTTGGTGGTAGGCTCATTTGGTACATGAATGGGTGCGACCAGCTTTGCAGGGCAGCCATTCTGTAACCGTGATTCGTGTGTTGATGAGGCACGCTGGGAAAGGCGACGTGCCCTGGTGTTACCGCCGAGATGTCGGTCTCAAACGATTCGTTGGGCGAAGCTGTGCCTTTAAACGGATTGGTACCAGAGTCTGATTCATGCGAGAAGTGTCGGCTGTGAGTGGGTTCCATTTCCTGAATAATATTAGCATGAGTACTTTTCACTGGCGAATGTTCTAATATTCTAGGGCCTTACCACTGCCTCATGACAGACGTGCTGTTGGAGATGGGGCGGTCGTGTGTCTCTCACAACTTCAATTGGGGCCACGAATTGCGGCGCAAGGGTCTCATAAAATTCCATGGAGCCATTTGACGATTTTAGGCTATTCCGTGTCATTGGAGTGGGCGAGTCCTGGCGGTAGTCTCCTTCCTCTGAGCCAGCCGACGAGGTGCCCAGTCCAACCTCGGGTTCCATTGACTCTTCGTTAAAGGGAAAGTCACCCGGGATACTAAACTTGGGGTCGTCAAGTCTCTCGTCAAAATACACAGGACGAGTTGTCTCGACGTAGTCGCCCTCGGTGCCTCTACGGACGTATCCACGGAGGTTAGGATCATTCGGCGTCGCTGTAGACCTCTGAGTGAGAGGCGGGACAAGATGGCCTTCGACCAGGACCTCGCGGCGAAGACGATTAATGTGCTGAATTATGGCAGCTCCCGACGATCCGGGATGGAAACGATGAGCAATAGCATCCCAAGGCAGCTGGAGCTTATGTCGACTACACTCGTAGTGGATGTGCAGTAGCAGCTTCTCAGCCATTCGTGGACCTGCAAATCCGTTAGATGCGTCCATAGAACAGAAGAAGACGGTATTAGCAGGACGAAGACATACGATTCCACATAATCAGGTTTCGGCCAGCAACACGTCCATTCCCCTTTCGCTGCTGGTCTGTCGGAAGGTGATGCGAATAGCGGGCAGTTCTCGGCGTCTCAGTCTTGGCTGGTGAGCTGGGAGCGCTTGATGACACAAGCGATGCTTCAGCACTCTGTGTCCTGCTTACCGCTCTGCGGTCCTTGGCTGGGGACCGGCTTTTGCTTGCATTTGTTTTTCTGGCGGGTGCCGCAACCATGTTGAGTATAACAAAAAACAATAGGAAAGGAAAATGTGCCAAGAGGGTCGATCCGTTTGTCAGCTAAAGCGTCGGTTGGGATCAAAGCAGATTAACGACTCGCGGCGAGAAGTGAACTTCTGGTGAGATGGATGAGGCCAGTCACACAAGGAAAGAGAAAGGAAGAAGAAAAGATTCTGGTCAGGTGAGCTGTTGGCAACAAGAAATGCAGACGTGGTAATGTGGACGAGCAGTGAACACTGAATACCCAATTTTATGTGTGCGTGTAGCAGGGTATAAGCGAGAAATGAGGAAGTGAATTCAGAGGAAACAAACAGAAATGCTTAGGTATTTCAAGAAGTCAGCCTTTTGGTCTGGTGTAAACATCGGACAAAATTTGGGGTGCTGTGAGGAGGGAGGAAGTGCAAGAGTTAAGCAGTATTCGAGGTCTCTGTAACCAGCTGGCCTTTTCTGGCTCACAGCTGCGAGCCAGGAGTTAACAGGTGCCGCGGCTGGCAGGCAAGTGTCTAGCCAGCTCCGGGTTTTCTATCTAGTGTAAATAAATAAATTTATAAATTTAAACATTTGTCACCAGAATCCCAGCCACACAAAATCACACACTTCGTCGACTTTTTCGCCCATGGTGTGTGAAAACTGTCCCGCTTGTCTGCTTGTTTGCGCCAGCCTCACCCTATGTAGATTTTCCGATTTTCCCGTACGTATCATAACTACATCCATATAACACATCTCACTTGCGTCCAGCCCAAATTCAGACTTTGATATTTCCCGTAGGCCGTCCAAGTTGGCTCCTTGCAAGCACCGTGATACTTGCTCAACCAGGCATCACCACCTTGGGTTGCACTCAGAAACAGCAATATATAATAGACCTCGATTCTCATTTAATTCCTGGTTAGAGCAATGTCACTGTGCTAGCTCGACGTATCCCGAATATTCCCTGGCGGCTTTGTCCCCATGCCCCGTCACCAAGCGTCACCCATGTCCCCCCGTGCCAACAAACCAGTCCAGGACCTTATATTTCAATATCATCAGAAGTGGGAGGATCTACACAATCAGTTAGCACGATCCTCACCTCGCTGCATTCCCGCCAATCTACCAACCGCTGAGATCAGACTCGGAATCCTCTTCCTTCTTGACGCCCTTCTTGGTCTTCTCTTCATCTAACTCCTCCTTCTTCACGTCCTTGCCCGCCTTGCCTCTAGTCTTCTTGGCCGAGCCAGGAGTACGGGCAGCAGCAGCCTTGCGCTTGACTGGAGTAGTCTGGGGAGTGGGAATAGCTCCATCGTCGGCAGTCTTGGTAGGCGACTTGGTGCCGCTTACACCGTTGGCTTTGAGCATGCGCTCGTACCGCTTTTGCCTGTTGGCGCGGTCAGCTGGGATCGTGAGACGTGACAATGGGAAACAGGGGGGTTCTGCAGCAACACGTACGCGGCAGCCTTGGTGACGATTCCAAGCTCTTCGGCAACGGCAGCAAAGTCGGGCTAATACATGTTAGCTGGGAAAAGGGGTCAGACAGAACGTGTCCACCAACCCGGCCATTGTTGGTGTGTCCGATGCAGGAGACGAGGAACTTGACCTGCTCGGAGGGATCCTGGGTGCTAGGCATTTTTGCAAGTTGCTGAGTAGAGTAAGTACTAGTTGAAACTTGAGGAGAGCTGACGAGGTTTGCTAGGACGGGCAGACGCGGTGATTCAACTTGATGTAGCAAGGGAAATGCTGTGAAAGCTGAGGATGGTGGAGGAGTGTTAAAACGGACTGCAGAGTTTAGAATCTTGTCGGGCTTTTGTTTTGGCGAGGCACATGGAGCAGGGCGGGCTGGTAAACGGGTAAAGTGAGAAGAAAGTGAGCAGACAGCACCACGTGTGAGCTGCTTGGTGGGCTTACTTTTTGACTAGATGCGCCCAGGTCTGGCCTCATTGGATGATTAAACATGTCTTGTCATCTGGAAACTGGAGTGGTGCTATTGTTCGCCAAAGCACCAAACAGCTCATCCCGCCATGGACATGCAAAATCTACGCCTCATCCATCACGTTGTAGGTCACACTCGTAACGAGGTGTCAACTGCAATAATATAGCTTTGATTCTGATTTTGAAACCAGCATGGAATCCGTGTCCTCGTGTCTGCCCCTGAATCAACAACTCGCATCAATCTGGCTCAGCTCCATTATACCATTCCACCACCAGCCCTCAACCTGAAATCTCCCATCATAAACTAAATCCGTCGTCGGATTCCAAGCCCAATGTCTCAAATCTCAACGTCTGCTTCAGCCTCCGCCTTGGCCTCGCCGCCATCGTCGCCGCCCCCAATGAGATCAACCTCATCGTCCTCCCCGGCGTCGGAAGCCTCTTCCTTCTTCACCTTCCTGGGTGTCCTCGGGCCCCGTTTCGTAATCTTTCCATCGCCCGACGGCCCCGTGGCACCATTCTTGCCAGGCTTGCGGGGACTGGGGTTGCCCGAGGCCGGCTGCTGCTCACGCCAGCCGTGCCGAACAGACATCTGGCGGAAACGCTCCTTGGCACACTTTGCGTCTTTGAGGCCCAGGTCCGTGGCGACCTTGTCCCAGTCCGCGTCGGGCTTCTGCGTCATGTTGTCGAAGACGGCTTTGATGAAGCGCAGTTCGCCGTCTGTGAGGCCTGTGTGCGCCTCTCCTTCTCCGCCGGTAGCAGCAGCCTTGGCTTTGCGCGGCATTTTTTTCTGTCCGTTGTTAGATGGGAATAGTTGCAAGATTTATGAAAAACGTACACTTGTTGAGTCGAGTTTGTGTTGATGGCTTGCTGTAGCTGTGGTTGGTGTTGAATGAGAACGCGCTGGCTGTGACGGCTGTGACAGTTGATGAGAGTGCGATGCGAGAATTGGTGGTTGTGAATTGTTTGAGAAGGGTATGCAAGTTTCAGATGAGGAATAGGTTAAATACTTGAACTTTGGCTTGCCTTGCCCAGCGACCAGTGTGAGAACAAGGTGAGCAATGGTCAGTTGAGAGCACGGCAACGGCTCGAGGAGAACACTGCGTTTTATGCAGCAGCAGCAGCAGCAGCAGCAGCACGTGCAAACGCGGAAACAGCGTAAACACCCGTCTCGAGTAGTCCGCAGTCAATATCAGTATCTATACACGGTGGTGGATTGTACGCAAACCAACAGCCCCGTCAGCACATGTGGCAGCCTTGCCGTCACTCACTTATACAGGTGTCACAGCATATGGGATATTCGCAGTGCACCGCGCTGATTTCAAGACATTGTTAATCGATTCTTCTCAGCTGTGAGTCCTTTAAATCCCTGCAAAAAGAAAAAGCAAAATCGTCCACTCCCATTCACGCGGCGCAAGCGTCTCATCAAACACCTACACATCCCACCACCACGACACGCGCAGCAGCATCTAAAACGGATCTGTATGCTCCTCCCCATCCATAAACGACGCCTCCTCAGTCAAAAAAGACCCAACGTCAGCCTCCAGCTCGGCATCCAGATGCTCATTCTTCATCCCAACCACGGTCTCGTCGTCATCGTCCTCGCCCTCCACCTTGACGTCCTTTCCCCTGGCCCTCCCCTTGGATCCCGCCCGGCCACTGCTCTTCGTGACCCTAGTGGGAGTGTCGGCTGCAAAAGTACCCTTCTTGACGGGTGTGCGAGAGGCGGTAGGCGTGTCGGTGTTGGTGGTTATGCCCAGCTTGCGCTTGACCTGGCCGAAGCGGACCTGCTCCCCGTCAGCATCCTGGCACGGTAGTCTTTGCGCGGCCCATGTAGATGGGGAAATGAGGAACAAACATACCTTGGCGACTTCTGCGTTCTTGAAACCCTGCTCCGCGGCCACGGCGCTCCAGTCAATGTCCGCCTTGTTGCGAGTATGCTTCACAATGGCGAAAAAAAACATGGCCTCGGAGGCAGTGGGTTCCTTCTTCTTGGGGGTTTCAGGCATGATGGCTGGCAAAATGTTAGCAGAGTCGCCGTGAAATTCCCATTGGAGTCGATTACGGACCGATTCTCGAGTGTTGAGGGTGTGGTGAAGCGCGGATGACGGCTTGGGCTGTCAAGTGGTCAGCTCAAAGGCGTACAAGTCAGCTTTATGTGATGTTTTGCGGCAGCGCAAATTTCACAGTTTGGTTATGAGGGAGGAGAAAAGAAAGCTTGAATGCACATAATGAGTGAGAGGGTGTGGTTATTGTAGGGCGCCAAGGGGAGGACGGAGGCCAACCGAAAGTGAATTGAAAGTGAGTTGTGCAAACACATTCTTCATGACCGGCAAGGTTATCAAATGCGCCGTCAAAGCTCAGGGACCGTCTCAATCACACGCAGTAGAGGAAAACATGAATGCTAGCACGGCGAAGGAATGCACTTTTACATCAGGAGCATCACATCACCAGCTCCAGCCACAGCTATCGTTTCCTCGACTTTGTCATCGTATTGCATTCTCATGGAGAATAATACTATTAGTATACAATTTGCCAAGTCCCCAACTCCATTTTCAGGCCGACCGACTGAAGAAGAAAATTCATCACTGCGGCATTCATCTCGGCCAAATTTTGTCATAAGTCATACAGCAAGTTCAAAAGTTCATCCATCCATACGCCATTATTTTAAAAAAGACAGGGGCACACCATCCCGCCATGGAATCCGCTGCTTCCACGGGGTATCAAAAAAGCTGGGGGTCATGGAAGCGCTCGTTCCACTCATGGCCACAGTCCAACACCGACTGAGGACCACCGAGGTCGGATGGGTCGTGGCTTTGGAAATCGGCAGCTACGGTGCTATAGCTTCCCAGGTCATAGGCAGCATCAAAGGCTGAAAATGCCGGTGAGTTTGTGAGACTCCCGGAATCTGTGAAGAAATCCGAGTTGTTGTCCATCATGGGGGAGAAGGCGTTGGAGTCTCGGTGTCGGCGCTTCTCGATGACGGCAGGCCGGATGGACATCATGTCGTCGCTACAGGGTGTGAGGAATCGGGCGTTCAAGTCATCGTTGTCACCCAGATATGGAGATGGCAGCGAGGCCGGAGAGTACTGCTAAGGTGTTAGTTAGCGGTGCTCGCGGCTGTGTTTCCAGAAACCGGTGTCCCGGGACATACCTGAGCGAGAGAGGCAAGGCTCACACCAGACTCCGACTTGATAATGGCGTCCTTCTTGGACGCGTGGTCCCTTTTGGAAGGCTTGGACACTCGATCCTTTTCACCATGGCGGCCACGCTTCTGGGGTTCATGACCAGTGACGGTGGCCCGGAAGCGAGAGTACCTCATTCTGGCAGCATGTCCATTCGTAATGGGCTGCAGCAGAACAGGATCCTGGGCGACTTGGTTCCAGTCAATCTTGAATGGCTGTTAGTGCGCCCATCACACACACACACAGGACAGGGATAGTTTGGAGCAAAGACGAACATCCTTGAGATTTTTTTGCTTCAAGATGGCAAAAAGGAATCGAGCCATGGCATTATCACTGTTGGGGGACATTTTGGCGAATTTGAGACTGTCGGTGAGTATGTAAAGCGGTTGGTGTTGTATTGAGACGTTCTGATCTGACGAGAAGCAGCTGGGCGCACAGCAGGTGAATGATGGGCGGAAGCAGTAGATATAGCCCGCTGCGAGATGACACCAGGCAGCTTGAGGACGCCGCGGCAGCTTGCAAAAGAGACACCCGAGCCCAAGATGGGTTCCAAGATTGGCCGAGACAAGCAGACCGAAAGTGTATAGCGGTCCTGGTGAGTCAAGGTTGAACGTGTATCGGCGCTACTACGAGACCTGTTCGGCGAGATGTATCGAAAATGAGTGGTCAAAGTCTAGTCACCAGCCGAGACAGCGATCCGATACCAAAGTCTTGGGGGTTGAAGAAAGGTCTTTGCTATGCGAGTAGTTCCGGCATGCCTTGCGCAAGACCAAGGCCAAAAGATGACGACGGTTGGTACGAATGATGATGTGGTCGGAGGAAAGGGTGAGAAAATATGGCCTTGGGGACAAGTTTCCATTTAAAAAGGCATCGACATCAGGCAAAAACGGAGGCGTGCGGGCAACAAACAAATATCTGATGAAGGGGGCATGGGCATGGTGTTGACGGGGGGGAAGGGGGGGTGTACAATTGGTGTCTGGATGCAGGAATCCAGGAACCGACGCCGGGCCATGGCGCCGCTGGTGGGCATAGGGCTCGAATTGGCATCCAGCGTCTGAATGATTAGTCTGAGATGAGGTTCCCAGGCGCATGGTTGCCTGGTGCCGCAGCCATTGGGGGAATGGGGATGCATGCTGGATGCCGGATGTTGGGATTTGGATGTCGATGGAGTCGAGGGTGGGCAAGGATGCTTGGACGGTGCTCAAGTGGGGACGCCAGGCAGCTTGGAGGCACAGTGGCAACTTTACAGCGCCCAATGGTGGCAGCCAGTCAGAGTCAGGGCCCAGGTGCCTGCACAGCGCGTAAAGTGCATGCAGCAGCGGCCAACTCTCCACCACCACTTGAGCCAACAGATGGAGAAGCCACCACTGCAAAACCATCTCCAGATTGCACGTCGTTACGCTCTTGATTGTGGAAACAAAATCGACTGCAATCAACATGCCGTCTGTCGCACTGCATGACCAGTTCATGGGCTGCACGTCAGGCACGGCCCCTTGATGCCGTCGTTGTCGCCGTTGCTACTGCAGCAACAGGCAGTGTGCCCCGTGCCAATTAGCGCCGTCGCACAGTTCAGGTCCATCGTTGTCGCAAGGCCAGTTGAACGTCGTGACGTCTCGATATAACTGTAATATGCAATCCCATCGACAGGGATGGCTTTTCTGGCATGGACTGAAACCAGTGTGACTCATTCTTCAATCCAAAGAAAGCAAGAAGAAAAGAAAGGTCGAGGGGGGGTGTGCTGCGGTGGCCTTGGAACCTTGCAGTTCATTCCGCCAGCCCCAGCGGACCCATCCATGATACGCAGGCGAAAGCCACCACAAGTTCAACCTCGATTGGCAAGCCGTTTTCTGTGCCAGCGATTCTACCATGTCGCTATCTCTCTGGTTTCGATATAAGAGCAATTAGCCAATTACTCGGTTGCTGGTCCGAGAGAATTGGCCGTGGTATGTAGTTTGATAGATGGAAAAAGATCCCAGTGTCTGCCGCAGTGTCGCAACGCACTGGAGACGGCTCGTAAAACTTTTTTTTTTCTTTGCATCTCTCCCCAGAACCGATGGCCACCTTTGCTCAAGGGATGCGTCAGACCTGGAGCACGGAGGGCCCCAGCACACGCCCATCACACCGATGGTGTCTGGTCGGCTGAGGCAGCGACGGCGTCATCCCGAAAGAGGGGCGGAGGCAGCAAATCATCACCATGGTGGAAGACGTGCGACGAGTTGTATTTTTGCTTCCAGAAACGCCTGAAAGACGCGGAAAATTTGTGTCTATATAAAAAAGACATTTTAAAACCATTGGGAGTCATTATTGTAGTCTTCATGGTCGCGCCTCGGCCGTATCCTCAATCAACGTCTTGGAGGGGATGGGGTGAGGTGCTTGGGAGACGCGACGGGGGGCGCGAATTTTGGCGGGAACTCTGGGCCACTTTCCACGTCCAAGGAGCGAACTCACGTGCAAGGTACGTACCTGGTGCCTCGTGTTGGCTGGCCTCGCACTCGCACTTCTTCTTGTCCGACTTGGTGGCAGGTGACTGACTAATCGTTGGGATGGACAGGCCGCGTTGCACCGTCTCGTACACCGCCACGGAGCCACCTTGACGTCGGTGGTGAAGAGGTGCCAGGCATTTGTCAGCTGCCTACCGAGGTGGATGGAACTACTAGTGCTAGTATTGCTGGGCGGACTGGCTGCATGTCATGGTCCCAGAGCTTGGGAATGGAATTCTAGGTGTACGGATGGTATAGGGTGGCAAGATACGATTGTAGAATCGGTGGTTGCATCTATCTGGTGGTCTCACGCAAAGAAAAGGGGGTTTGAACGATATCAATTGCGAAAATATCGCCACGATAGACTGCGGACTGAGACGTGATACGCCTATGCTGGCGTGTATTGGCGATGCTTACTTGTAAAAGGATGGATTGTCGTCGAGCCGTGCTCAGTGAATGCGCTGCCGCTTGGGTTTTAGAGCTGCCAGGCAGCTGAGCTCAACACAACAGCCGGCTAAACGCCGTTTCAACTCCGGCTAAGTCCAAGCATCGGCCTCACCACAGGCTACATGTACCACTACATGTCCGTGTGCATTCGTGAAATAGTTCCAAAAATGTATTTAGCAAACCAACTTTTTAAAATCCGTCACGACCAGCTATTTTTATTCACCCGTCCTCGCGCTCCCTCTTGTCATCGCAGCGACAGGTGGACAAATCACCATGAGCGAATATGGCCCGTCTGCAACCGGAACATCTTTGGTCCGCAAGCCGGCCTCGGCTCCACCTTCCGCTGGGGGCACGGAGCCCTCCGCGCGCTCCAGATTCCCTCGACCATCCATCTCACTACCAATTTCTCGCACCGATCCAGCCCGCCTCCTAACACGGTCTATCCGCGGCTCGGTGCAGAACCACGCTCACGACTTGTACCGCTGAACATTGTAGACCATCTCTCGCGACCACGCTGGCCCACCCTATTGGGCCGTTTCGGATGCACCATGAACGTCAAGAATTGGAACGACCGTGCAGACAAGGACTTGTTCTTCACCATCTTGTCCGTCAAAAACATTGGTGTAATCAGTGGAGCGGAATGGACCACCATTGGCAACCACATGCGAACCTTGGGCTACGGCTTCACCAATGAGGGATGTCGGTATGTCTGATGCGCCTTGCTGTCGCCGTCAACTGCTTTATATGTCAATGGCTCGCCTCGCGTTATTCTGAGCTGGGTGTCATGCGACTGCAATTGGTTCCCAGTGAAGCCAATGCGACTCTGCCTGGTGGTCGCGACACCAAAGCCCCTTCGAGTGAGCTCGAGTGAGGCCATACCAGGCTGTAAATGTCCCAATCTGCTACGCGCACTGATTGGACTGATGATTTCAATGTTGCCGTTCCTTACTGACATTAGCCACAGTCAACACTTTCAGGGTCTGCGCAGGTCTCAAAACAAGGCCGAGGCAAACGGCACTGCACCGGAGTTGTCTCGTCGTGTTGACCCAACCTTGAACCCCATCACTCGACGACCAGGTCCGGGCAGAGGCCGTCCGAGGAAGCCTGAAAACGAAGCCGTGTCGCCCGTAGACGGAGGAATCGGTCCTGCTTCTGTATCCATGCCTGCCTCTACTGCCTCCGCTGCCTCCGCCTCTGCTTCTGCCGCCGCCGCCGCTTTTCACGCTGTTCACGCCGTTCACGCCGTTCATCCTGCTCATGCTCCCAGCATAACTCTTAAGCAAGAGGATACCGCAGACCAGCAGAGAGCTCAACAGTCACAACAACAACAACAACAACCACTACCACAACAACCACAACAACAACCACAACAACAACCACAACAACAACAGCCACCACTACAACCACAACAACAACCACCACTACAATCACTACAACCACCACCACCGCCACCATCACCGCCGCAACCTCTCAAGTCAGAGTCCATCGTAGAAACAACGCCAGAATTCACTACACCGCCAGTAGAAGCACTGGCGACTGCGCCTGCGACGGAAACGACAGACGCTGCAGACGGGACGCCGGTAGTCGAACAGGACGGCGACGATGATGCTGACGCGCCAGAGGAACCTCCCACCAAGCGCCAAAGGTTAGATACGCAGGAGCTGGAACAGCAACAGCCGCTCGACGACGAAGCCGTGCTAGCACTGGCAGCACACAACGGCGCCACGGAGTCTGATTATCCAGAAGAAGATGACAAGTACGTTCTCCAGTCTCATACCGTAGGATGCTCGTACTAACGGCTGTTAAAGTTATAGCTATGGGGATGAGGAGGTATGATGTATAAAAACATAGATATTTGATGTTGAACGTCATTGGGTTTCAAGGCAACGGGGTTATGACCGAGGCTGATGGGATCATGGTCCATCATTTTTATTCCTGGGCTCGGTGTTGCAGTCTTTTCGTTTCGGCATGCATGTACAAAACAGCAGTGTATAATAATTTTGCGAGTGGCGAGTTGGCATGTGCTGTGCAGGTTATCGAAGAGTGTATCGTCCTTTAATGCATGGCAGCTGGCCGGACTGGTTGTGAACTGCCACTGTTTGCCGTCACCTGCAACGCCGTTTTCATGACGGCCGTCCACCCGCCTCCAACCAAACTCCTCCCGCGTCTCCAACATCGCAAAAAGACCACTCGTCTTCCACTCATCACCTCCCTTTAACTTTGCCCCTTGCAACGCACCGTCTGCCACGCCCCCCAGCTCATCACAACCTTTTGCTACGACACAATGGCACCCGGCGGCCACTGGAACGACCCAAACTTCCTCCACGACCTTGTGGTGGCCTTTTACGAGGCCGGGATCGAGGCGAATGCCATGAATGCCGAGATTCGCAAAGATGTTGCGGCCCGCATGAAGGCCCGAAAGCACGAAGTTACTTGGGAGGGCATTCGGTGAGACTTGCAATTTCATCTCCTCATCGCAGCTGCACTCATTCTTCACACAAGCCATGGCAGCCCACGCTCACGCTGCTCTCACCTCTTGTCCTTGTACAGTGGGAGGCAAAAGTATTTCACCAGGCCACGGACCTGGCTGTCGCGCATTATACCCCAATATATTCGTGTATACTTCTGGGTGGGTAAATGTAATCTGCCACGGATTGCATCTGCCTTTACACTCTCACCTCTCCTCACAGCTGCACTCTTCTCACATCTCAGCATTATATCATCCCCGTTCCACGCCCGTTCTACCTCTTTCACATTTTCTACCCTTCACAACCCCCCTACCTCTATTATTCGTTTACATTCTGCCCGTCTTTCATCTGCTTCACATCAAGATGCCCCGCCAGATCATGAAATGGGACGAGGGTGTCCATGAGGATATCCTCCTGGCTGTGTTCAACCAAGTCAACTTTACGAGTGAGCAAATCGCCGGGATCATGAACGAGCTGCGTGCTCGCGGGTACTCTTTCACAGAGAGTGCTCTTCGGTGAATTTCCCTCTTTTTTTATTGTTCCGTGTTTTGCATCAACGTGGTGGTGAGCTTTACGCTCACTCTTGGCTGAGTTTTTTCTCATTTCGTCCTCGCTCATAACCTTTACTCCCCAAGCTGCTCACTTTTCTCTATACCGTCACTCACCTTTGCGACTATATAACTGTTCACTTTTCCCCCCTCTCCATCTGCCACTCCCTTTCCTTTACACATCACCCCGGGCCGCCTTGTACACATCACCCGCCCTGTAACCATCAACCATCTTCAACAACACATATTTCTTCATCTCGTGCCTCGGACGCAGGTTCACCCCTTCCACTCTCATCATGTCTCGCGCTCCAAACACCCACAAATGGGACGAGCATTCCCACTTCGGCCTCCTCCGCGCCATGATCGACGTGACCAAGCCCAACAAGGATTTCCTCGTCCAAGTCGCCGAGCACATGCAATCCCAGGGCTTCACCACCACCTTCAACGGCGTCAAGTACGCTCCCTCTCACCTTGCCCCCAAATCGTCACTGCCTTGGTCCCCACGAGACTTGATTCATCCACCGCTAACGCCCCTGTCAGCCAGCACATCCAGAAGCTTCGCCGCACCCAAGACTCCCCCGAGAAGAACACCAAGAACGGCAGCGTCCCGGCAACGCCCACCAAGGCAACGCCGAAGCGCAAGACTCGCGCTACCAAGGCCAAGCCTTCCAAATTCGACGACGTTGACGACCAAATCTCCGTCAAGGAGGAGCAGTACTATGATGATGACCAGGATGAACCCGAGGCCAAGCGTGTCAAGCAGGACGCGGAGTAAAATAAGAAAAAGTAAGTGTTCCGAGAAGTGTAGCTGTATGCGGCGGGCACTGACTGGTTGTCCAGGACTTCGTGTCAATGGCTACGAGGCTTGGGCACTCATGTTCTGTGCTTTTGGGATGGAGACGGCTATTGCAGCACGGAATTTTGATTGGGGATTATTTGGCTGAACACAGGGATATTGAATTTTGCTACTGAGGGTGGATTGAGATTATGGTACAAACGAAATAAATTACGTCCTGTTGACGCGTTACGCTGGTTTTCCATGGTAAAACTTTCAAGTCGTTGTTCATGCTGCCTCATCTAGAGTGCCATTCGTCTGTGACATCCTTCTGACATCCTTCTGCGACATCTGATGCCAAGCACCACGGGAAAAGGGAAAATTGCATTTAAAAAAATAATGCCGGGATTTATTTAATATGCGTGATTTGATGGGGTCTATCTAGGCCTTCCTTGCCAAATCTTACTGTACACGACGCACAACATACAAAAAAAGAGAGTAACGTAAGCCCAACTTCCTCGGCATCAAAGTTTTTGCCCCGAAAACGCCATCCAGCCCTCATCTGCCAAGAAAAAAAAAGCAAATTCATCTCGCTCTCCAATTATCCTAACTAAGATCCATCCTCTCCGTGGCGGCAGCTGAGCCATTCGTCACCGACAAGTCCACGGCGCCATCGTTGCCAATCAGACGCTTCTCAGAGTCGGCCACAAACTTGACGCTACGTGCGGGGTCGTAAAATAGCTGGAAGCTGCGCTGGACGTCTTCGACGCTGACTTGCTTGGCGCGTCGCTTGGCAGAAACCAGCTGTGATGTGCTGATGAGGTTGCTGGCGTATCGGAGGCCGGCTTCGTGGCCAATCTTGGTGAGCAGGGCCAGGGCGTCGGGTGAAACATCGACTTCCTCCTCCTGTGCGCGGATAGACAGAATCTGTTTGATCTCCTCCGAGGCATAAGGGTGGGTGTTGATGATGACGACTCGGTCGAGGAAGTCGATGGGCAGGCCGTGGGGGCTGCGATAGTTGGTGCCCCGGATGCGGGAGTTGCCGCGGTTGCTGGCCATGATGACAATGGGGGACAGGTCGTCCTCGAGGGCGCGGTTGATGTATGAGAAGCATTCAATGTCAAGCATGTGCACCTCGTCAATGAACAGGACGCCGGGGACGATTTCAGCCTTGCCCTCCTCCTTCCACTCGCCAACCTTTGTGTTGATCTGGTCTCGAATCTCGCTTCGAATCTCGCCAGTGTCGCCAGAGAAGAGGGCAAGGAAGCCCTGTGTCCTCGAGTTGATAACATCAATCTCGTGCAGAGTAACAGTGTGCACGGCTTCCTTGCGCTTCTGCAGCTCGCCGTCGGGACACGACAAGAACTTGGTGTCGACGCCCATGGCATCGTAGTCGCGGGATCGCGCGTACGACCGGCCCAGTTTCGTAATCTTGCCCGAAGACTTGTCGATGGAGATGATGTCACCGGCCATGACGCGCTCCTTGGTCATGGCATCAATCATCTTGCTGCCCATGTCGTAAACAGCTTCCATGTCGGTGGTCTTGATGGTGAGCTTGCCCTGCTTGGTGCTTCCCATGACGCTGCGATCAATCTGGATCTCGACAACCTCTCCCTCCATGACTTCGCTCTCCTCCTTGATGCGGACACCGATGGACTTTCTAAAGGCCTGCGTGAGGGCCTCTGTCTTGGACATTTCGAGGGAGAAGATTTCGGACGAAGCGAGCGAAGTGAAGGGAACATCGGGGCCGAGAGACTGCGCCATTCCCATGGCAATGGCCGTTTTGCCGGTGCTACAAGGTTGAGACGGCGTCAGCAAAACTTAAAAAAAAACTTTTCCCCTGTACACACGCTGTGTCGTCTCGTCCCCCGTCCATGGCATTCCTACCTGGGAGGGCCGGCAATCAGGACCGCACGGCCTGCAATCTTGCCATCCTTGATCATTTGCAGGATAACAGCAGCAGCCTTTCGGGCCTTTTCTTGGCCAACCAGGCCTTGCGACGCGGCTCGGGGCTCGAGACTGGTGGCATCGACGCCCAGGCCGCGAATGTGAGAGTGAGCGGCGATGAGGTTGAGACCGCGAAGGTCCTTGGATTCGGAGACGGTCACTAATGGCTGCAGACAAAAAACAGTTAGTTTCCCAGCTGTTGCGATTTGGCGGCCGAGTTGCGGCATGACTTACGGCAGCCATGGTTGGGATGGTTCTTTCGAATTGGCTGATGTTGGCGGAGGCAGATTGCACGAGGTCAAGAGTCAAGCCTTCACCCTCGGAAAATTGCCCTGCTGCGACAGCCTCGAGCCTGCAGCTGGCGGTTGCGCTTATGCAGAGCTTTGGGTCGCTTGGGTTCGCTTTGGACCAGTCATGTAAGCGCGACCCACAAAAATTTCGCGACTTGGCTTCCGCCCAAACGGGTTCAATGTTGCATGAGTTCTGCCACCTGATTCGCTCTTCCTAAGTCTTGCAGCTTTGCGCATGTCAAGTGCGAAAAACCAGCTCAACATAGCATGTCCCAAGTCAATAGCATGACATTTGAAAAACGCATCGCAAAAGAAAATCACTTCGTGGGCCATGCTTACTTTTATTCCTATCACACTTCCTGTCCTTTATGTGCACATTGCAAACCGTGGATACGGCGTTTGCACCCACCCGCACTTGTACATGCTCTCTGCTATACCGGAGTGAATTGCTCGGCGGGCTCACTCTTTTTACTAGGTGCGCTCATCCTTTTAATTATTTCACCTAATATATATAGTTAGGTAGTTTATAAGAAAATACATTTGCTCATTATTATATAAAACTTGATAACCATGTACGTGGTAGGCTGTCGGCGTGCCTATCTAGGTAGTAAAAAGAGTGAGCCTGCCGAGCAATTTGCATGTTGCAACCCACAAGGCATCTGGGCACTTGCAGTGATTCATAATGCTGTTTTAATTCAGTTGATGTCACATGTTTGTCAGGTCAAGCCCAGGGAATCGGATAACGACGTACTGGGCTGCAGCATCGTACCTTGACTTTGCCTACTTTTGCATCCACCGCATTTCCAACACCTAAAAGAAGAACAAGAGTATTTACATGCCATCAATAAAGCAAAGCACGGTACTAGGAGCTCGTTCATCTGTATCACAATATCTGCGTTTGTACTGCCGTAACCTTGCCAGCCGCCAAACCCACGTGACGACTGGCCAGCTGTTAAAGCAGGAGCAAAATGGTGCGCAGGAGCCGACGACGGCCGGGCAACTTTCGTCGCTCTGTAAACAGACCGTCTAGACCTCGGAATCAATATTTCCCTCGATATCACCCCTCGGATGAGCCTGACCGACAGTATCACGACAGGCCACGCGAAGAGACCTTGACGTCAGCAACAAACGAGCCCAATCACGACCACGGGACCATGTCTTCGTTTCGCAACAACGCGAAGCCTATTGAACACGGTGCGTCATTTACTATTTATCCGGCCGCTCACGGCGAACATCCAAGGCTATTAACATCCTCAAGGGCCGTCTTCCAGTATGCAGCATCATCCCCCGCCGTTGGGTCACCTGCGGAGGGACATAGACATCAAGCACTTGGTCGAGCTGCTCTGCGACAGAATGTACTGGTACATGCAGCGAGATAAACAAGACAAGAATTTGAAGAAGATGCAAACCGAGCTTGAACGCTGTCGAGCCCCTGAGAGCTCGAACCACCGTGAGGTCCTCAAGCTGCAGATCGATCAGTGGAAAAGGGAGAAGACAAAGAGCTGCGAACGACTTGGCGGCACTGACGGGAAACTGCTTACTCATCTGGCCGCATTTATAAACAGACAGAATGAAGAGCTACTGAAAACGACGCATGGCAATGCCTTACGGAGCGAGGATGTCGATGCTCGTCTAAACGCCCTCCAAAAGGCTTTGGACGAGAAGTTTAGTGCCTGCCTGGAAGAGGCATTCACTCAAATTGTCAATGAAAATCAGTTGCAGCTCCGAAAAGAAACAGAAGGACTCAAAATTGGCCTTGAACAGGAAAGACAGAAGAGCGCCAGGCTTCAGATGCATATAGAAGAGCTGGAGCAAAGGCTTGGAAGTTGGGACAAGAGGCTACCCAACTTTACAGAAGAAACTATGGAAGATAGGCTGCGGTCAGATGGCAGGTTGACCGAACTCGAACGCAAGCTGAACCAGCTTTCGAAGAAGATGGATGATCTCGCCTCAAACATGATGACCTCGCAAGCTCTGTCTAGGGAATTGGGACGGTTTGATACTATTGTTTCGGCATTTGAAAATTCAAAAGGCGTAGAGGACGGTAGCCGGAGAACTGAAGACGATGACCCTGGCATGAAGACCAGGCAGCGTCTGGAAACCGTGACGGATGAGATGCACATCATGAAGCTGAGTCTGCAATGCGAGTCTGTTGATGGGGCACCACAGTCCATTGCCGGTCTGCATAGACGGCTGGACTCGTGCATGGAAATAGTCCACACAAACTCGAAAGAGCAAATGTCAACCTCGGAGGCAGTCAAGGCCATTGAAGATGCTCTGAAACTGAAACTGTCAGCACAAACAGACGACGGCGGGCAACATGCGCAAGCCAAGCTGGCGAGCAGGCACAAGACGGAAATCGAGGAAATATTTGACCAAAAATTTCAGCCACTATCTGCCTCTCTAGGCGACAAGTTGAAAGGCATGATGCAGGAGAAGCTAACAAAGGTGGCTCACGACCTGGGGTCTTTTGTCGACAAGGAAAGAATTGCAAGAGAAAGTGCAGCTGCTAAAGCCGACCAGTCCCTTGCCGAGGTGTCAGCGTTACGTCGGGGTATAGACGGTCTGAGGAATAGTATTTCCACGTCGGTGGACAAGCTGGACCAAAAAATTGGCGAGCAGCGCAAGCTGGGCACCTCGTGGAATGAGAGACTATCGTCCCTCGACAGCGGTCTGCAGCGTATTTCAAAAGAAGCCGAGACAAATTTCCAGAAATTGGAGTTGCAACTACAAACTGTCAGTGCCTGGCAAGGAAACTTTACCACAAAAGACCTGTACCGAGACATCATCAAAGACATAACTAATAACCTGCCTCCGGGCCCGTTACAAAAGATATCCTCGCTTACGACTCGCTTGGAGACAATTGAGGCACACTTGAATAATTCGAATGGCGACGGAGTTTCGAAGAGGCGTAAGGCAGCGCATAAATAGGCGATGAAGAAGATTGCGAGAAACATGAACGGGCGGGTTGCTGCTACTGAGTGTTGGATGGATGGTGATTGAGGAGAGTTTGCTCAGCTGTTTTCCTGTGTATCTTGGTCTGACTCGCTGTACTTGCTACATCAGCCCGACAATGGACCGAATGACTGAATATTTGTGAATCAAAGGCCCGATGTGTCAGTCATGGCCATGTGGCTTGGTGAAGTGACGTGCATGGCCACGATGGTGACGTTAATTGATTAATGGACTGGAACCGATCGAATGAAAATTTCCCGTCCACAGCCTCTTGGCAAGATTTTCATGAGAGATGAAGACATGCAGTGAGGAATTAAATAGTCATACTAACAATGGTTAGGAGAGCATGGTATGCTTTGGGTGTTCCGTGGCTTTTTCGCGACGCAGCATTTGTAAATGATCCTCGGTCACCTCCCGGTCTGCTTGTCTGCACCATGGCGTGTGCTCCGTCAACTGAAATGGACATGAAAGATAAACTTATAAAGTAGAGTAAATGATGGCATCGTGCCCACTTATCTGGTCCGGGGGCGCGATGCATAAGGAATGGATTTACACAATCCAATGACACCCGGGATTAGCGCATAGGTCACTCGAGTATCTCGTCGCTTGTTCGTCCAGATGTCCGCTTGCTTGGTCCGTTCCCGCCCGCCAGCAGGGACACTGGATGGAGTTTGAAAGCATTCTCTTCATGCCACTTGAGTGCTTGATATTGCGATATTGCGTATTGACGTATCAAAGCACGGCATTCTTGTACCTGGTACCTGAGTCTAGGGCCCATGTGCACGCAGGGTGACCTTGCAATTCGTTGTCAAAGCAAGGAAGGGTACGTGGGTAGGCACCTTCCACCGAAAGTTGGCAGGCACTCCTCACATTTGCGGCGGAGGAATGCTGCAAACCCACTTGGTTACTCACATTGTTAATCCCCTTCGACCTACTCGACATCGTCAGCCGTCAGCATGTGTTAATCCTGCACCAATTCACGCGCACTGTGTGGTACGGAGCACACGAGTATTCCGAGGACGCGAATCGACAAGGTGCGGCGAGAAAGCGGGCCTGCCCAGGTGGGAAAGCATCTTGGGTTGATCACCAGCCACAACCACCCGAACCCGTGGCCTGGCACTGGCAGGCATCACGCTGACATCCGACATCAACTCACCTCCAGCAACCAACAACGGAGGGTACCCAGTCTCAATCGCTAGACAGCCGCGTAAATCCCCCATTGGGAGCGAGCCGGGTGTTGAAGGCGCCCATCTTGCACGCGGCCAACCAAGACGGTTCACCGACGACGGGGTCAAAGACTGTCCCAGGCACTGACGCTGGCCGCTGACGAGTGACAAGGCCCCAAAAAGTCGGCCGCATTTCGCCCCAACCCCATCCCCGTCTTTTTTTTTTCCCGTGTTTTCTTTTACCTCGAATGTAGTGGGCTTCCGTCGACCATTGTCTCGGCCCGCGCTGAATCGCAACCGCCCCCATTGTTGGCTATTGGGGAAGGGAGCGAGCTTTGCGCAGCTGAACTCTTTCTCTGCTGCCCTGCGAATCCACTCGTTTGCCTCGTTTGTTCCTCGTGGTCGAAGAGAAGGCCTATACAATCCTCCGACTCGAGGTCCATCGTCGCAGCGACGTGGTGGACTCGGGCTCAACCGTGGTGGGACGACAAAATCCACGCCGGCTCCGACACCAATCTACCCCATCCTTTCTGTCCAGGGTCACGACTCCAACGACCTGCTACCCTCGCGGCTACGATCCTACACTATCGCCTACCGCACGGCGTTTCGCGCCCTCGGTCCATTCAACCGTCTTCTCAGCCGGAGAGCCGCCTCATTTCGTGCGACGACGTAGCCGCGTGTTTTGCTGCTACTGTCGTCGCTTCCGCCGCCATTGCCGCCGCTTGCGCTCGATCGCTCGCCGCCGCGTCTTGCCTCCCGGCATGGTCACGCCCCGCGAACAATGGAAGCTGCGGCGAAGACGGTTGAGGTGCTCTCCAAGCGCATTCTACCAGAGAAACCGCACCATCTAGCCTTTCATCCCACCTGGCGATATCGCCCACCGCCCGAGGACGACGCGGCCGAATCTCGTGGCGCTAAAAGGCGCTTCGAGGAATGGCACAACACCCGTCTGCAATATCTGACATTCTTATCCGAGGCCGACCGTGGCACCTTGTTCACGCGACCCTACTACGACATGCGAGAAGAGCCGGTCAAGCCCGTACCGCGCGAGGTCAGCACGCTCGCAAAGGGCACCGGTACTGGCGAGAAGAAGAAGTTGTCGTTGAGCGACTACAAGAACAAAAAGACTGGCCTCGTCGCCTCTGCTTCGCCCCCGGAGCCCGCCATTACCAAAAAGAAGGAGAGCGAACGTGCCGCGGCTGCCACCAGCTCTGCAACATCTACCCCCGCCCCTGCAGTTGCCGATGGCACCAACAAACCACCGCGCCAAGAACCCAAGCGGCCGGATGGCCCAAGGATACGGGAGCCAGAGTCTACCGGCGCAAAGCCGAAACCGACTCGCGACCACAACATTGCTGACACAAGGTGGGCATGGCCTGATGATAAACTCTGTAGTCAATTTTACAAAGCTAACAAGATTGCCTTTCCCCCCCAGGCTCCCCCCCAAACCCCCATCGTTACCTCCACGCCCCCCCTCACCTGCAGGCAAGCGACGTATGCCTGATGCCGATGACGAGCGCCCACAAAAACGGCCGAAACCTGAGGATCGCCCGCAATCCAATCGCGACGAGGCGCCACGGCGGAAAGAAAAGCCTCTCCCAGCATCGCGAGACAGGGAGAGAGAGCGAGATAGGGACAGAGATAGAGACAGAGGTAGGGATCGAGATGGGTCTGCTCCTGCCTCTAGAGACGATCGGGGGCCCTCGTCCTCCTCGTTGTTGAATGGAAGATCTATTCTGAAGAGCAGCATCAACTCTGGACGGAGTACGTCGCCGGCTAGTCGACCTCGCGGCGATTCCTTAAACGGGGCGCGTGGAAACAACGCCAACCGAACCTCACCAATGAAGCCAGACACCTCAACAAAGGCACACGTACCGCCATTGCTGTCGCCTTTGCATCTAGGGTTCGAGGATAGGCCCTCGCGTGGCGACAATGACGACCCGAGCTCTAGAAAAGACAGAAAGAGGCAGGACGGCCCAAGTGAAGCGGCGGCAGCGACACCGAAGCAAAAGAAGACGGATATCAAGAAGCCTAGACCCGCAGTGACAATACCTCCATTATTATCACCCACTTTACCGCCAGCCATAGAAGCAGAGTTGAAACGACGAAAAAAGGCTGCATCGGACTCGTCAGATGAGAGATGCAGAGACGGCAGGGACGCCCTCGGGATAAAAAGGGATGGCGATAACGATCGCAAGCCGAAGAATAAACTGGGCCACCGCAGGAGGCTGATTGTCTCTCTCAATGTGCCCAAGGCACTGCGAGCAAGCTTTGCTGATATTGTTGGTCGCGCACCAGCACGTCGCAAAGATTCTCAAAGCCAGTCAGAACGTGAGAATGAGCGGACTCGCGCCGGTAGCGAGGAAGCAGGGCAACATGTTCCAGCAAGGAAGAGACCTATTGGGGCCGTGACTGGTGCTTCTGATGGAGTTGCCATGAAGCGGCCTCGGTCGTCGGACGTATCGACACATCCGAAGCTCGCCACGCCAGCAACACCATCCAAGAAGCCTGCTGCCATGTCACGAGTGAGCTCGACCAACTCTGTAGCGCAAACGCCAACGGAAGCAGTCAACTCGACTCCCTCGGCGTCGGCGGCCGCGCCTGCAGACCGTCGTCCCAACGGCAGCGACGCTGCTCCCAAGGCAACAAGCGCAGAGGCCAAGGCTATGAGCGACAAGGTGGAGCGGCTGAAGGAAGTGGGAAAAAAGTTAAAACACGAAGCAGACCAAACGCTGAAGAGGTTCCGCGGCGACACGGGGAGCATGAGGGGCAAACCTGGAGAGGCCAAGGTCAAGTCTGGCTTTGTCCTGAGCCTCGAGAGCATCATTGTCTTCATGATGGCGTTTTACGGAGCAGACATTTGGCGCGGCATGGACCACAAGATTGGAGATCACCGCGCATGGCTGAGCATGCTTCCCATGATTGAGTTCCTCAAGAACGAAATGCGCCGCTGCGACGTCAGCAACAGCCAACCGCTGTATGCCATGGTCCTCATGCTGCACGCCATGTCGCTGGACGAGTTGATCAGGTGCTACATCCGTTTTGACAGCCTCAATGATGCACTCGCCAAGGAGATTGTCGGGAGGTTGCGCGAAAAGAATAAGATATGGCCGCGCGTTCACGAAGTCTCCTCCACCATCCAGAACCCGCGCCTTCGCATCGACGTGCATCCGTGGTCCACGCTCGACGACGTTGCCGATGCGTCACTGCGCGTGCTGCGACTATGGTGCGCCGAGGAGAAGATCGACTGGGCTCCCACCCAGTCACTCAAGGATCTTTGGACCGCGCCACCGGGTCCCGGCCGCCGATGAAACCGGCGACAGTGGTTGTATGCACCCAAAAAAACCCCGACGGCTGGTGCGTCAAGCGGCACAACCCACCAGCCGTCCATGTATTATGAGAGAAACAGGGCCAGGCGGAATCCCGCTAGCAACACTGAAAAAAACACGAGGCGTCAGGACGTTTTTGAGAGCGGGAACAGGACAAAAAGCCCGGGACGGGCTGTGCATCCACGGCGTTTTAGTTGAACACATCTTTCTCTTCATCCCCCCAGCACAACACACGGTATCAAGTCTAGCTCTGCCATCTAGGACATCCCCCGCCCGCCCCTCGGTGTATTTTTTTTTTCTTTATCCTTCTCCACCTCTTCCCTTATTTTCTTCATTCCTGTACCATGATATCCCCTCCGTTTCATACGTTTTCGCCCGCCGTCTCCAGAGGGAGAGCGTCATTTGCTTTTTTGATTTCCAGATGCGATGTGTTTGGCAAGGAGGTGGTGATGGGCGTGGATCATGGCTTGGGTCTGGCACCGTGCAAAGTAGCAGTAGATGAATGGAAATTGATGAAATCAGCACCGGGGCCAATGTGCAACTCCTGAACTACATTACTGACGTAATCAGAGCAGTACTGCGAATAGACAGTGTACAATGACGGGCAACTGACAATGCCTGGAGTAAAGGATACAAACGTGTTATTTTTACACGTAATGGAAGACAAACTCCGGCACCACGGACATTACGCCCACCACTACAAGCTCAGACATACAATGGACAGAAACAGGCAATCTATTCTCAAGTAGCTGTATATATACCCCTGCCTCCACCGGACCATGTCCAGGGAATATTTTGTTCATTTTCATTACAAACAATTTTAAGTCCCCAGCTGCCAGTTTAAACTCGATTTTGATTTCATTCGGTTACTCTCTTATTTTCTTTAAAAAAAAATCCCTTGAGGCCATTCTCGGGGACCGCAGCCAAAAGTACCATGGAGTTGCCAAAGCCACATTCCCGATGCAGGATATTGAGCAGTCGGTTCCTGTCGTAGCAATCAAAGGCAAAATTTACTTGCCAGCGTCAACCTTGGCAATGTAGGCAAGGAGATCGAGGACACGGCGGGAGTAGCCCCACTCGTTGTCGTACCAGGAGACCAGCTTGGCAAAGTTCTTGTTGAGGGAGATGCCGGCCTTGGCGTCAAAGATGGAGGAGTTGGTGTTGCCGTTCATGTCGGAGGAGACAATATCGTCCTCGGTGTAGGCGAGAATGCCCTTGAGGGGGCCGTTGGCAGCCTCCTTGATGGCCTCCTTGATCTCGTCGTAGGAAGCACCCTTCTCAATGCGGACAGTCAAGTCGACAACGGAGACGTTGGCGGTGGGAACACGCATGGACATGCCAGTGAGCTTGCCGTTGAGGTCGGGGATGACCTTGCCGACAGCCTTGGCGGCACCGGTGCTGCTGGGAATGATGTTCTGGGCAGCACCACGGCCACCACGCCAGTCCTTGCCAGAGGGGCCGTCGACGGTCTTCTGGGTGGCGGTGTAGGAGTGGACGGTGGTCATGAGACCCTCGACAATGGTGAACTTGTCGTGGATGACCTTGGCAAGGGGAGCCAGGCAGTTGGTGGTGCAGGAAGCGTTGGAGATGACATCGGCCTTGCCGTCGTACGTCTTCTCGTTGACGCCCATGACGTACATGGGGGCATCGGCAGAGGGAGCAGAGATGACGACCTTCTTGGCGCCTCCGGCCAGATGGGCCTTGGCCTTGTCGGTGGTGGTGAAGACACCGGTGGACTCGACGATGTACTCGGCGCCAGCGGACTTCCAGGGGATGGCAGAGGGATCGCGCTCAGTGAAGAACTTGACCTTCTTGCCGTTGACGACGAGGCCGTCGGCCTCCTTCTTGATGTCGCCCTTGAAGATGCCGTGGGACGAGTCATACTTGAGCATGTAGGCCTGGTCATGGCAAACGGGTTCCAGTCAGCAAGGCGGCATTCGCAAGAGTAAAGCTGGCGTGGGGCTCCAGCTGGAATTGTTGTGGTGGCATGGACCTGCAGAGTCAAGTGAGGGGCAGTGAATGGGCCACTACCCAAGGGAAGGAGGGGGAGGGGCAAGCCAAACAGCCCACTCGGACACGACGGCAGAAAAAGAGGGCAAAGGGGACAACTCACGGCGTATTCAGTGTCGATGAAGGGGTCGTTGACGGCCACGACCTCGATTTCGGGGTGCTCGACGGCGTTGCGGAAGACGATGCGGCCAATACGGCCGAAACCGTTGATGCCAACCTTGACGGGAGCCATTTTGCGTGTGTGTATATGGAGAGAGCTGGAGCTTGGACGTCAGTACGGGAGTCTAGGAAGCTAGAGACAGAGCTGGTGTCGAGCTGTGGTCAAGCTCTGCTCAGCCAATGCAGGACGGGATACATACCGGACAAAGTGCCTGGTGGGAAGAATGGTGAAGTTGTATGGAGAGCGGGAAGAGAGGAAGAAAAAGGAAGAGGAAGAGGGAAGAAGATGGAGTCGGAGGGGACGGAGGGAAGGCGGGACAAAATAGTGGTCAGTCCATGTCCCTGGAGCTTGGGAGCTTGGGTCTGGTCGACGGTGCTTGGGGTGTCTGTCTGGTGTGTTGCTGGGCGCGCAACTGGCTGCGTCTTGGCTGGCCACGGCGTCGGGACTGTTGAGGCCAGCAGACGTCAGAGGCCAACAACTGGCGCACGCAAACCTGGCCAAGCGGGTGCATGCATCATTCACACTTGCACCGTGAGACGGAGCCGGGTTCTGATACACGAGCGGTACTACTATTCACGCTATTCAACGAGACGATATTTCAATTGCCTTGCCTTGCCATGCCAGACGCCGCGGGCTTCATGTCCATCCTCGCCGTGGTCGTGCAAGTCGCCATCCAATATCCCAGCCAGCCGCCACTTGCATGCACCACCGCAAAGGCAAAATTCGCCAGCGATGCTTCCCTGCGCCATGTAATTTGATGAGGAATCGAATGAGCTCAGCCATTGATGATGCTTTGACGGGCCTCGCCTTGCTCCACCCAGCCGATGCGTCTTTTTACGGATCCGGCGGGGACACAATTCGTTAATAGAAACGCTCTCTCAACCACACCGACGAGCACATGAGCACCACCTTGAGAGAGAAAAAAAAAAGGACATGAGGGGTACCCGCTGTTCCATGGTTGTCGCAGCCTGGCGTCCATGTACCCCCGTGGTAGGCCCTGCTGGCCTTATCGTGTTGTAGATATGCCTGCTGGCAGCAAGACCGCGAGTAATAGCCATGATAAATCACTCAAAACGTGTCTCCGGTCGCGGTGACGACTTGCTGCTGACTCACGCAGGATCAGGTGTGTGAGGAGACGAAAAAAATCAGACGGTCCAGACATGTCCAAAATGTACCGACGCCAGCTCTGTCACACTCTCAGCAGCGGAATGCCTTCACGATGGCCTCAATCTAATTAATTCCGGGGCCCCTCTGGTCGCGTGGGCGGCTCGGATGCATGGCGGGAAATGGTTCATCTGCATTGGCCATCCATTCGCCCGTTTTGCCCATCTTTCCCGGAGCTTCACGGCTGCGGGCGGCTCTGGCCTTTGCAGCCGCGTCCGCCCGGGGACGTCGTCGGGAACACCAGGAACAGTTCTCGTCGTCCCGAACTTTGCCCACAGGGAATACAAGCTCTTCGGAAGTTTTCAATCGTAAACTTCCACCTGGACCGGGGCAACCTGCCCGTGTGTCAACCCCCGTGTCTGGGCCCAATGCTTAGTCTTGCCATCCATGAAACCGTCTCCACCAGTGTGCCATGTTTAATATTTCCCTCCTACACGGCAGATAATTTGCGAGACAATCGCCAGTTCGTCCATTCTATTGTGGTGTAGACAGTCCCAAAATTGGCTCATGCCTCATTCGAGCATCAGCAAAATCCTGCGCTTTGAGACGCCAGCAAATGGCGGATGACGCACGCTTCGGCGCGCATGGAATAATCAGGACGCAAAGGTGGCCGTCGCTGTCCAACCGTCATCACCGCTGCCAGCGCTCCGGAATTCGATGCCCTGTGCGAAATATCCGGCATCCTGCCACGCCTTCATGGTCGCCTTGTCAAACGGGCCTTGCTTCGCTCCGCCATCGCGGCCATCTGTCCAGCGGAATTCCCATTGTTGGGTTGGCGGCTCAGCAGTGGCAGTCGCCTCGTGCTCGACATCTTGATGCCGTGACGCCGGTTCGACCCAATCTTCCCCGGTCTCGCGCCGGTATGCCCGAATGAGCAGCTCGCGGTCCTGGTCGTAAACCTCTTCGTAGTCACGGCTGAGCAATTTGTCAGCCGCGTCAGTGATGGCATTGATGGATTCCTTGATCCGCGTCTGCTCCGCGTCTTGGGCAGAGTCCTCCTTGTCCACCTCCTTGTCCACCTCCATGTCTTCTGCGCCCTTGTTCATCTTCTTGAGTTTCCATTTGGGTATCTTCTTGGTTTTGGTCTGGCCTCTGCCCAGCCGAGCCAGGGCCTCGAGGGGCGACTCTGACGGTTCCAACTGCAGGATCAGGGTCTTGAGCATGTCTGAGACGAGGACGTCGGCTTCTTCGCGGCGCTGCTGTCGCGCTTCTGCTTCGCGTTTCTCATGCGCGGCAGCTGCCTTTTTCATGTCCTTCTTGCTCACGCCGTCTAACCAGTTGTCGTGTACGGCGTCGGGGTCGGCTGCTTTGCGCACGTAGTTGCCAGACTGGTCAAACTGGCCTTCTTCCATCTCCGCTTGCAAGTTGAAGGCCTCGACCTTTGGCGCATTACGCTTCAGACCGCCGGCACCGACTTCCTCATCTACGCCCTCTTCTAGGGCTGCCAGCTGTGCTTCCGCCTCGTCGTCCTCGCTGTCTTGGTCATCGAGCCTCACGTGGCCACCACTCTTGCTGCCGTGTTCCTGGCCCATGATCTGCGCGGCATCAAGAAACCGGACATCCTTCTTCTTCTTTCCAGACTTGTCAAAATCGGCATCTTCCTCCTCCTCCTCCTCCTTGGGTGCGTCCGCCTCGCCGCCCATGGCAAACATGTCCTGGTCGTCCTCGTCCTCGTCCGCACCATTGACATTGCCCCCCGAGGCTGCTGCTGCAGAACCTGCGGCATCGTAGTTGTCAAGCTGCTCATTGATATCGACTTTGCCCTTCTTGCGGCTTGCAGCCCTGGTGTTGAATGTTTCGTTATCCGAGTCGCTATCGTAGCCGTCTAGGTTTACGGCACCGCGCTTTGTGGAGTGCCTGCTGCCGATGACGTCTGCATCCAGGATGGCATCTTCCTCTCTTGAGTCCGGGGCCAGTATGGACGGGTTTCGGACGTCAAATTTGGCGTTGCCACTGTCGCCGCCTGCTTCACCGTGGTGGGTGCGAGCAAAGTCCTCGCCCGCTCGATTTGGCCGCGCCGCCGAATGCCGCGAGGACATGGTGAAGCAAGGGATCGAAAATGGCTTTGTGTAGCAATGGAAAGAATGAACCAATCGAGAGTCGATGCCTCCACGCTCAAAGGTGATTCTAAAGATGCGTGATGGCGACTTGAATCTATGCAGTTGGGGCCCGGGCCCGATGGATGGAAAATAAATGTCAACTGAATTTGACATCTGGACAAGGTCAAGTTCAACGCTAGCGCAACCCTTGTTGCATCGTGGTGCTAAGCTTGAGCCACACCTCCAGATGCCCCCTGTTGCGCGCCACAGAGGACCTTTGCGTCATTCGTAGAGCTGCCTTTGGCGTTCACGTTGCATGTCATGTTCCACGTCACCCCACATTGACGCCTCGAGCACCGACTTCAAGCTTCGACTTTAACTTACCATCTCCTGCCTCCAGTTCAACCACGTGAATATATAAGCGGCGACAGTCCGACACCTTTTCCCCGCGCGGTGGTCGATTTTAGACCCAAAACTGCTTGTCTATTGCAAACAAGCTCTTCAAGAAAGCATTCACCCACAAAACTTGCTCCGATTGGCAACCCGTCGCCATGGTCAGCTCCAGCCTTCAGCCCTATTCATGATTACTTCAACCTGGCTAACTGGATCGCAGTTTCAACCCGGGTTTGGCGGTGGCTTCGATCCGGCCAACCCGGAACACCTTTACAACATGGCCCGCGGCCGGAGACCGGTGATGCAGCGATTCGACGAGTACTACAGGTGCTACCCCGTCGTCATGGCCCCCGGAGCTGAGCGACCCGAGCTGAACTATGGTTCCAAAATCATTCTGCCGCCCTCGGCCCTGGACAAGGTCTCAAAGCTGCATGTGCAGTGGCCGCTACTGATGGAAATGATCAACGGGGAGAAGGGAAGACATTCCCACGCCGGTGTGTTGGAGTTTATCGCAGAAGAGGGACGGGCATACATTCCCCAGTGGGTGGGTGATGACTTGGCCATGACCACATGTGCGGTTCTCGCAGACTAACAGGCTGCAGATGATGGAGACGCTGGGCATGGACGTGGGCGACATGATTCAGATCCGAACCACGTCGCTCGAACTGGCAAAAATGGTCAAGCTCCAGCCCCAATCAGTCAACTTTTTAGAAATTAGTGATCCAAAAGCTGTGCTGGAGAGGGCCTTTAGAAACTTTGCCACGCTGACCAAGGGCGACGTGTTCAACTTTGAGTACAACGACGAGATATACGAGGTGGCGGTGCTGGATGTCAAGCCCGAGACGGACAAGATGGGCGTCAGCATGATTGAGACGGACGTGTCGGTCGAATTCGCGCCCCCCGTCGGCTACGTCGAGCCCGAGAGGAGAAGCGGCACCAACACGCCCGGCAGCACTCGCAGCGGCGTTCCCACGGGCGGCCTTGTCCAGAGCCAGGGCACCATGGCCCAAGCAATCGGCTACGGCTCCATCGCGCCCTCCGTCACCAGCAACCCCACCAACTTTGTCGGCGAGGGCCAGCGCCTCACAAAGAAGGGCAGCAAGACGTCGACGCCAAAGCCGGCAACGCCCGTCCCGGCCGAACCAACTGCGCCCAAGAGCCGAACTGGCGCGCCGGCACCTCTGCGCTTGGCCCCGAATAAGCTGTTCTTTGGGTACGAGTACAAGCCGCTGAAAACCAAGGAGGAGAAGGAGCAGGAGCAGGAGGATTCCAAACGGCCGCACTTTGCGGGCCAGGGACAGAGTCTCCGAGGAACCGTCAAGAGAAAGGGCGAGGCGGATGACAAGAGCAAGGCGCCTGACAAGAAGGGTCCCAGTGAAGGTTACAGACTGGACGGTCGTCGTCCGAAGTGATGACTGGGCTTTTTTCTGGCGTTTGGGCTTTGGGCATGGGGTGATGGAAGGGATCTCGAGTTACTAGATGCCACAAACTTGATGAATTGATTCCATTACGTAGCTCTGTTCGTGCGATATAGGTACCCTGTGTTTCTCATTACAGATACCCATCTGGATCCCTTGCCATTATACACGCACCTGTCTCCCCCCAAAGCTATTGACTACTTCTCCCGTTATTTCCTAAGCAAGTACCTTTTCATCCATCTGCACGCCGTGGAATCCACTGCGATCCGGGTATCAATCTTCCACGTCACAGCACAGCCCTGCCACTCGTCAGTATACAGTGCCATATACCCGTGTGCCCAGGGAAGAATGCATACCCAAGGTAGTCAAAGCTCATGCGCTGTCTTACTTCGCCTTTCTCTTGGAAGGGGACTCCTCAACATCACCGGCCGCCTTTCTCTTCGTCTTGGTGGGGGTCATGGACTCTAGCTTCCCGGCTGGTAGGCCATGTCGGTCCTTGAAGCTCTTGAGGATGGCCTTTGTGAAGTGCTGTCTGGTGCGTGTTAGCCGGTGGCATGTCTTGCAAGGAGGGATGAGACCAAGTGTATAGATCGTAGAGGGGAGGATGGGGAAGCGTACGAAATAGCATCCTTGGTGAAGTCGTGGCCAAACTTGACCATGAGTTCATGGATCTCAGGCCACTTGTATGAACCGACTGAGCCGCCGGTGTAAATGATGGCCATGCAGAGGTCAAGTTCAGCAGTGATTTCCCACTTCTTGAAGGGAGGCATCTTGGCTGTAAGGGCTGGGCTGGGGTGAAAATGGATGAAATGTATGAGAATGAATGTGTGATGGGCTTGGGCTGGCAGGTGGTGATGAGAGAGAGAGAGTGTGTGTGTGTGAGGAAGAGGTTGTAGAGGGAGAGGAAGTGAATAGAGTGAAGGAGTTTTATACCAGGAGTGTTGGTGCACAGGGTGACTGACAGTCGGCAGTGTTTCTTCCAGGTCACAAAGTGAGCGTCAGGTGAGACGATAACGCAATCTATTTGGTAGCTATCTTATACTAGTGACATTACTGCCATGCCAGGTCTCAGTACCCCGAGCCTACATATGTAATTGCTTTGTATCCATCACATCCCAACTCCACCAGACGTTAGGGAATATTCAAGCATACACAATTGACATTGATTCCGTGTGTACGCTTTTTGTATTTCACCGTAAAACTTTGTAATCAGGCAAGAGATCGAGGACGACACCGAAAAGGAACTGAGGAGAAGGTTCCTCCTGACCATTGAACCATTTCTGACTTCTGTATTCCCTGGATCCAGACCTCAGATCCTTTGTGACGAGATCGCGAGCGAGATTGACAAGGAACTCTCGAAGGTGATCTTGCGCCGGCTTCAGCTTTTCGAGCTGTTGCCCGCTTCCGTAGCGCACGAATACATCTACCAGCATAAATGCAAGCGATATTTTGTCTAAGTAGTGATCCTTTTTTGGTGTTTTTGTAAGTCCAAGAAATTGGCATGATGTTTCCATCCCATCCCGCCGGGTTTTTGCGGAAGAAGTCTTGACAGCCTGGACTGGTATAGGAATCCTGCGGCGGTACAACCAGTTGACATATACCTTGAAGCTCGCTGGGCTGTGGCTTTGCAAGAAAATGCATTTATGCCCATCTTCTTCTTCTATCACAAGATCTTTAAAATTCCTTTTGCCAAGGTCAGATATCAACAGCCCTTCATGGACGGTGAATCTTTTCGAAAGTTCGGAGCCAACAACGACATCGACCATTGCAGCACATAAGCTGTGATATGAACTGTGTGAGACAAGGCCTACCGTACGGAACCTGGAAGATGACTTACTCTAGAGCCTCAGAGGGATCTATCCTCAGATCAGGGATGCTCATGATGGGCATGCTGAGGATGGTCTTGGCCAGCTGTGCCGGCAGGTGACGCAGGTGACAAATTGTGCTTCATACCATGAGTTTGTTATGCCTCGTTACAGATGCTTACCGCCAAGAGAATTATTACTCACATGGTCTCACGGGAGCAAGAAGAGATAGATGTAGCCAAGAGGGGGAAGCAAAACTAGAGATGCAAGAAGGAAGAAAAGAGAGGGCGCAGTGGGAAACATCAACCACTATATATAAGTGAGAGGTGAGCAGCAAGTCAGAAATAAGAGAATTGGCAAACGGATGACTGAGTCCGTTTGCCACAGCCTCACAGGCACACGACTACCGGAAATTTAGAGCAAGCCAATTTTTGAACAAGTCTGCATTCTGTAATTGTACTACACCCTATTGGAGTGTGGTCGTCCAAGGTAACTGCTTCGTACAGCTACCTGCCACATGGGCAACGAATTCTCAACGCTAAAAAAAATTACATACTTCTCTGGGGTTCATGATATCAAAGACATGGGTTACTCCCCTCAGACGCCCCAGCCGCTCAACATCTTGCTAATCTGGCCCTCAACCCTCTCCTTTGCAGCCTCACTCTCCTTCTTTGATCTTCGAAAGAGCATAACCTTGCTGCCCAACTCAAACGGGCAGATAGAGTAAACAAAGTTCCAGAGCCCTTGCAATAACTCTATTCCCTGGAAGTCACAAGGTCTCATTCCACCATGCTGCTTGAGGGCATCATCCCACGTCTTTGCCAACTTCCACGCTTCTTGATCTTCATCTTCATCAGGGTGGTTACCAAAGTCGCCGCTAAAAATGGCCTTGCGCAGCTTTTCGGAAGCTTCATCGACCCTGCCGTGTACGTCACGAAAGGACGTGAAGAATTCGTGCGCGGGGTGGGTGACGGACGACCAGTCGAAGTCTAGAAGCGCTGTGATGCGCTTCGTATGTGGGTTATAGAGCATATTGCTTACGGCTTTTTTTCAGGGTGTCAACGTTGGGTCAGCGAAGCGTGGAGAGCGGTACATACTGAAATCGTTGTGGACAAGTCCAAGCAAGGTCGTATCGACTTCTCCGTTGTGGATAAGAACTCCCAACTTGTCATTTTTGAACTTTTCAATTCTTTCGCGGACGCCTCCTTTCCAACCGTTGATGAGCGTGCTCTCGTCAGCTTGCTCCAACGCGTGGTCGATTCTGGCTTTCCAATGGCCAACGTATCCCGACGGCTCGCCCTTGTGCATCGTAGCCTGCCCCGAAACAATATCTCCATCCCGAACTGTCATTCCTCCATGGAGCTCGACTCGTTGGGGCAATTTCGCCTTCTGGAAAGCCGCAAAAATGCACGCAATCTCGCCAATGACCCTCTTCTTTTCATCCCACTTCATATCCCCGAATAGCATATCCAACACCTCACCCTCCATGTACTCCATGACTATCCACCCAAATCCTTGCTCGGGAGCATCTCCGGCCATCATTCGAGTGCTCTTCCACGCATAAACACGAGGCACTATGGCATCATACCTTCCTCCCTCAACACTCGCCATGGCTTCCCTTGCCACCGCCATGGCACAAACTTCATTCTCCACGCGGTTCGTGTTATTCATCCCCATAGACGTCGGATTGCTCAACCTCACAATGACAGTAGATTCACCTGTCAAAGGGGGCAATACAGCACATGTCTGGTGTCCTGCTCTCGTGAAATGCTCCTTGGTAGCGGGCGAAGAGAGCGCAACCTTGTAGATGAAGTTGTTGACCGGAAAGGGGTTGTATCCAACGTATTCTACTGGAGTAACCGATTCGCTCTGTTCGATTCTGTTATTAGCTTGCGTCTTCTCAGGCGCCTGATATCACAGTGATGGCGCAGAATGCATCACCAGTGCATCACCGTGTCTGTGCAAAATAGGGGGACGAATATAGGTTGCGAGTTGGCTGTACAAACCTTCAGGCCAAAGGAGCAAATAATGTCCTGGACAAGGCACCTTCGTCGGTGATAAGCTTCCTCGCTGGAATCCATAATGATTAATGCCCAGAGTCGTGCGCCTGGTGCTTGTGTGCCCGGTGTGCGTGCGAGCTATCAATAATATCTAGCAAAGAGGTGAGCTGCCGAAGCGAAACTGTCGGAGGCATGAATTGGGGAGTTTAAGCTTGTTTACCTTTGCTATGACTAAATCACGGGATCTCAAGGCATAACTCTCAGTCTGCGGCTGCCGAAATTGTACACAAGATTCCCGAATAGGAAACCACGGCTCACACCGTGTTCGTGTATCCCATACCAACTTCATGTGATACGTCTGCAGCCAGGACAGCAGCAACACGCACACGCAGAGAGTGTTGTCAGTAATTGCGCGATGTAGAATGTGCATCTGACACTCTTTCACAATGCTATATTCAGTCATGGTGCCAACTGTTCACCCGCCGCATATACACATGATCTACAAACTACGTATCAAGTATTATTATAATGCCGCCATGTTCCTACTGTACACACTCATACATGACTTACTCTTTCATTGCAAGTCCCAATATTCCACCCAACATGCCTCTCACCCTCCTTGGGTTCTCTCTCGCACAGGTAAAAACCACTGCCGTGCTCAAGGCAAACGCCAGCGTTTCTCTCCACTGCACCTCCATTTTGTACTGCCTGGGAAGCAGCGTAGCCATTGCACGGGGCGCAACAAATAGGGCCATGTCTTTCCTTCGGTTTGCAGTCTCGATCAAGACGCTCCATCCGCAGAGGAAGCAGCCTACGCCCACGCAATACCCGCCATCTATCTTCTGTCGACAAGCGACATCCTTTCCCAGTAAATGGGGGCCAATGCGGGTTCGGCCAAGACAGACGCCGTAATAGAATAGCGTAATATAAGTGCCCAAGAAGGCAGATGATCTGGCGGCTGAGAGGAGTGCGGTCCTGAGAGAGTCGCGATTCGGCTTACGCAATTGTAGGGCCAAGGCGAGAGGGAGGTATGTATACATTGACCACTTCCAGGAGAGCCAGAATCGTCGCCAGGCATGATATTCGCACGATGGGCCGCGTCCCATATGAACTATATCGCAAGGAAATGGAATAGTTTTGCATGGATCGCCCCATTCGTAAGGCAGGCTATGGTCTGTACACATGGTGCCAAGGAGATGTGCCTGACCTGTTTCCTTCTCATAACTCAACTCGCGGGTCCGACAACGGCGCAGTGCTTCAATGAGGCGAATATCTACGTGGGCAGCTGATGTGATCCACTTGTTGTATGCCCGTGGGAGGTTATCAGGAGCGTAGAACCAAGCCCACATGATGAGCGCGCAGGATGCTACGAATGAAACTGGGTCAGTCATTTGAGAGATGAAAGCCTCGACCTGTGTTTGACAGATTAGCAAAACTCGACTAGACTCAATAGTTTAGTCTAGCATAAGCTAGGGCATGCTCAGCAGGGGCAAAATAGCACGCAAGACTGCCTGTACGAGCTTTTATCTTTGCAAACTGGGGCAAAGCGGTGAGTTGCGCGCCGTATAATTTCGTACCTTGGTCCATTTTTGCGCGGCCAGGCGCCGGCTCTTGTGTCGTGCCCATAGTTCGCCGACAATAACGTCTATGGCCTGCGTTGCCGCGAACAGTGTCAGGTCCACCGTTCTCCCAGCAAGTTTCTTGCCGGTTGCGGGATCGACGTATCGAGTTGTAGATGATCCGGCGCGCCTTCGCAATGTAGGCTTTTTAGACTGTAACAGCTTTAGACTAAACCAAGCAGAAACGAACGTGGCAAGAAATCTGCTGAGTCTGTAGTGGAGATCCCAAGAGCGTGGAGGTTAGCTTAACTCCAGGACGGAACTTGGTAGTTTGGCCGGAGATCCGATCCTACGTACCTTAGTTTGGCAACACTGCCAAGGTTTGTGGCGGCGCGGGTTATGATCTTGTTCAAGGGTGCCTTGTTTCCAATGAATGTTAACAGGGGTGTAGAGAGAGCAAACGTGAAAAACACAATCTATGTATAGCAGAATATTTGCCCACCAAGAGGTATACACTAATATACTGTAATATATTATGAAGCGTGATACCTGGGCACCCGATTTGGTCAAATACTTTCTGTCTCCCGCTATAAGCTGCCACTAAAAGTAACAATGCGCAGGGGAATAAAGGCAGCTAATAGGATAGCAATGTTTTTTTTTAACTTTGATCCGTGTTGACATGATTTTCTGGGGATAGAGCAGACTAGGTTTGGGGTGGTGTGGTGAAGCTTGGGAGAACGAGTACCGGGATCGGGGTCTCAAGGTAGTAGTTGGGGTAAAGATGTGGGGTGAAACGTGGTGTGTGAGATGCTAGGATAGTTTGTGACTCGAGATTGATAAAGCTAGTGAGATGTTTTTGCAGCAGTGAAATAAAAATGACGACGAACCTGTAATAGAGTGGCACCTCCAACCAAGGCAGCACAAAACGTGGGAAATCGGCAAGGATCCAAGCCAGTCTTGAGAACATGTTTTGCGGATTCCAAAAAGGTGTTCTCGTCTCTTTCCGGTAATGCGTAATTGGGCGTCTTCCGCTTCCTGTTGGACAAATGCTGCAAGACAAGCGTCAAGAGTCGCGGCAGTACGGCAGACGCATAGCCCAACAGGTATGCGCGTACAAGCGGCCGCAGGGGGGGCGGAATTGACTGCAGCTGCAGAAAGGACGACTTGCGGGGGGAGCTGGTACCAGTGCTAATTTTGGCCATTGTTGAAGTGAGAATGCTTCGAGTATCCGGACTGCCTTTGGAGGAGGCAGCCCCCCGTAGTTCCATGTTGGGAAATACTCGCGAATGCGGAAATGGAGATGGCGGACGAAAGACGGATGGGGCAGTTGACAATCCGGGGTTGACCAACCGGCTGATGGCGAGCAAATGAAAGTACGTTGAGTGTTGATGGTGGTCGGTAGAAGTCGGGCTGATCTGTGGTGGTTCACTTTGATGGTGTGCACCGCTTTGTTTGGACCTTGACTCCTCGTCTACACGAACCACGGGTAGCAGCGCCGACGGCAGCCTTGCCTTGACCGTAGCTGATTCCGTCAGAGGACTTTAGAAGTGTCACACCAAGATGACGGTGGCATTCGCAGTTCCCCTTTCCAAGACGCCAAAGAGCCGGTTTCCTGCAATCCACAGGGGCGCAGAAAGTCAAAAGTTGACATTGACAGTATGCAAAGAGAAGGGGCGCATTCGATAGTGTCGTTGGCGGTGTACGTATGCCGTAGATGTCAGGTACTGTGTGAGAATTTGCGTCCGTGTAGCAAGTTGGTGTCGCGTCAATACAATATTATTAGATGACAGGTCTCGCCACGGAAAGGCTTGCCGTGCCGCTGCAAGTCGGCGTCTGAGCCCGAATCAACAGCGGCCGTCGTTGTAGCGAGAGCCGCGGAAGCGTGTTCGGTCGCACAACATCAATGCTGCGCACGAGTACGACGTAACCGGCCCGGACGTTGGGAACGGAGACGGTTGCGATGGAGCGCGTGGCCGCGTGGACCGAATGATGCGGTTATTTCAACATTGATGTTCGAAACGCCCCAAAGTTCGCGCTGGAGAGTTCCTCCCTTGGCTTCAGAAAAATACATCCTTCCTGGCCAGCTCAGGAGCTGTCACAAGCCTCGGCTAGCATGAAATGCTGTTGCTCCCTGGTTGCTCTTTCCTGGTGAAGGGAAGCGTGGGGTAGGGGCAGTACGTACTCCATGGGGGGAGGGGGGACATGTCGATTCTGCTCGGCGTTTCAGCATTCGGCGTTGTATCCTTCATCGACAGTCTGTATGTATGTATGTATGTATTCCAATACGTACTACATATGCATGAGTCTTCACAACATGGCGATGCCGAAGTACAACAGTCTACAGGGGCAATCGGGCGACCTTCCCAGCACGGTTGCCATCTCCAGCATTGTGGGCAGCTGTGGCCTGCCTATGACTGTGCTGGAACATGGTCCCAACCGGCAGCATGATCCCAGTCTCTGCTTCTGGTGCACCGTCTCCATGCACGACCTCACGCTTCAACTCAAAATTTTAAATTGGAACGGTCCATCTTGGCATAAAAACGGATCTAAAAAAAAACACCAAGCAGAGGTACATATGGAATACACGGCTACTCACCAACCGCAGGCGGTGGAACCCCGTCCACTGTTGTCAATCCGCTGCTGGCTTCCTTTAGGCCAAGCATCACTTGGCACCCATCAATATTGCAACTACAGCGCTTTGGCCGGAGATTTCCGTATGCGAGCTGCACATCGGCATGGACATCTTTTCGGCACATAATGGCGTCCGTGATATCCGCCCTGGCAGAGGCCAAGGCACTCTAACAAAGCCTTCAAAACGTCATGTGTCTCATTGACTTTGGAACCGTAGGAGAATCAAACAAGAAATTGGCGTTGAACTTTAGTATCAGTCTCTCGGAAAGACACCAGACGTTATACAGGCCAGGCAAATGTCCCGAAACCACCATCGTCATTAATCCAATATGGCAAGCCCTCCGAACTGTCTTCATCAGAGTGTGCAGGGGTGCATGGAGCCAGCGTGCAGCCGCACCCCCAAGACCGAGTCAATAACCAACAGTGAACATTCGAAGCTTGCCAAGATCTACAGAGCCACTCTGTCCTCGTCAACTGTTGCACAAATGTGGTGACGCCATCAATTTCACCCATGCACCAGAAAGGGGTTCAGGTGAATTACTATCTAATGTCCTGAAATAAGCTACAAAGCCACATTATTGCAAGCCACCGGTGATGGAAAGCGCATCGAATGTTCGCAAGCGTCCTCTCGCAGGAGGATATGGGGACACCCCTCACGTTGGCGTTTGCTCGTGATTCATTACTACAGGGCTGTTCCAGATCCCGCCAAGAATGACCTTGAATACCTGTACATACATACAATGCAACATTGTATTTCAGGTCATGTGCTCTGGTCTATGCAGTCAGTTGGTTTCAACTGGGGCTTTGTCAAGGGTCTACGGGGCTTGTCCGAAAACAACACACAATATTGGCAGATATTTGCTATTCGCAGTTGGATCTGTGGACGTGGCGGCACGCCCGTCTTCCAGGAGCGAGACCCGATATAGAATACATCTAATGACCGTGTCATGCAAGCCAACAATGAGATATAAAGTCGCCCGCCTGTTTCTCCTAGCTTTCACGAATAGCAGGAAAGTGACGAAAAGCCATGCCAGCTACTAAGAAATTCATCATGATTTACAGGCAAGGTAATGGTGTGGACCGGCCTAGCTTACGCCGGATCCGACTCTATCCCGAGCAAGCCAAACTGCCTAGGGGAACTGATAGTGCCACAAACAACTTCTTGAGGACTACGCAATGGTACGAACATTTTTGTGAAACAAAAGGACGGATGACCTACTGTAAATAGTCGCCGCGCCAATCCCATGCTTGACATCAGCCGACGGAGGACTCCGGACCCTGCTACGAGGCGCAATAAGCCCGGGATTGATCGGAGTCATCGCCATCACAATGGCATGGTGCAATCGACCAAAGGCATTCTGGAGAAAGGTCTCGAGGCAGAAAGGAGAGCGAGACCCGATGACATGTGATTGTGGCGGACCAAGAATAGTGACCTGGCGTCCCTTGTCCTCCGGAGCGAGATTTATGTACGCTGGCCCCATCTCACGTGGGGAGTCGAGTGCTTCGTGGGGCGGAATTGACATCTACTACGAATCATACGCCTCTAAAAGTCGATGACTGTCATTAAGAGACAATTGTCGTATCCAGCCGGCCAGCATTTGTCCTCGTCGGGGAAAGCGGTTCATGGCTGGCGGTCGAGGCAACACAGACAAGCTGACGGGGCGCATTTGGTAACGTTATAATAGGGAGTAGCTCCGTAAATCCTCCGCCGTATCCGTAGTGAGTAGTACATATATGTACAATGTATGATGTCTGGTCGACGTCGCTTGTTTGCAGGGGTTGGGTAAGTTTGACGGCCGAATCCTGAGACCCTCTCGGACACGGCTAGAGGAACATCCATCAGTGTTGCGGAGCAAATACCGGATGAGGGCTTGATGATCAATGTCTGGTGCTGCTACCCGATGGCGGCGAGCAAGCAAATGTGGTACGGCAAGAGAGCTGGCTTCCAGGCCATCAAAGTGGGTGTCGCGGTGTGTACTTGGTTCAAGCAGAATGGTGTATCAAAGAGTGTTGCTGCACTCCAAAGAAAAGAGCAGATGAATAACATGGCTTGCCACTGCTTGGCTGCACTCTAGAGACAGGAGCAGATAAATATCGTACTCTGTAACTGCTTCAGGATGGGATTAGCAGAACAGATGCACGGGAGAGAAGTCTAGTCCCCACACAACAACATTGGCCCGGATGTGAAGGGCGTTGGCCCAAATAAAATTTTATATTGACGTTTTGGGAACAACACGGCAGCCGTCGGTCCGAGACTTGCAGATGGGCAGACTGATGGCGGGCAGGCTGGGATTTGCAATATTATACGCATGTTATAGGGCTTCATAGTTGTTGGTAGGTTTGTCCCCGGCGATTGAGCCATGCACGCATGTGGTTGCCAGATCCGTCCGTCGTGGACAGTCGACTGGTCAAGCTAATGGTTTTGTTTCGAGAACACTGTCCTGGACGCAGGAATGATGATGGCCCAAATCTCAAGTTCCATCTGTCCGGCACAAAGGTTAAAGTGCAGCTCCAGCAGTGTACTACCTTGTCACCCAACATGCCTAGCCAGCATCGAATGCCCCGCTCTCATCCATGGGATAAGATGCACACACAGAGCCCATACGTAGATCACGGTCCCTCCCCTCCCACATTTCCGTGTGTGGGCTAAACTGAACTGTGAGGGCTAATTCTGTGGCCTGGACTGGGGAGGGTATCCGCCCAAATGGCTTCCCCGGCCGCCTGGACAATGGCAGTCCGTCCGCAGGTCTGGGAGTGCCTTTTTTTTGTCAGGGCTGCAGCTCGAGGGCCTGTAACAGTCGTCAAGGCGGCGGCGGCATCGCGTGGAGCTCAGAGCTTGGGAGCCGTGGAGTGTGGAGCATCGAGCACGGAGCGTTAAGCACGGAGCATCGTCATCTGTAACATCTGTAAGGAGACCACAATAGTAGTTGAGCGTTGGCGTTGTGCTCGACATTCCTGCGTGTGACAATGTGAGTGAGTGAGGGAAAGCTGGTGGCCACAGCCGCACCCCTCGACCGCCCGACCACTCGCGAGCCACAGAATCAAGGCACCACCACCACCTTAGTGCACCCAAGGAGGGGACGAGCGGGGGGCGCTGGAGAGGAGACAGAGACAGCACTTGAGCTTGAGGTCAATGAAAAAAAGGGTCTGGCCAAAAGAGGCTCCGCCTCACGGAGCACGGAGTACGTACTAAAAGTTCTTGGGCCAGGCCGACACCCCGACTCCAACTGCAAGACTCAAGACTCCAACAGCTCAGGCGACAGCGACAGCCAAGAACCCTGCCGGCATCCTTCAGCCTCCGCCATCGCCCGTCATCCGCCGTCCATCCCGCTCATCTGCCATCTCGTAACTCCAAAATCTGTCCCACGGTTTCCCGTCTTCACCCTGCCCACTACCCCAGATTTCCCCGGGTCTCATCATCATGTGCTAAGCATTCAAAACTCCCACCTTGCACATGCTTCTCGCCTACCTTATTTCTCCTCCCTATTTCGCCTACCTGTCTAGCTCGACCACCTCAACTCGTACCAGCACCAACACCAACATCACGTCCGTTGGCAGTGCACGGCGCCGTTTCCGACAAATTTTAGCACGTCGCAACCCGACCACGAGAACCGACGCTCCTCATGCTCGCCGTGCAGCACGCTCCCAGGATGGGTTCAACGCAGCCTGAATCCGATCCCTTGCTCATGTTTGGGTGTATGTACACACATCTTGCTACACATGCTGCCCGTCCCTTTCTCCCAGTGTGCCTTGGTTTCTCTGCTCGTCCGCCCTTCTGCTACCCTCTTGCAAAAACGTACACTGGAGCTCATGCTGACCCTCTCCTGTGTGACGCAATAGACTCGGTAGACTCGACGCAGCCAGACATCTTCGATGCCGCCCCAGATCCGGCTCCCGGAGCGCCGCTCCTAACAGAGACGGATAGCAAGTTCCTCAGCTCCTTTTTCGAGGACATGACGTCAAATCAATACAATATGCCTTCGTTTGGCGAGGGCCTCAACTTTAGCGATGCCTGGCTAGATCTTCCCCCTCAGTTTATGGGCTCTTCCACCTCGCTCGGTCCTCAGGAGACCCCGGCCGATTTTGGTTTCTCTAGTGACCACCAGAACGACCTGTCGCGAATGCTGTCGGCCGACTCGAGCATGATGCCTCCCCCTCCCCCTCCTGCTCCCTCACACACACAAAACTTTTCTCACCAGCACTCGGACGACGTCCTGAACGCCGCCGCGACCCTGCTTCAGAATGGCAACCGCGCTGGTACACCCAAGAGCATCAGCAGCCCCGGCAACAGTAGCAATTCCGGCAGTACCGCCAACCGGCCCGTGGTATACCCAGTTGGCCACCTCAGACACCAGCCGATGGAGGAGTTCAAGGAAGAAAACCGGAGAGTATCCAGGAGGAGCAGCCAGGGAAACGAACTTGATCACACATTCACTCGCTGGATGTGGGGGTCAAGGGAAAAGACACCCGCCTCGAAACCCGTCTTGGGTGACTTCCAATGGGGTTCAGACGCAAGCTTCTCCGATGCCCAGGGGTACGTACCAGAGCCGAGGAAGGAGTCCGTGGAGTCCATGCATCAAACCCAGATGAAGTGCCTCGAGTGCTTGGAAGTCAATCAGAGCGCGGCTAACACCCGCCCCGCCAGTCCCGCTAATGGCCAGGCCATAAGCAGCAACGGCGACGGACCTGCCTACATCAAGAGAGAGGAAGACCCCAACGCACCGCCAAGGAAGAGGCGGAAGAGCAAAAACGTCCGGGGCACCGCTGTCGATGAGGATGGTGACGACGACGACGACGACGCCACCTCCTCAAAGTCAGGCCGAAAGCGAAAGACCAAGTCTGAGCGGTCAGCAAGCGGATCAGAACCCCCCTCAGACACCACTGCCGGCAGCAGACGCCGCAAGTCGGGCGTCAACGGAGCGAAGCCCGCTCGTGAAAACCTCTCCGAGGAGCAGAAGCGCGAGAACCACATCCGCAGTGAACAAAAACGACGAACGCTGATCAAGGAAGGTTTCGACGACCTGGGCGAACTGGTGCCCGGGCTAAAGGGGGGCGGCTTCAGCAAGAGCACAACTCTAGCCATGGCTGCCGAGTGGTTAGACGAGCTGCTCCTAGGAAACAAGGCCCTCGCCATGCAAGTCTCTGCCCTTGAGCAACGATAACAATGCTTTCTGGGTTGGTTCTTTGTTTTCCTTTGACACGGACATGTTTGCTACGGCCTACGGAAAGGAATTTTGGGAAAGGGGGGGGGGGGATGCCAGAACTAGAGCTCCCGCATTGATACCACATGGCGTTGAATGATTGAAATTTGCTCTTGCACGAGCCGGCGGGGTTGAATGTTTTTTTTAATCGGTCAGGCAAGAGGAGGGAAAAAAGAGAATTGTCACTAAATATGCACTAAGCGATCAATGAAGGAAAATTATGATTTCAAGTATTGTCCGAGGTTGATAAGACAGACTGTTGACTCGGACGGTAGGATAAGAATGTATACATTCAATAAAAAGCCCTTGGATGCAGATTATTATTGCAGACACCCCTCTTTCCCTCGTCTATAGACTATAGTCCGGCATGTTTCACCAAGTAAGCAGTGTTTCAGCGACGCCATTGAACAAAGACTGGGCTGCTGGGTTTTTCTTTTTGTACCAATCTTGCCTGGTATGGCGTCCACTTCAACTTGGATTTCCTGGGCCCTTGCGAATGCGAGCCATGACGGCCTTGGTACCACGAGCCCAGCACAGCACTCTCGGCAACGTACGTCACATTTGAAGAGCACCACTGATGGCGTAGTCCATGCATTCACCTGGTCATGTATCTGCACAGTGTAGTCATACAGTCTCCATGTTCCAAAAGCCAGTCTCTTATTTACAAATTGAATCCATCACATCATGCCCTCAGCCAAGAGCACGCGCCCAAAACAAACATGCAGGTCAATATATCTGTCCTCACAGTGGTGAAAATCTGGCCATACTTCAAGCAGACGCTCACGTAGCCCCGGATCGGCTCCGGGAGGTACCCCACTATCGTCCACAGGATGCCCGGCGGCGGTGCGCGGCCCCTGTCCAGGAACACCCGTGTCGTGAGCAAGACGGCCTCGGAGGTGGCAAATATCCAGAAGAAGGTGCGCTTGTGGTGCTCGTTGTCATCATCGGCAGGCGTGTGCTGCACGTGCGCCAGGGCCGCGGCGTCGCGCTCCGTCTTGGTGCCGGCAAAGGTGGTGAAAAGAGTGAGGTAGAGGCCCAGGCTGAGGGCGATGAGGGCGTGGATGACCCGCCAGGTTGTGTGGTAGGCGGACGGCGCGGAGGCGGCGGCGGCTGCTTGTGGTGCTTGCTGTCCCGGCATGGGGGGCATTCCGGGGAAGGGCGAGGCGCCGGCTTGGCCCATCATTTGGGTCATCATCTTCATGAGGGGGTCGTCGTCCATGTTGGGCATGCTGCTGGGCGTCGAGGACCCGGGGGTGTTGGGGTTGGAAGGCCGGTCGAAGCCGAGCATCATTTGGCGGAGTTGGGCCTCAGAGATGGCTGCTTCGGGGCCGGGGGAGGAGGATGCGGGTGCAGGGCGGGCTGTGGTTTGCGGTGTGTAAAAGTGTTGCGAGATGTCGACTTCGTCGGGGTCACCGTGGGTTTGAGGTTTCGATGGCGTGGTGGGTTTGTCTGCCGCGGCGGGTGTAGCTTGGTCGTCATCTGCTGCCAGTTTAGCTGAAGCGCAAGATGGCAAGGGACTGCGATGAGCAGAATCGAGAGTCACGTACCGTGAACAACGCGGCCGGCCATGCCATTGATCTTGCTTAGTCTAGCTGCACCGCCGGCCTTGATTTTGGCCTCTCGGCGCTCCCGGCGGAGTCTGGCTTGCTCGGACGCGCGCTGGGCGGCCGCAGCGGCATCGTTGGAGCTTGACGCTGCTTCTGCTGTTCCCGTCATGATGCGGTTGTTGGCCGGTGCGGATGAGTAAAGGTTGAGGCGTGAAGAGGTGACGTTGAAAATGCTGGGATGTTGGCAGCTCTGGGGTGAGGGTTGAAGTGGGGCAACTTACGGCCGGGGTTGGAATTCAATGTTGAGTAACGGAAAGGGTCTGGTACTCTAGATTAGGGATCTTGATAAGTTTCCTTGTGTAGTAATTTGCACCCGTGATATTATTTTGCTACCTGAAGTTATCGACTCTGAAGCGAAACATGGCAGCTAGGATCCACGAGAGATCTTACAGTGTACAGCAGCATAGATGAACAACTTGAGCAATAGTCGTACAAAGCACGATAGCTAGGTCCCCGATGCCATTACATACTTTTTGCCTCCTACTATCTATCTATCGCTCCGATTCCCATTCCCTGCGAATCATGAGAGCAGACAGTGTGGTAGAGCAAGCGCACTCTGAAATCGAAGTTGCACATCTTTTAGACGTTCCAACGGAGCTGGGCTATTGGCAGCGGGACATAGATTATAGCCACAGATGTGGCTGGCAGTTGTGAAAAAAGAGCTTGCACTTGTGATTATTTTCTAGCCTCTACGACAATAGAGTTGCTTACACGGCACTGAGCCTCACAAGACAGCTTTATATTAGACAAACTAGTTCCAGCTCCAGTTCTCGCCCGATCCTCTAGTTCCCACGCAACAACTTCGTCTTGCCTTGTCAAGGCATAGATTCATATGGTAGGCCAGCACGGCATAATTCTCCGCGCAAGCGGCGGCCCGTACGATGCCCAGCTCAGGCCCTTGCTGAAACCTCCTCACCTTCCCCACGTGTGATGCTGTTCCTCTGAGCCTTAGGCCCATTCGTTTGCATCCGGAACGTCTGGTTCCAGATCGTTTGCGCCCTGCTTTTCTGGCGGATATTGGGCGTGCTCTCGTGACTGATATTGAGGCTGCGAATACTGCTGAGGCGGCGGTTGGCTTCCCAAAGACTGCTGCTGACCCTCGTTCTGCGAATCTTCAAAAGGCTGTCGTTTTTGTCTCTCTATTTCTGCCTTGACGGCATTGCCCTTCCATTTGTAACCCCCTGCTAGCATCAACATGGTCTCATTCCAAGCCTTGGACTCTTCGTTTGTCCCGGGATATTGCATGACGAATTTCACAAACTGTGGCAAGTTGTCCGCTTTCAGCGCCGCGGCTAGATCACGCACTAGTGCACCTTCCCTCGACCTTGTAAAACCATAGTCGAGTCGGGTTTGAGCATCGAGTGCAGCATTGGCTTCCTCGGCGAGCGGACCGGCTGCAGATCCAGCGGCGGTGGCTTGAGCAGCAACGGACGCAGCAGCGGGTGCGGCAGGAGCTGCAGCCTTATCATAGTCGTTCGAATCTCCCGTGATGAGGTAAACAACCCCCAGTCTGAACAGCATTTCGTTCGTGTTGTAAGAATCCTGCGCCAATTTCATAAAGTTTCTCTCGACATATTTGAGGTCCTTGGCGCTCTCGTGTGGATTAGTGCCGGCTGTGACTAGTTGGGCAAAGTAGATGGCGCGAGTCGCCGCCGCCTGGATCCTGTTCTTCCTGGCATTACTGAGACGAGAATTATCAGCAAATTGACTTGTTATGGGGGGGCCATAAGAGAAGGGAATATACGTACTGTGGATTATGGTTTGATTCGTACTCCTCCGCAATCGCATCATAACACAACGATGCCGACTTCATGTCTCCCAGCGTCTTCTCGTACAGGCCGGCCAGGAGCCGCCCATATCTGTCGACTCGATTCGATTGACCCTTCTTCAAGGCTGGGGATCTGAGGAGCTCGAAGCATCGCGCGGCGGCGGGGGCGTCACCAGCCTTCACGTAGGCCTCAATGGCACTCCCAGCGGCACCGGCAGCTGACGAATCCAATTCTAACTTGTCTCTATAGACTGCGGCGAGCTTTTCAAAGGCCTTTCCTGCCTCGACAACTAGTCAATCGTCAGATCAGTTCCTGATTCTGGTAGATGGCGTCCTTGCATGCTTGCTGTGGACAGAGGGGGCCCGTACATGAGTTCTCTGCCAGGAAAGCATTAGCTGCCTTTTCAAGTAAATCCGCTCCATCACTGTCGTTTCCACTTTTGTCGCTCAAGAAGCCCCAGAAGCCGTCGCCACCGGACAGTTTCTTCTCCGCCTGCATCGCCAAACAAAGGCATCAGTTGGGAATCCCGGCAGCGGAAGGGGAGCAGGGTTGGCCGCACCTGTTTGAGCAGAGTGTGAGGATCTCGAGGCATGGCTGCGGATCGTGCCTTTTCAATGCTAAATAGTAACGAGAAGCTATTTGTTGATGACCCGTATAGCTGCGATGGTGAGGTAGTGATGATTCGATGTCAAGGTTGTAGGTTGTAAGTTGGACAAGGTGGTGGTTGGCAATGGAAGACGGAGCCATGAGACACACACTGACTGACGACACCCCTCAGCTGCGGATTGGTGAAACGCCACCACAAAGCGTCACGGTAGAGGCCCCTCCCCGGTCGCAGGTGGAGCTCATGGAGCTCTTGCGACTCCAAGCTCGACTTTGATGCATCCAGTGTGTCCGTCTTTACCACCTCACAGACAAAGACAAAGAGGGAAAAAATCTCGGTGCCCCAACAGCACACGGCCAACAATGCCGCTCTGCACAAGCTGCCGCTGCCTCCTGCGCCGCGCCCTGCGTCCCTGGCAGCACTTCCTGTCGACATCCTGCAAACCGTCACCCGCCGAGATGCTCTCCAAGCCAACCTGGTCCGTGAGATCTCTCCGCCACCCACCACCGACAACAACAGCAGCAGCACCGGCGGCAACGGAGAAGATAACAAGCTCACAGCTACACCACCTCCTGCGCCTCGCTGCGCTGCCCCTACCCCAGACGCCCTCGGAAGAAAACACCATGATATCCACCCTCCAAGACCAACTCCACTTTGTCCGCGCCGTCCAGCGCGTCGATACAACTGGCGTCGAACCACTGCGTGCGATTCAAGACGAGACGGAAGAGGCCAGGCGTGAGAACACAATCACTCTTGCAGATATGCAGGGGCTTTTGGATGCAGAAGAGCACGTAGGGCATTACCAGCGTCCGAGGAGGGTGCGGACAAGGATTGAAGATGAGAGCAGCGAGAAGTGGGATGTTATAGGGACGGCGGGCAGGAAGGCGGGCAAGTATTTTGTTGTTGAGAGTCAGAAGACGTAAGGCCATCGAGGTGAAGGACCTGTTGCCTGGTGGTGAGCACCGAGCATCTACATGGCCCGTTTGGCTGATGGAGGATTTCCAAGACCCCCTTTCCTGCCGAGTTCTGGATGCTACAGATGCTGAAGGAGGCACAAGTGAATGTACAATTAGGATGTGTAATTGATGGTAGACAGCTGGTGTCACGGTTTCAAAGAAAAATACCCGATCAATGGTTTAGTTACCATGTATACTAATATACTTATTCTACAACGTAGTATAATGGTGCCAGATAGCCAGGCATCAGTCTGGTCGAGTACTTTTCCCCTCTCACTCTACAATGTAACATTAAGCCCTCATCACCCCGCGTCTTCATCAAGCCATGTGTCCGTGTACCCCTGACCAAGATCGCATCCCTACTCGTAACATCAGCAACAGGAGCCGGCTGTCGATATTGCTCCGCGCGGAACAGGCCAGAGTCAGGAAGACAAAGTACCGGTCTGAGCCAGAGAAGCTGTGAAATAGCAAGTCGCATGAGAGGTTCCAGGCGCATCGATGCGTTAAAGATTCAAGATGGCAGCTCGGCGTCCAAACACTAAACACATTCGAACATCAAAACAACAACATGAACTGATGGCTCAGCGCCTCACTACCAGCAACACCCATCTACCCAATCCCCACCATCACCCGTTGGCAAACAGCCTCGCAAAAGACCAAGTTCATTTCCCCAGCATCATTTCAGCGCCAATTATATTCATAATCCCTACCCATGTTGTATACGCCGCAGAAACCCCATGCGCTCCAAGGCCCCTTGCGCAACGAAGCGTAACGCAAACCAAAACATGCAGCCATAAGAGCACAAACAGTAATAACAATGCCAATTCCTTAATCGTCACCGCAGGCCTTACTTGGACTCCTCCTTGGGCTTCTGTTTCGGCACCTTTTCATACGCATTCGGGCTCGGCGGCCTCTTCTGCCTACGCCCGTCCTTGGGCCTCCTCGCACGGCCATGCGAATGGCCACCACACGCGGGCGCCTTCTTGCCGTCTCCCCTCGCGCTCTCCGGCTCCGAGTCGGTGTCGGAATCCGACGACGAGGACGACTCGTCGCTGGACTCGTCTACGCCTTTTGGTTTGTGGTATATGCAGCAAACTAGAAGCAACGGTCAGTACGCCAGACGCCCTCTCAAATGAGAAAAAAGATGGCGCAAAGCGCAACCATTCCCGGGTCGAGAATACTTACCCTTGGAGCTCTTCCTGCCCAAGCCTTCGTTGTCTACTACATCCTCCGCCCACTGTACTGATCGCCCACTTGCGTTGTGGCCGCCGCGTAGACGCAAGATGCGCTGTGTTTCTGTCTGCGGTCCGGTCTGTGTTTGTGTCTGGGACGTTGAGGGCGCCGGGGCGGCTTGTTGGCGTTGTCTATCTGTCATGGTCGTCGTCGCGTGCAGAGGGTCGGCAGCGTCGGGGCTACGTCCGCTGTTAGGGGGGGTGGCGTCTCTAATGCGGTGAGTCTAGATACACTCTATTCTGGAAATTGTCTAGGGTGAGGCAGGTGTGCGCGGTGAAGCTGGTTTCTACACGAGGCGGATGACGTTTCTTGGGATTGCAGTGAGGAGAATGTCGAAAATCCGGGAGTTGCAATCAATGGCTGCTCTTTTAGGTTGGGGTGGGATGATCCGCCCCCACCATTTGCACGTTCCACGCACGCCACTCGTCTCTGTCGATCCCGTTTCGTCATGTCACCAAACGCAGACTACCTACCGAGGTATCTACACTGGTGCACAATCTACATCAACAATGCGGGAGCTGTGGGCATGTAGTTATAAGTCGGGTTCACAATAACTCACAAGAGCCATTACACGCGCCATCTGCGAGCCCAAATACAAATAGCACATGCATCATAGAGTGGTATTATACATACTGTACAGCTCAACCATCATACATACACATCCAAACCAAACACCTCACTCGCCCTTGCGCCTCTCCATCTTGGCCCTCTTCTTGGCCCCCCTCATGCTCCTCCTCGGCCGCATCTTCTTATGCTCCGCCAGAACCCTCGGCTTGTTATTCAACCACCCGTTAATCGGCTTCCTCGAGTCCACAAACTTGCCTTCGGGGGAGAAGACATCCACCGCAGGCCAATCCGGCTCGGGTAACCTTGACCGCGCCTTGACCGCCGGTCCATCCTCGCCCAGCACATCTCTCCTGTTCCTCATCATCTCCTTAAACGGATCCTGCGACGACGGCTCTTCCCCGGGCGCGGCAGCAACATACTCGGCGTCCTCGCCCTCCACGGCCGCGGCCCGCTCAATATCCGCCTGTATGCGTTCCCACCGCTCAAACTCCCTTGCTCTCACCTGCGCAACCACCTCGACGTACCCGACGCCCTCGATCAGGATGTCCACCGACACAACCCGAAACGGCAACCGGTCAACCTGGAGTCCCACGGCGTTCTTGCGCGTCAGCGGCCCGGCGCGCTTCTTGGTAACGTCATGGCACAGCTTAAACGTCCCTGCGTGCTTCATCCTCCCCCCGACACCGGCAAGGGTGATGTTTTCGAGGCCGATAGACTCACGCGTCTGCTCCTGGAACCCAATTGCCTTTTCCGTCATGGTGAGATGCTCGTCGATGGGGGTAAAGTTGTACATGAGGAAGACCATGTCCGGCGTGCGAGGCGTGATGCGGATGAGGCCGCCGCCCAGGAGCAGCGACTTGCCGTATTTGACGGCGACCTGTTCGGGGACGATGCGTTTCTTCATGATGAGGGACTGACGGTGGGGTTCCTTGACAAACAGCTCAAGGTCGCTTCGCGCGAGGCCCGGGAGGTCGATGAGTTCGCCTTTGCCATTTCCAAACGGTACGCGGATGGGCGACGCCGTGGTGCCGGGGAGCGAGGAAACGACCGGCATGGAAGGGTAGTTTCGGGTGGGTTGCGGCGGGGGAAGCAGCTCGCCGACGTTAAGGTCCTCCCAGGCTTCCTGTTGGCCGTAGGCGTCGTCGGCAGCCTGCGCAGGCGTAGGTGCCGGCCGGCCGGTGTCTCTCTTGTTGCTGTCGCCCATCCTGCCCTTGGGAAACACGGCTTCAAACAGCTGGCTCTTGCCGACGTTGACCTTGCCGACCATCCATCCGGCGCCTCCTCTGTTCCAAATATCCTCCTTCACATCCTTTGTCCACCAGCCCCTCTTGGCGCTGACGCACTTCAAGTTCCCCAGACGCACGCGGCCGCCCAGTCTGCCCAGGGCGTCTCTCAAAACGTCACGGAGATACGGCATCATGGAGTCCACAATCTCCTTGGTGGGGCCGAGCAGGTCCCCCCTCGTGATGATGAAGCTCATCTCTGTCTTGCGGTCATTGTGGAACTTGCTTGACCGCGAGCGCCGATTCCTTGACCGCAGGGGAATGTCGCCCAGCAAGACATTGAGCCGCGGGACGAGCGACATGGGAAAGTCGGCGGCGTCGATAACATGGTAGATGTGGTTATACTTGTACGGCGACTCCTCAATGGTGTCCCGCAGCGATTCCACCGTCGGGTGGTGCATGGTGAGCTTTGCCGTGTCGGTCGCCATGTTGTGGTGCATCAAGTCGTGGCATCTGTCGCAAACAGGCGGCTTTTCCGTGACAAGTCCTAGATTTAAAAAAAATCCCCCGTCAGTAAAATCCCAATACCGGTCAATCCCAAGCTCAAGACCGCCCACCCAGCCGTGGCACTTACTCTCCAAATCCCTGGCGCTCGCATCCTCCATCATGCTCTCCGCGCGCAACCCCAAAGCCTCCAGTCGCTCCTCATCCAAGCCCTTCAAGACATCATCCACAATCTTGTCCTCGGCCGCCGCGGCGCTGCCCGGTCTCTCGCTCCTCCGCGGATGAAGCCAATTGCGCACCCTCCTGCTCTGCAAGTCAAAGTACCCCAGCTGCTGCGCATCACCGGTCTGCGCAAACGCTCCGCACCCGCTACACGTAACTGGAAGCTGCCTCACCAGCTGGTCTACCCGCGCCGGCGGCCCATCCTCAACCGCCCTCGCAGAAACTCCCGTGCTGTTGAACCGGCGGCTCGATCTCGCAAGATGCCCCGGCGCCCGGGGAGCAGGCGAGCTGCGTAGACCGACGGCAGGGCACAGAAAGACGGGGACGCTCGCCGCACGCTCCCCTATCCCCAGTGCCCTACTGAGCAAGCGCGCCGTCGAAACGCGATGCATCCCTCATAAATACACCGAAAAAACGTAAAGATTCAAATTCCACCTGGCTGGCGAGCTTGCAGCTCCAAATTAAAAAAAGGCCCCAAAACAAGGGTCCCGTCACACCACGGATGAAAGCCGGTCCGCCAACCAGGGTGTGGGCCAGAATTTCCAATTGACGACTTCAAACCTCCAAGAACCACCTCACCCGATACCAAGCTCCCATAAACGGTAACAAGATGCGCTCCCTAGGAGAGCGATTACACCTCCTCAGAAAGGTAAGCCCCCTCAAAGAAATACCTCATCAATCTACAAAACTAACAACAAACAGAGGGTACGCCGCCCCCGTCCGCCCCCGTCCGCCCCCGTCCTCTTCCAGCGTCTAACAAAATCCAACAGTTAATCAACCTCCGCTGCGGGCCAGGCGCCGCCATCCTGCCGCCCGAAGTCACAAGGATACACATGGACTTTGCGACGAGCATGTCCAACGGCCACATGGGAGCCAGGTTCGTCCCCCCGCCAAGCGACCCAATTCCCACAGGGACTAATACCACTGGGGAAAAATAGAAAGTTCTGGCGCCAGTACCTCCCGCGGCTCAAGTACCACAACCCGGCGGTGCCCATGATCCTCAACCGGCACGACGACAACGCCGCACCGCCCATCATGACAATCTACATGCGCGCCTCGGCGGCGGCGGCTGCGGCGGAGACCTCACAGCCGGCCTCGTCGCGGACCGGCCTCTCCAAGGCGCAGCCGCCGGGCGCCGACGAAAAGGTCGTCACAATCGACATGAGGAACAGGCACAGCTCCGATATTCTAGAGTTCTTCCTGGCCGAGACGCGCGCCAGGGCGTTGCAGCCCACGAGCGCCGAGATTGCAGAGATTCAGAGTCTAGAGGCTATCAAGACACAGGGCGGCGTCGATAGGGAGAGGGTGAGGGCGCTGAGGGCGGAGAAGAAGAAGGAGGAGGACATGCTGAAGAGGGCGAGGGCAGCAGGGGGTATGGCTGAGCAGGAGGAGGCTTAGACGAATGCTCCAAAGCCAAAGAGAAGAAGAAAATGTATAATATTGCCGGATCAGTGGCTCTGTATTACTCAAACTGTGGGGGGAAAACGCATCTATGTATATTTTATTCATCTTCAACTATTGCACCAACCTGGGTATCAATGGTTCCAGTCATTGTCCTGTTGGACTACAAGCTTGTGCTTTTTACCTCTATCCATACATGTCCTTGACGCCCCGTGTTATGCCGAGATGATATGCTTGCTGTATGCATCAAGAACGGTTGAAATCCTCCAAACACCGAGTTACTACGTACATCGGCGTGTGTTGTATATGTAGACCTACTTCAGACCAAATCCTTCACTTTCAAACACAGCTCTCCACAACATGCCTTCCAGCTTTTGCTTCGATCCATACTGCCACAGTGAAATCATGTTGAAGCAAGTCCTCGCTATCGGATAACGGCCGACATCTTCGCCGAGACACGAAATCTTGATGGGCAGCATAGCGGCCCCCGTTGCAGGGATTCGATCGCTTCCCGTGATGAATAAAAGAAGCTTGCGTTGGTTCCCCGGTGTTGCTTCTTGGAACGTTTCCCAAAACCATCCGACTACGGGGCTACTCCCGTCCGGCTGGCGGCTCTCCCAGTTGTCATACTCGGCCACAGCACGCAACGATGCAATATCAAGAGCCTCGTCCGATCCTCGGATGAGGAGCTCGATTTCTTCGGGTCGAAATAAGGAAAAGGCATTGCCTCCGCAGACGGTGTAGAAGCCTCTTTTGAAAGGCTCGAATTGGCGCGTCACCGCCGTGTCTAGTACATATCGAATGTAGAGGTCAACATACTCTCGTCGGTTGCTATTTGTAACAGCCTTTCGCTCGCCTCCGTGGCAAAGGGGCACCTGAACAGTTGTGCCGTATTTCTCAGTGTCAATCACAAAGTCAAGGCTGAATGCGCTTTCCACATCTCCCTCAAAGTCCAGAAGCTGACGAAGCCCACGGGCTACTCGCGGTCTGTATTCTGCCAGGTCCTCCAAAGTATACTGCATCGACGGCCTTGGGCGAGACGACATGCCTAGGCCGTGAGCTGGCGCAGCCGCCAGCAGTTTGCGGAAGGCAAATGGCGGTAGAGCAACGTCCAAAATGGTAGAATTATAAATTGCCAAACCCATGACTACGCCAACCAAAAAGAATTGATCCGACGTTTCAAAAGTGGCGGGATTGAAGTAGCAATACTGCGAGTCTTCGTCGTACAGAAACATCCCTACAGGCATTGGATTAGCTAGGCAGCAGGATATAATCGTTGTCGGCGCAACTTTACCGTGGTCGGGATTGAAGACCTCCCGGATGAGGAGCAAGAACCATTCCTTGCGCAGTCCGCCGCCGTCAATACCCTCTTCACCCCTGAATGTGATTCGGAGACCTTTCTTGACATCTTCACTTCCGCTTCCAATAACTTCGCTAACGGCAGCAAGGCTGTCCTCAACAAGACACTCTCTACGAACATCGAGAGAAAGATATTGCTTTACGTTGCGGTTGGTCATTATGCTGTCGAGAAAGGCATCCCGTGCCTTCATCTGCATCTGTCGCTTGGCATCATGTTCCAGGATGTGAGTTTTGGCCCAAATGCTCATTAAGAACGGATACTGGCAGAAGGAAAACTTGGACCGTTTCGACTCCCAGGACTCAAAGTCGCTGACCAAATCAGCGTAATCTATCATTGAGTTGTAAAAGTCCGTGGTTGGGACCAGCTGTCCACTAGAGTGCCCGTATTCGCGGGTTGAACCAGCCGCAACGTTGACCCCAACCGCTGTCGTTGAATAGCCATGTCTGATCCCAGGGACACTATTGGCTGCGAACAGAAGGGCAAGTACGCGGGACGCCGCCTTAATCTGCCAATCCTCGGTGTACGCAATCTTGTGCTCTGACTCCCTCTTTTTAGAAGTTCCTCCGTTTCTGATCTCATCATGAAGGTAGAAACCAGCACCAGAGCGGCCAGCGCGCATCTCTGGTATCAAGCCAGCCGTAATGTCAACTTCTGTAGGTTGCTTCTTGTCAATCTGTCGGAGTAGTCGGTAGCTCAAAAAGCCCGATACCAAATCCTTGGTGCGAACAAATCGTCTGTTGTCATACTTGCAAAACCACGTGATGAGCTGATTGTGGCATTCCGGAGGCGTGTTCGATATGAGACCGATGATCCGCTTGATTATCCCTGAATGTTGGCCAGATAAAAGCCCAGAACTCGGGAGAAGGTTTCGTCTTGGAGGGATTACTTGGGGAGGGGGAGGAGCCACACCATCTGGTTGTAAAATGCCACCAAATCCTTTCAACTCCGCGTGCAAAAGAGGGTTCTCCATGATGATGAGAAGAAACCGAAGGTCGCCGGCGTTGGTGATCGGCCGGCCGGGTCTCTTCAATAGCGATTCTGTCGCTTTCAGCAGCACTCTTTGGACATGTTCTTGCCCTTGTAGCAGTTCTTGCTCCAGAACCTCGAGGTCTCTCTGCGTTTGGGGTCTGACAGTTGGTTCCCTGCATACATCTTCATACACAGAGAACCAGTCCTCGGCAGCATTAATGGTTGAAGAATACCAACTGTCAAGCTCATCCCAGTTCAGGTTCGGGCTCTTGATTGTGACTGGTTTCTTGGGGGGGCTTTCAGGTCGGCGGGTAGAAGTTTGTTTCGTCGGCCCTGTCTGTCTACGGCCCCCCGTCCACCAGGAGCCATTCTCTGCAAAGTCGCCCAGGAGGAGCAGCTTCGGGTCCAGCTCATCCATGACCATGCCTGGTTGAGATTCCCCCCGAGGAACAGCGTCAGCAGATTGTGAGAGTGATCTTCCACGCGACGGCAGTGGTTTCCGCCGAATTTGGTCGCCTTGTTGGCGCTCCCGCCCCCTGTTCTCTGTTGAAAATGACGAGTTTACAGAGTCAAATGAACCAAACGCTTTCGCAATGTATTCCTCAAGGGGTTTAAATATCCTCTTTGGTTCGCAGGGGCCGTTCATCGACGATGCCCTGCGGCGTGCCATTGGACTCGGATTCAGGGGTGGCTGCCCGGGCGGAGGAGGCCGTTCGGAATGTGAAGACGAATATGACCTGAGGGCGGCATTTGGCCGTAGTGGACTAGGCCGCAAGGTAGGCTGCTCTTCAAAGACATATTTGGAATTACAGCCGTCATGGTCTTCTCCATAGGAGGCGCCCCTTGGTCGTCCATGGGAGTGGTCCTGCTGATTTCTGTGAGCATCTGATCTTGGGATGCTGCTTTGAGATGCAGTGGGAGAGCGCCAGCCTGCGTGCTCCGGCGCTGGTTTCGGAGCCAATTTCATAGAAATATAGGAATGAATACACTGTCTCACAAGTCGTTGACAGTGTCGTAAGGAAATTGGTTGGCCTATTAAATAAAGGGCGAAAAAAAATAAGTTTGTCAGACTCTTCTAATCGCAATATAATAGAGAGGGCCACATACAAGTTGAGTTATCAGACGACGAATGGGCATTCCCATCACGCCGTCTTCCGAGAATCCCAGGCTTCAGAGCCTCGCTCCCCGGAGCGGCCAAGTCATTAATCGTCGTGCAGATAGTACACTTGAAAACTTTTAATTCCTTGGGCCACCGCATCAAAGATGCGCACGTCATACAATTTCCCGTTGCAAAGTCCTTGCTACCCATAGGACCACCCCGCCTGTGCCTATTGCCAACGCCTGGTCCAGCCATGGCGTTGTCAACATCTCCCCTGTCCGAATCAGCTTGCGGCTGGCTCGTCGAGCCTTGTCTCTTCCTTGCAGCACCGAGAAACGAAGGAAACGGGTTGCTCAGGGAGCGTGCATGGCGGGGAGGCAACCTGCTTGGCTTGGTTCGCTGAAAATCAGATTCCGAAGAGCTCGAGTCTTCTTGTGCTTGGCTGTTGGAGATGTCGATGGATCCGAGAAGTATAGTGGGTGTCTCAAGAGCATCGGCGTGAATTCGAGTGACGAGGTCGTGGCGAGGCGGTCGAGAACGACTACGAGAAGGGGAAGCCATGGCTCTCCCAGTTTTTTTTTTCTCCTCCCCAAAAGACACGGGCCGGGGAGCTTTTAGGTAGCTCCCTTGTTCAATAGGGAAAGCGGCTTCTGCATTTGACTGGTGCTCTGCACATCAAAGGGGATCTAGACGAACTGTGAGGCAAGTACGACGATTATCGCGGCGAAACAACGAGGCCTGGTTGTGGCATCTTGGCCTCGGCGCTGTGAGACACTCAGTCGGGGCGTTAGTTGATTCGGTTGGTTTGTTTGTTGCAGTCGTCTTGGGTCAAATGCGCATGGATAGCATGCCAAGCGGGCATCAACGACGGTGGCTCGTCTTTGGCAGCATTTAGACAGACGAGAGCATGGGGTACTATTTGTAGTAGGTACATATACCTGGAGGATGGCGTCGATGCGTCCGGCGAGCCTGAGCCGCCACCACTTGACACTTGGCTCCAGGAAGGACGTCTTGGGCGGTGCCGGCAGGGGCGGGTAACAAACATGCTGCATTGATGGTCCACTGGCCCAGTCGTCTGGTTGGAGATGGCACCCTGTTCAGTCAACTGGCGCCCTGGGTGCTTGCGACGAGGTCCCACAGCAGCCAGTTTTGTCCCATCGAAACACATGCATGAAGCTTTCAATGTTCCCAGACGCCAACTGGTCCGGTTAGCGCAGGCACTGATGCCATTTTCGTCCTCGTATCGAGGTCAACAAGCAAACTTTGTTCATGTCCAACTGCCAATCCCATCCACGGGCACGCGACAGTTTTTTTTTCTCCCCTTGGCTTGAATGCCACGACCCGGTAATCTGTGCTCCGTGGGTGTGTGGCAGCTCGTCTTTCCCATCTCCACGTACCAATTCCCCGACGGCTCCCGTTCCAAACACCACATTTGTCACCGCCACGATGGCTGGATTCGGGGGCACGCGTCAAGCTCGGTTAGCGGTGGACAGCCTTGGCAGCATATTCAGTACGGCTCACCTTATCAACCAAGTATGCATTGCTCATTACGTTGTATTAGCTGCCAGTTTACAGCTGGTAGTAGTATTCAAGCGCAGTTAATAGGCGCATGGCAGCCCATATCTCCCCCCCGCGCGATAGTACATACTTGCGATACATGGTCACAGCCTTCACGGCGGTTCAATTACTCGCCAACAAGACTAAAAAGGACATCCCATCACATCACATCCTGCATTTGAGCACTCCGTCACGTCAAACCCCACTCGAAAAGTCTCCATAAAAAAAGCCAACCTAGTCGCATGCCGTCACACAAAGCCTTACCTGAAACATCCCGGCTCGCCAACTCCCCCAAACAGACGTCGCCAATGCCACAATATCACTCGACATGTCTCGCATAATCCCTCGTCTTGCTGGGCACCTGATGTGACCTTGTACGAACCACATCTTGCCAATAGCTTAGCCACGATGCAATTATTCCACCGATATTACAGAGTAGCACTCCGTATGCAGCATACATTTATGTACAAAGCCACTCTGTGCGTCGTGAAGTTTTTTTCTTCCATTTCTTGCAAAGTGGTAAGCATGTGACTGTATTTATATCAGAATGTCTACTGTATATGTCTAGTCTTTGTTTTCTTTCTCTGCAACTCTAGGAAACAAAAGCTACTCGAATACGATGGCAGCCTTGATGGCAGTCTTGTCCTTGATGCTCTGAAGAGCCTTGTCAAAGTCCTCCAGCTTGAAGGTCTTGTTGACGATGCCCTTGGTCTTGACCTTTCCAGAGTCGAGGTAGTCAATGGTGGCGGCTGCAACACAATACATTAGTCGCAACGTATGCAAACTGCCGGCGGCAGGGACTGGACTTACGGAACATGTACGTCTCGGAAAAGGACCCAATAATGGTGATTTCGTCACCAAAGATCTTGGCAGGGGGCCAACTGACCCGGTCGGCGTTGGCGTAGACACTATCATCATCATTACATTAGGCATTTTGCAATGTGGGCGTGTGAATCGAGGCCGTCAAACCTACCCGTAGACGACGAGGGTGCCACCACGGCGAACGTAGTGGATGGCGTCTTCCAGAATCTTGACGGAACCAGTAGCCTCGACAACTGCAAGCTCTGTCAGCGCCATGAAAGCAAAACGTGCGGGCCGAGATGCGCACCGATGTCAAAGCCATAGGGGTTGTCCTTCTTGAGCTGGTCAAACTGGGCCTGGGGGCTCTCTCTCGACAACTCAATATACGTATCCGCAGCATCAAGGCTCTTGGCCAGGTCCATCTTCAAGCCCTTGGGCGCAGCAATGGTCACCTGGCAGCCTCCATTCTGCCTCAGAAGCTGGGCGAGCATCTGCAACATCAAGTCAGCAAGCCCCGTCCGGTTCCTTAAAAGTCGTTCCCCCCCTCCAGCAAAGCACTCACGAGACCAGTAGGCCCGGCGCCAAACATGAGAACGTGGGAACCCAGCTTGGGACGGATCTTCTCCAAGCCATGGCAGGCACAGGAAGCGGGCTCGAGAAGGGTGGCGTCCACCCAGTTGAGGTTCTGAATCTTGAACACCTTGGCGGCGGGATATGCGCAGTATTCGGCAAAGCCGCCATTCATGGTGACGCCATGGGCGTTGAACTATGCGTATCAGTAACAGAAGAGACGGGGAGGTCCAAGGTTGCCTATACATTCTCGCAGAGCAGCAGCTGGCCACGGCGGCAGTAGAAGCACTCGTTGCAGAGTTCGCTGTTGTCGGCAGCGACCCTGTCGCCGATCTGGAATCCCTTGACGTTCTGGGCATGTCGTTAACACAGGTCAGCCTGGGTGCGTGTTCCGTACAAGTGCGTACCTTGCCAAGCGCGGCGATGACACCAACGGTTTCGTGGCCGGGAATGAGGGGGAACTTGGCGATAAACTCGCCCTCATGGATGTGCTACAAACGCCAGTCAATATGACTGGCTCTCTGGAGTGGCAAAGAACAAGAGCGTGTCACCAAATCTGCGCCGGTTGTTAGCTTGTTGGCCGAAGAATGAAGCACAGGGTAGGCTGGAAGACTGACCAGTTCCGCAGACACCACAGGCCTTGACCTGCACGAGGACATCGCTGTCGCGCAGCTCTGGGAGCGGGACCGTGACAATGGACCAATCTTCAGGCTTTTCATATCTGAGCAGGGCTATGGTCAGTACTTGTAATGGAAGGGTGGGAAAGCAAAAGCATATGGACCGGGCCGTCGGCATTCTGGCTCAAAGGCACCCTGATGGCTAGAACAGGCCCACGACGGTAAATATATAAAGAACGTACCTGAGAGCCTTCATCTCCTTGGGAAGGTTTGCCATCTTGAATTATGCCTTCTTTTTCTGTATATTTTGATTTTGTATGGTCGGCGTGTACGACGTTTTCGCCCTGCGAGCTTGGAGTCACAGCAGTCCTTGGAAGCTGCCACGATGGTATAATCATTAGCCAAGGTAAAAACAACACGCACTTCCACCAAAGGTATACAATAGCTAACATACGGGAGATATATATAATAGGTTGTCTAATACGACCAAATTCAAGCAAAAAGAGGAATCAGGAGCTTGAGAATCAAAAAGGAGATTCGTGCCCTGAGACGAGGCGGCCCTCCGAGCATTTTATTCCGCCGCAGCAACAAGCAAGACCATTGAACACACCGGCGTGGGCGTCAGAAGCGACCCTTGGCGACCTTTTCCCCTCCCACGCTGCTCCTCGGAGCAACATGCTCGCCCATTGAATTTCGAATGTCACTCATCGGTCCCGGCTGGCACCTCTTGGTCTTATCCCCTGGCCGGGGCGGCTGTGACCCCTGCCGGATTGCTGGCGACCGATGCTTTAGCTCCTCTCGCCCATCTGCCGAGACTCAACATCTGATGCTGCGCATGTGCAGACTTGGGACGAAGCAATGGGTCCCTTCTTTCTCGTTGTCTGTCTGTCAACAATGCTGAATTTTATGCGGAATTCGCCCTTTGATTAAATTGTACATTGCGCTTACTGTCAGCCCAGTTTCGCATGGAGCAACTCCGTGCTCGGGGCGAGGCGTCAGGATGAGCTGAGGTCTGGTGGTTGCGTCGCCGGATTTCGGGCCACCATGCATCGGACAGCACAAGGCGGAGAACACCAGACGCAACGCCAGCCGGTCGGCGCCTGCCCCCCTAGTAGACGCGGCGATCTGCTCAAGGCACAGACACAGACGTCTTACATTGACCTATTATGGTGATGCAGCAAGTCCAACGGCGGGGCCGGACGCTCATCCAATATCTTGCCGCCCGCCTTGTTCAATCTTCTCCCGTTCCCATTGACAGCTGAGCACCCACCGCCATGTTCTTGTTTTGCTCGCGGGTGAAGCGTCCCGCATCCGCAGCCGGGGAGGTCCTTTGGAGTCTATGGGCGCAGGCATCAGACAATACAGCCTGCCATTGTGAAAAGGTTGGTGACCTATCACTGCTTGCCGTGGCTTGCAGTTGTGCAGGAGACACCGCCATTTGACGCGTCATGTGACGCCGAGATGCTTGTCTTGTGTTGCGTGAAGAATCTAGACGATACAAGGATGTTTTTTTCTCTCACCACTAGATGTGTACGGAGCATTGCCAACCATCGGCCGTCGTGGACGTTGTAGCCCGGTGGACAGCACTGACATTTTGTGAGGAATCCCATATCCCCGCTGCTCGGGCTACAGATGGTACTCCGTACGGAGTTGGGCAATTCGCGAGCTGCCGCTTTCCCGGTGAAGATCTATCCTGGCCCAATGCCGTGCCGTAAAGGTCTGGTCGTTTCTTAGCCAATGTGTTGAGGAACATGCCGCCCGGGGGAGAGGCGAGAGACATCCGATGTGTACAGAGTAGTTTGAGCAGGTCATTATGCGGACGAGGCATCGCAAGGGCGTCACGACAGCAGTAAGAGGAACATTGCTGCACGTATCGTATAGTATGTGACCTTTTTTGTTTCGTAGGCTTACTGGGGATGCGTGTTGCTTTCCACAAAACCAAGAGTTGCTTATTAGCAGTCGGGCGATATTCTCCCTCCGCTACTCCCCATGGGCCAACAGGACAAAATTGCGTCATGTTACCCTTTGAAATGCAGCAACTACGCTTTTGTGCACATAGTTGGACCAAGTCACATTATAGGGATAGATCATCAATATATGTCGCAAGCATTTGTCTCATTGACTGCATATAAGTGACCCTGATGCAAATAATTTCCGAGGATCTAACCCCTCCAAAAACTCCCACCGTGTGTCCCCTACTCAGCCCGGTAGTCTCCCGAAAAAATGGGAACTCTCATGGTAAGAAGTGTTGTGTGGTCCTCCATTTCGTAGAGTTACATGTTTTCGATACCCTTATTCCCGTTTTTGTCTTTGTGTGCTGCCACGCATCTCGAAAACCTCTTTTATTTTACTTTAAATAAACTCGGTTCGTTTAAGAGGGGGGAGCAGCTCGGCCACGACCGGCACCACCACGGCTAGTATTTCCACGTTAGTACACAAATTTTGATGGCAAATCGACCACTGCCTCATCTCCATAGTCGCCGCGGGGAGACTCGTTCTCCATTGGGTACAAGTAGGGACTCACAATTGAGGAGCGAATTCACCAGGAGCACCGCCCTCCTTGCCCTCACCAGCATCACGTCGTCGGTATCCACCCTCACGGTCACCACGGTCACCGCCACGGCCACGGCCGAATGGTCGTCGCTGGCGCTCTTCCTCACCAAGCATGCCGCGGGGAGGAGCGTGCGATCGCTGCTGCTTGATGTGGGTGGCGGGCACAATCTCGGCGGGCAGGTGAAGCCATTCGCGCAGGTAGTCGAGGCCCTCGGGGGTCAAGGTGTAGTAGTAGTACTGCCAAGAGAACTGGGTCTTGACATAGCCGCGGGAGTTGAGAGACTGGCAAGCCTTGATAACGAACAGGTTCTTGGTGTCGATGTCGGGGTGCTTGGGAAGGTTGAAGTCCTTCTGGGCCACGAGGACACCCTCGCGAAAGAGGTACTGGTCATCGGATATTTTGTCAGTTACACATGCAATCTCTTTGAGCGCCTGCGTAGGTTTCGCTGGGTTCTGGCAGGCTGTCGGTTCAATTTACCTCGTGGATCTTCTTGCGGTCGGCCTTGGGAATCAACATCGTGGCGGTTTCTTGGTGAGGTCGATGTTGAAGAAGCGCAGAATTTCGGTGCGAAGATGCCTGGGCTCAAAATGGATAACTTTTGTGGGCGTAAACCCTACGAGAAATTCGAACCTAGCGAGTGGGGTGGCTTGTGTGCTGTGGCTGCGTCACGTGAGATAAGATACTATTCTTACAGCTGTGGCTGGTGTTTAAACCTTGGCCACCCCAACACAAAAGAGAAGGTCGTATGCGTCAACGAGAGACGCCAAACTATCCGTCCTCTCCCTCATCACAAATCCATTTCTCAAGAAAATTTCAGTTCAGGAGACGATTTCTCACATCAAATCACAATGGCTCCTCAAAATCTCAACGTCCTCATAACCACCTTTGGTGGTCTTGGACTTCCATCTACTCTGGTGGTTCCGGTCCCACCTTCAACAACAATTACAGAACTCCGCGAGGAAATCTATGAGCGCCTCCCAACCACAGACACCAGACTCATCATTACAACCATCTCAAATAGACAACTACCAGAAGTCTCCCAGGCGCCCATCTCTGCATATCTGTCCAGCAGCCAGGATGAGTTTCTGTCCTTGCGACTGGCTGTTCCCTTATGCGGTGGCAAGGGTGGTTTCGGCTCTCAGCTACGCGCCGCCGGTGGGCGCATGTCATCGCGAAAGAAGAAGAACCAAGAAGACCACGGATCTAGCCGCAACCTTGACGGCCGCAGACTTCGCACTGTCAACGAAGCAAAGGCTCTTGCAGAATACCTCGCCATCAAACCTGATATGGATCGCCAGGAAAAAGAAAAGCGAAAGGAGCGCTGGGAACAAATCGTCCAGATTTCTGAAGAGAAACAACACCAAATCAGAAATGGCGGCCAAGGCCGACTCGAGGGAAAGTGGGTTGAAGACAAGGAGGAGTACAGAGAGAAGACACGCGACGCAGTTCTCGCCGCGATGAAGAGTGGCAGCTATAGAGACAACCTTCTCAGCACCTCGCATGGCTCAGCATCAAGTGAGCAACCGGAAGCGCTATCAAATTCTGAAGACGACGCAAAGTCAAACTCAAAAGAGTCGTCTTCATCCGACGAGGCAGATGAGCCAGCAAAGACGCCGGCTCGAACTTTTTTTGGTTTTGACGAGGACGATGAATTTATGAGTTCATCCGACGAGGAGGAGGCTCAAAGCAAGGAATAATGATGGACAGGGTAATCATGAGGTGGAATTTACAAGAGGGATATTCAGCAATGGAGTTTTATTCATTTTGGGGAATCACGGCGTTTTCTGCCCCGAAATCAGGCGGGGGGCATTGGTATTTTCTCGGGGCGACATTCACAAAGTCAAAAATTGACTCAATACAAAGGGTTTAAGGGTTTTTAACGTCACGACCATCACTTGTGCAACACATCAAACGTGTCCAAAAGGCTGTTTCTCAATTGACGTCACCGTAATCACGGCTGTAGAACCGAGTTTCCCGAGTAATACACTTGCAGCATAGCTGCTACTCCATCCTCTATCAACACCAATTATCATTTACACCGCCACTGATGAAAACTTACGCGTCCAGCTTGACGGGGAAGTTGGAAGCCTCTGTGGACAAATCCATTAGCCTTGTGAAAACTTTGGCATGGCTGTGACAACACTCACCTCGCTGCTCATCCCATCGCTGATACCATCCAGAGGGGCACAAGCTTCGGTAAGCCAGCCAAAACTACCGCATAATTAGTAAACTCTGTGCTCTAGAATTCGCAAACACACTCAAATCTACTGTCGTACCTGACGGCAAGGAGCAAAGTCCTCCCCCTTGGCAATGATGCACTTGTGGTAGTCGACGTAGTTCTGCCAGCAGTGCTTGGTCTGGTTCACGTTAGGAAAGCGAGCGTCGGTGCCTATGGGGAAGTTTCGCGTCAGTATTCGGAAGCAGAATTCGACGCAATTGAACTGTTCGCCGAGTCGCGCACGAGGATTTCATCGGGTTGGAGCTTACCGGCTGCGGAATTGTTAGCCTCGGGTCAGGATCAGACCATGAATTTTAGGGGAGGGATTATCGGCACATACTAGTAACGAACTTGAAGGGCTTGGTGACAAGCTCCTGACCATCTTCTTCAGCCATGGCGACTTGTTTCGATTGATGCTTCCAAGGACAGGGCAAGTTTGACGCGGGGGTGGGCGATTGAACTCGAGCACTTGGTGGTGAGATTGATGCGGTTGACGTTCTCGGTTTGGAATCAGATGTTCCGGTATTGGTGGCTCAATTTGTGCCTCAGGCCCGCCAACCAATGGGGTAAGGCAACCACAACCGACCAGTGGGCCGATGGGCAATTGCAACACCAGATGCTCGGCAACCTCTGAAGCACCACCCAAAGAACGACAATTTTGTCAGTTGCTTCACACCACGTCCGCTTCTATACAGACCAATCTCCTCTCTTCAAGATGCGTACCACCGCCGCCCTCCGAATGTTCCGCCCCACGGCCCGCATGATGCGACCGGTTCCCGTGAGTCCGTCGTGAATGAGCACTGCCTGAGATGGAGCTAACGATGGTGATTTTACAGAAGGAAGACCAGGCCGGTACGTGCCGAACGACTCCGTTCTAGCTGACTGGAAGCTCTTTGAACGAATCTTCGTCATGATGCTCCGCAGCATGCTAATTGATTCCAAGGCCACACCGTCTCCCAACGACTGCGCAAGCTCAAGCAGATTCCCGCTGAGTTAATTCCTCTCGGTACGTACATACCTCGGTCGGCATGTACCTACACACATAGCTTGTTAATCTAATCGATGACATTAGCCGCCGTCGTTGGCTTCGCCATCTTTGCTGCTGGTTACTCGAGTGTGCGAAAATTCGTGGTCGACAAGAACCTCCGACTCGCCAGACAGGGACCTGGAGGCCGTGCTGTTGATCACCAAGATGAGCACCACTAAATGTTACCGGACAAATAGGGCCGGAGGATTTCATTTTGTTTGCGGATGGCAAAACATTTGTACATGTCAACATAGGAAAAAACAGCTCTTTAATTGAGACCTGCCTTGAGAGCTCTTCGTTTTCTTCACTTTGTGTCTCCCTGTTGCTCAGAATAGAGTACCGATTTTCTTGAGATACTACATTCACCCTTTCCGTAAAACACCATCGCTATGCAATTATCCTCCCTTTAATAAAACAATGTGACAACTGGAATAGCCGTGATAAATCCTCACACTGGTTTCGGCCCAGCTACATCCAACCCTTCCAAACCTTGCATAGGATCGGCTGCGGAACTATTGGCAGCTAGTTCATCACCTCCCAAAGCTCCAGTCTGTTCTTCCGCGGCATGCTCCGCCAACCAACCTTCCTATTCGCAAAGTGTTAACATGGGTATCTTTTCTGTGGACTAAGTCTGGAGGGGGGTGACGAACCTGTTCCCAGACGGCTTTCCTGCTGCCTAGGCCTTCATCCGCGCTCTTGGGGGCTTTTGCATGGGATACTTTTAAGATTTTGCCAAAGAACTCTGACTGGTCCATATTATCGATGGCTTCTTTGGCATCTTCTGGGTCCTCGTATTCAACGTATGCAAAGCCACGGTGAGCATCCGTAGACTTTCGTGAGTCGGGCTTGGGAAGCTGCACCTCAACGATTTCTCCAAATGGAATAAAAGCATCGAGTAAGTGAGTTGTGGTCACGACAGATGACAGACCGCCCACAAACACCGTGGCTTTCCAGCGAGCAGCCTCTGACATGTTGACACGGTATCGGAACAATACAAAATGGCTTAGGCCCTCTTCTTTTCAGGCCGTCTTTTTAAAAGAAATTATGTAGCCCGATGAAGTAGCTTTGATGCTCAAGCTCTTATTGGCCTGCTAACTGAGGCTGTCCTGAGCAAAAACTACCTACCTAGGTAGGTATGTAGTGCATACACCCAAAATATCACGTGACTTTCCACACTACCCCTGTTATCCTGGCGTCTCAATCCAGGGAGGCACGGACGTGTCCCTCGTTGGGAGCTCAGGAGGGTCCCATATAATCGTCGAGCCTGCAATCTGGCATCATATTCGTGACTTACATGCCATTGCGCCAGCTCCCAATTCCTCACTCTGGTATTTATCTCCTGCAACAGGCTCTTCGGCCCTACTTGTCTAATTCGAAACTCATAGGCTGGAATTTTAGCTACAGGAAGTTGAAATTCGAATCGAATCGCCGGGCCTCGTCTTGGCTCTCTTTGGTCGTGTTTATCCCCCGCCACCATGGTGCGCCTTCGAGAAGTGCCACGAACGGCTACCTTTGCCTGGTCTCCGGGCTCAGGAAAGCCTCTCCTGGTGACTGGTACTCGTGCCGGTGCGGTGGACGCTGATTTCTCAGATGAAAGCAAATTAGAGCTATGGGATCTTTCCCTGGATGATCAACTGCAAGGGTTGGAGCTCCAGCCATTAGCCAGCATCACCACCGAGTCTAGGTATGACGCGATAGTTTTCAACAGAGGGATCTGCTAAACTGACAAAAAATTGTGCTAGATTTTATGACATTGCCTGGGGATCTGCGGATTCCGACCATCCAAAGGGTATCATTGCCGGCGCACTCGAGAATGGTTCCCTCGAGCTCTGGGACGCCGCGAAGCTTGAGGCTGGTGCTCCTGATGCGCTCATCTCACAGACCAACAAGCACACTGGTGCCATCAAGGCTCTGCAGTTCAATCCTCTAAAACCACACATTCTGGCTACCGGCGGAGCCAAGGGCGAGCTGTACATATTCGATGTCAACGACATTGAGAACCCCTTCAGACTGGGCAACGTTGCTGCTCGATCTGACGATATTGAATGCCTGGCTTGGAACCGAAAAGTGTCACACATCTTGGCCACTGGCGGGGCCGGAGGCTTTGTAACGGTATGGGATCTGAAGACGAAGAAGGCTTCACTCACTCTCAACAACAACCGAAAGGCCGTAAGCGCCATTGCTTGGGATCCGAACAACTCCACCAAGCTCCTGACAGCCACCCCCGATGACAATACGCCAGTCTTGCTGTTGTGGGACTTGCGCAACTCCAATGCCCCCGAGAGGACTCTTCAGGGCCATGAACAGGGCATTCTGTCGCTTTCATGGTGCAGCCAAGACAGCGACTTGCTTCTGTCTTCTGGTAAAGATAACCGCACGCTAGTCTGGAATCCTCAAACGGGCGACAAGTACGGCGAGCTGCCCGAGATGACAAACTGGACTTTCCAGACTCGGTTCAATCCTCACAACCCCAACCTGTCTGCCACGGCCAGCTTCGACGGCAAGATCACCATCCAGACCCTGCAGAACACCAACCCAGACACGTCCCAGACCCCAGCGGAGAAGAACTTGGATGGCGAGGAATTCTTCCGAGCCGCCCAGACGCAGCCGCAGGGCGCATCTTGGTCTCTCAATAAGGCACCCAACTGGTTCGAACGCCCCGTTGGTGCTACGTTTGCGTTTGGCGGAAAGATTGTCATCTTCAAGGCCAACCCATCGCAGCCTGGACAGAAGCGTTCCTCCAAGATTGCCATTGCCAAGTTCTCTGCTGATGCTGATGTCTCTGACGCAAGCGCAAAGTTCCAGACCGCACTCGAATCCGGCGATGTTGCCGCTATTTGTGAAGAGCGTGCTTCGCAGGCTCACACCGAGGAAGAGAAGGCTGACTGGAAAGTAATCGAGACGCTTGCTGGAGACAACCCTCGAGGACAGATTGTTGAATATCTTGGTCTCCAGGAGAATGAGCTTGTCAATGGTGAATCAAAGGCTGACGCCGACGCCGATGAGAAAAAGACTGATTCCAAGGCTGACGAAGAGGGCGAGCAAAAGAGCAAGGAAGTTTCCGATTTCTTTGGTGGAGATGAGGGTGATGATTTCCTGTCGAGTGTTGCAGCTACCAAGGGAGCCAAGACTGACAACCCGTTCCACCTGTTCTCTGATGGTGACACTTCTGTTGAAAAGAATATCACCAAAGCGTTGATGTTGGGTGACTTTGCCAAAGCCACCGACATCTGTCTCAAGGAGCAGAGAATTGCAGACGCCTTCTTGATTGCCAACTGCGGTGGCCAGGAGCTCGTCGACAAGGTCCAGACCGCTTACCTTTCCCAAAAGAGCGGCATGCCTAGCTACCTGCGTCTATTGGGATCTGTCATTGCGAAGAATCTCTGGGATGTAGTTTATAACGCCGACCTTGAGAACTGGAAAGAAACCATGGCAATTGTCTGCACCTTTTCAGATCCGACCGAGTTCCCTGACCTTTGCGAAGCTCTGGGCGACCGAATCCAGGATGGCGGCTCGAGAAAGGATGCATCTTTTTGCTATCTTGTTGGCTCAAAGCTGGAAAAGGTTGTGTCCATCTGGGTCGCTGAACTCGAGGAAGCTGAAAAGGCCGGTATGAAGGAGGCTACTGGTGGCTCGACTTTCTCTGTCCACGCTAAATCCCTACAGAACTTCATTGAAAAGGTGACTGTATTCCGACAGGTCACCAAATTCCAGGATAGTGAACAAAGCCAGACTTCTGACTGGAAGTTGGCAACCTTGTACGACAAGTACACTGAGTATGCTGATATCCTCGCCAGCCATGGCCAGCTGGAAGTTGCGCAGAAGTATCTCGATCTCTTGCCATCCAGCTACCCTGCCGCTGAAATTGCTAGAAACCGTGTCAAGCTGGCGACCAAGAAGCCTGCTGCGCAAGCTGCGACGCGCCAAACCACCACCAGACAGGCCACGTCCAGCACAGCAAGCAGGGTGCAGCAGCCTACCCTTGGTTATGGTACACCTCAGCCAGCTACGACCGGGTCGCCTGCGAACCCTTATGGCGGCCTTGGCCAGCCGCACGCTCCCGTCACTCAGACACAGCAGTATCCGCCACAAAACCAGTATCAACCTCAGGGTTATCAACCTTCTATGGGATACCAACCTACTACTCAGCCCGCTTATGGGGGAGGTATGGTGCCTCCACCACCTATGGCAGGCGGCCCTCCTCGAAGCTCTTCGTCCACGCCCTCTGCCCCCCCTCCGAACAGAGCTAAAAGCGCGGAGAACTGGAATGACGTCCCTCTGGTGACCAAGGCCATGCCTAGGAGATCTACACCCGTTGCTCCCATTACTTCGCCCTTCCCTGGATCGACAAGTCCAACTGCAGGCTCCAGTGCGCCCCCGACTGGACCTCCTCCGCCTGGTGGTTACGGACATGCAACATCAGCGGTACCACCTCCTCCTAGGGGTGCGGCTCCTCCTCGAGTGCAGTCGCCGCTGACGGGGCAGACTCATGGCATCCCTCCTCCCAGGCCGTCATCAACCGCCAACCAGTACGCACCTCCTGCACCACAGCCCGGTGCCGTTCCGTCGCCAGTTCCCCAGGTTGTCCCTCGAACAGCATCTCCTTATAATGCTCCCCCTGCTGGCGCACCTCCATCAAACAGATATGCTCCCAGCCCGGCTGCCCAGCGGCCCAACCAGCCTCCTACGTCGGCCATGCCTCCCCCTCCCTCCGCCGGCAGCCGACCACCACCTCCAGCAAACCCCTACGGAGCGCCTCCTCAACAGACACCTTCGCCAGGCCAGTATGCTCCGTCGCCATACGCTCCCCAGCAAGGTCAGGCGGCTGGCCCCCCTCCTGCCGGTCGTCCTCCGTCTGGACCACCACCTTCCAACCTCCCACAGGCTACACCGCCGCCTCCCAAGGCCGCCGCGCCTCCAGCAAAGGCCAAGCATCCCGCCGGCGACCGTTCGCACATCCCGGCTCATGCTCAGCGTTTAGTTGACGTTCTGAGCCAAGACATGCAGCGCGTTGCGGCCAAGGCGCCTGCCACCTTTGCTGCCCAGGTCAACGACACGCAAAAGCGACTGAATCTGTTATTTGATCATCTCAACAACGAAGAGCTCGTTCAGCCGGCCACTATTGACCAGCTCACACAATTGGCAGACTCTATTCAAGCAAAGGACTATGCCGCGGCGCAGAAGCTGCAAGTTGAGATTCAGAGAGACAAAACTGAAGAGTGCGGCAACTGGATGGTATGTATGCCCGGTAGCAGAACATCATGGAGTGTGTACTAACTGTTGATAGGTCGGTGTCAAGCGTCTCATTAGCATGAGCAAGGCTACTCCCTAGTAAGATTGAATAATATGTGGTTGGCATTCGGTAGTAGCTATTATGAGTGGATTGCCTGGACAAGTGGAAGCTGCGCTTGAAAATTTCAGTCAATGTGGCAAAATGCGATTGGAGGCATAGTCATGGGGATAGATGAAATATATTTCGCCATTCTAGAATGGTATTGCTATGTTCAAGTATTCCAAACGTAGCCAACCTTGTCCGGCTCTTGGTTTGTTGTAAAATAAAAGTATAGATTTTGCTCACACGGGTCACAGCGTAGCAGAAGCCGTGTAGAAACTCGATTAGCTCTGATATCTGTACAGTTGGGAGCTCGAGTTGTATGTTCGAGGTCTCAAGTATGTGATTCTGGTAAGCTACTACGGAGTAACATGCCTGCTGTTTGACAGCCCTTGTCTCGCAGAACGTGAGCGCACCTAGCAAAAAGAGTGAGCCCGCCGAGCAATTCACATCAGAAGGGCCAGGATGGGCGTGCGCCTGTCGAATTCGGGGCACATGGAATGATGCGCTTTTAGTGCAATATAGGCTTTACGAGAAATCTCAGGGCCGTGTCAGACGCGTTCACCCTGGGGATTGATTGCTCGGCATTATTTTGCTAAGCACACGTGCAGGGAGTATTTGCGAGTACTTCATTTGGGCTTAGCACGAAGAAAATTACATTATCTACGACAAGACAGGCGAGAAAGGTCTTCGGGATTCGATGCGACAAAGGCGGTGGCAATAGAGCCTGTGTGATGCTCTCGGCGGGTTCGAAGCAGACGGATCCTCAAACCAACGTGTGCACCTCCAGGCCGCAAAAAACTTCTCACCCAGCAGAAACATGCACAAAGAATGTAGGCGATATGGTTTGCCTCAACCTCACCGACCGACGGTCTCGGAAAAGAGGGGTGGAATATAAAGCCTTTGGCAACCACGCGGCTCAGGTAGTCTTTCGACAACCGAACAGCGCAGCGGTAGTCTTTCTTGGACCTGTCGATAGGACATTGACACCATAACAAGTTGATGGCTCCGTAGGGTTATCGAGCTGCACAGCAATCAACCTTGGACTCCCGTAGAAGCAAGGGACTGCCGGGCACAGATCCGTGGTTGAGAAGAAGAAGAAAAAGATGTGAAGCAAAGAAATTTTGGGCCTTGATAAAGGTGCTTGGGAACTTTTTTGTGGGTCCGGTCACGTGGAAGGTAGAACGCATTGGTTGGCCGGCTTCTGTGAGGTTGATGTCCCGGACCCAGATCCCTCCAATTGTCAGACCTTGAACTTTGTTCGGAGTAGCTTTGTATCAGATGGTTGCTCTGCGCCACTGTCATAAGTTGATTGTTGCGGTTCAGCTGCGTTTATAATTCGTTTTTCACACAGCTGCATCAGAAAATTGATACCATGGACGCCGCCACGATCGAAGAAACCAACCGCATCAGGGTGTCATTGGGCATGAAGCCTTTGCCTGTCCCAGGTGCTGCCATACAATCCGACCCATCTTCCAGATCCAGGGACGAGGAGGCAGCAAGCACGCTCGAAAGTCGACAAGCTGAGTCGTATGAAAACTATAAGAAGCACCAAGAGGCGGCGGCTGCAAAAAAGAAGCGTGAAGACAGAGCAGCCGCCATTCGAAAGGCTCGCGATGAAGCTCAGCGCCTCGCAGTCATGGAAGGCAAGGGCCTCGGCGAGGAGGACGCCAAGAAGGGCGATGTCGACGCCAAGGCATGGCTGATGGGTCAGAAGAAGAGACAAAAGAAGATTGACAAGGCGAGAAAACTAGAGGCAGAGCTTGCTGCAGCCGAAGCCGAAGCAGCTGCCGCTGTTCAGTACACTTCCAAGGATCTTGCTGGTATCAAAGTCGCACACGATACATCCGATTTCCTCGGTGGGGAAGATCAGGTTCTCACGCTAAAAGATACCACGATTGAAGAGAATGAGGAAGAAGGCGACGAGCTCGAGAATCTGGGGGTGCGTGAGCAGGAAAAGCTAGGCGAGAGGCTCGATCTCAAGAAGAGGAGACCGGGATACGACCCTAATGACGACGAGGAAGGCCAGGGTGGAATCCTGGCTCAGTACGACGACGAGATTTACGGAAAGAAGGGCAAGAAATTCACGCTCGACGGAAGTGGGACAATTGCAGAGCTCGCTGATATCCTTGGCCAGCCAGCCCCGAAGGCAGGTAAAGCCACCATCAGCCTTGACGACATTATTGGCGATGCGCCCATGTCTTCCGACTACCTCGCCCCTTCAGAAATCAAAGTAAAGAAGCCCAAGAAGAAGAAATCCAAGGGCACGAGACAAAAGCAATACGACGATGACGATATTTTCCCTCTTGAAACCCAACAAGACAGCAATGCCATGGATGTGGACACCAAAGAGAGCAACAGCAAGAAGCGAAAAGCTGAATCGGATACATTTGTAGACGATGACGACCTTCAGGCCTCATTAGCACTGCAAAGAAAGAGCGCTCTGAAAAAGAGAAAGAAGGCTAGACCGGAGGACATTGCAAAGCAGCTCAAAGAGGAAGATGACGAGGCAGAGCAGCAGACAAACGGCACCGGCGAAAGCACGGGCCTAGTCATTGGAGAGATTTCAGAATTCGTGTCTGGCTTGAGCAAACGAGACGACGAGGAAGAGAAGAAGCCAAGACGGCACAAAACTCAAACCCAAAGTCCAGGTCTGCCAGAGGACCACCCTATGGAGAATGGCGAGCACGAAGAGCAACCTGCAATCAAGGAGGAATCCGCACCGCCCCAAGCACCAGAAGAAGAAACGGGCGTCGAGGAAGAAAAGGCCATTGGCGCCGGCATGGGCGTGGCCCTTTCCCTCCTCCGCGAGCGCGGGCTCATCGAGGAATCCCGCGACTCCGACTACGAGGCCTTACGCGCTCGAGAGGAGTTCCTCGCCCGCAAACGCATCCTCGAGGAAGAGCTCGACGAGCAGACGCGGCAGCAGCGCGAGCGTGACCGGGCCTCGGGACGCCTAGACCGCATGACGGTCCGCGAGCGCGAAGACTGGGCCCGCCAGCAAAACATGTGGCGAGACCAACAGCAGTCCCGGCGCATGGCGGAGCTGTTTTCCGATACCTACAAGCCCAACGTCGAGCTCAAGTACACGGACGAGCACGGCCGCTCGCTCGACCAAAAGGAGGCCTTCAAGCACCTGAGTCACCAGTTCCACGGAAAGGGCAGCGGAAAGGGCAAGACGGAGAAGCGCCTCAAAAAGATTGAGGATGAGAAGAGACGAGAGGCTCAGAGTCTGTTCGACGCCGGCAGGGACGGCGGCATGAGCGCCGCCACGGCGCAGCAGCTGAAGAAGAGACGGGAGGCAGGCGTACGACTTGGCTGAACTTTGACTTATTGTATAACAGGCACGACTTCCTCTCTTTTTTTTAATGCAAATCCTACGGGAATCCAGGGGAGAGAGAAATAGAATACCAAAAGGTGCTGATACCCTTACCTTTTTTTTTCTTTCCTCAATTTGCGCTTGCGTTCGTGCTGACACGTGCTGATTAGAACGATGAGGTATGTATCTTGGTGTTGTGATGCATTTGCCACAATGTGCCTGTTGCTCGTAGAGTGTAGAGTGCTTGTGACTTTGTAGCTTGAGACATGTCGGCAGGTTACTCTCGACCCGTCCCTGGCTAAGACGGGGCTTGCCTGCAACTTTGTAGCTCTTATTATTGCTTGTCGATTGAGCGGGCTGTTGAGGGGAGTCCCAAGCTGCGATGACTTCATCAAGGGCTGCATTTCCCTTGCGCTCCTCATCTAGTTGCAAACCTGCGAGACATTCAAAAGAGGACAGTTTATGGTACCATTATTGTAGCACTAAGTGTATTTGAATTCGCATACGCCTGCATGTAGAGCAAACCCTCCGTGTATCCTGTATAATAAAAAAAAAACCGTTAGACCGCCATTCTTAAAACCAAAAGGTTGCCATGTACCTAATCCCAACCCAACCCCAACGCCCACAAGTCATTCACAAAGAAACCCTCGCACCAATTGCCTTGCCTACATAATGAACCGTCTCGAACCAATATCCCACCCTGACCGTAACGTCCGCCACCGCATCCAACTTCAACTTCCCACCTAGGGCTTTCTTAAGCTTATCAAGGCCCATATGGTCCGCCGACCATTCAACTGGTAATCGTGGAGTTTGCGAGACACCCGGCGAAACGTCGAATGGCTCGTCGCGTATAATTTGGCCAATCGGCTCAGTGTGATTGTAAAAAGCTGTAGCGTTGATGTACTCTATAGAAACTGTGTCGTAGCGCAGTGGTGAGGCAAGCATAAATGTTGCAGTGGATGAAAGAATGTGAAACGTGGCGTCCCGAATAAAGCCTTGGCCTTCCGTGTCCTCATCACCCGGCAGTTCTAGCCGGGGTGTTGATAACGTCAAGTTGATCTTGGACAGTGCTTCGCCGATGATTGGCACCGTCGGAATTGTGCCGTTATGTGTCCGCAGCGTAATCGTTGTATTCTCTCCCGACAGGTACTCCGATAGCAGACGACGAGCTGCTTTGTGGGCTTTCTTTCCGCCAAACGAGGGAGGATCCCATGTTGCCTCCACTATAATGTTTGTATTCACACCAGATTTAAAATGCAAGTTCTTCGTAATAGCTTCGCCGATCAACAAATTGTCTTCAAGAATATGAATGCTGACATATGGTATTGATGCTGTATATGGTGTAGGGTTCGTAACAGTGACTGATGCTTGTATATGCACGCCTGTACTAGAAGTATTGAGGATATGCACCTCCCCGACCTGCGGGTTCAAGGCCGCGAGCGTGTCCCCAGGCACGTCTGCAGCGCGTTAGCCAGGGGACAGTCGAGCGCTTTTCATGTGCTTGACATAAAACTGGACGCAAGGAAACATGGTGCTCTCGCCTGGATCGCAATCTACCATGTGGATGACGGACGTTTTACAGGAACTTTGCCCGCTGCGGGCACCCTTCTTATGACAAGGTTGCCAAGGACTGTCGACACCTTGACATCCACGGTGGAATTAACGTCGAGGATGATATCTTCGTCGCCAAATAGAAGTTCTTGTATAATGTTTGAGAATGTGTCGCTGTCGGTAATGTCGATGGGAGTGTCGACGATTCTCGAGACGACCTTGAGTAAATCCTCTCCGTCGCCAGGGTTTCGAATCATGTTGGAAGTGGCTTTCTGCCATTCATCAACGTGCAGCTCTCCAAACTTTGTGCCCTTGTACAGGAGGTCGCCGTTGGCACGAAGGCTGGTCACTTCAATGTTAATGTCCAGGTCAGCAGGTATGGCAGCAAGGATCACCACCGTGCCAGATACCCGTGGTTTGCTGTCCGCGTCGCTTGGGTCGGCAAATGGACTGGGCAATTTAAAGTCGACGTCGTCAAGTGAAAAGTTGCGTAGGAAGTTATCCAATGAGCGTCCCGGGAATTGCACGGGAACAGTGATGCTTTCAATGAACTCGCCAATCCATCCCGGGAGGTCACCACCCTCAGGTGCTTTTCCGCGGACAAACACCTCTGCATCCTCTCCATGCAGATAACGCTTCATGAAGTTGTCCAGTGGTGAAAACTCACTTGGGGTGCATGCCTTGGTGAGAGACTCTGGGAGCTCCCGGATAATGCCCTCTGCTTCCACAGTAACATTCGACTTGGCGTGCACATCAATGGCACTGGTCGCGGCGGTTGCAATCTTGATGTTGGGCTGAGACAAGTTGCAGTTTGGGACAAGGACTTCGAATCCAAGGGATGGGATGGTTAAATCGATCGGAAATTCGTTGTAGGCTGTCATGGATACGTTTGCGCCAACTCCCATCTGGCCATTGTCACCAGTGGGAACGTCATGGAAAAGGAGACTCTGCATGGTATACTCGGGCATGGACGGAAGCTCATTGGCTGCGAAAGCGTTAGCCCAGAATGCATGGAATCAGTAGTATATTGGGCATTATTTAATGGTCTTTTGACCAAAATACAGGGAAGCAAAGGCGCGGTAGAGAGATTGACCTTCAAATACCATAGATTCTGAAACGTCATGGGTTCCCAGAGGGAAGATGCCCGATTTCAAGCTGAGTGCAGTGGCTCCCGTAACCTGCAGTGTCTCGAGGTTTCCCTTGAGCCACTCGTTGACCACCTTTCGCATCGTGTCCGTGTCGCCGGGGGCAATTTCGGTGACAAAATCCAAGTTTGTGACTTGGCCATCTACAAGGTTGAGTGTGATGGGCGGCAGGTCGGCAGTACCGACAAGGGCATTGCCGTAGTGAGGCAAATGCACGCGCAGTTTGGTCGAGGCAGTACCAAGCTGTCTCATAATTCCTGTGGCAAGTCTCCCAACACGACGCGCATTCTCATCTTTGACTCTTGACCCGTCAAGTTGGAACGTGCCCTTTACACGAGCACGAACCCCATTCGCCGTCAACGATTCAATTGACAGGTCTGTTGGCTCCAACACGACTGCACTCTCAACGTACTGCTGGACGGCCGGCGGCACTACAAAGCCGAGGACCATAACCACTATAACTAACGAGGCCAAGATGACCATGGCAATAAGAGACGGCCATCTTCGTTTCCGATGCGGCGCCTCGCCTTTATGTGGAGAATCTGGTGAGATGTCATGGTGGTGTTCGTGGTCGCCATCTGTAGCAGAGTCTCTTCGATTTCCTAAGAGAGGCGACGACTCATTTCTTGCATCTGCTTCAGTCTCATTTTCCTGCTCATTCGTCGTCGCGAGCAGCGGGGATCTTTCGTCGGCGTAAGCGGCCATGATGACGTTGCTCAAGTTTCTCAGGTTTGGAGGGGCATCGCCAGCAACAAGTGCCGGGGGTGGATCGGGTAGGAGGGGCTGGAGGGAGGAGAAAATATTAATAGGAACTCGGAATTAGGGTGTTTGATGTTTGAGAAGCCAGAAAGGAAGGCTGATAGGATAAGAGAATTGAGGAGAGGATGATGATGATGGTGTAGATGGTGTAGATGGGAGGATTACTTGATGAGAACAACGCGAAGGACGTCAGTCAAAGGTCATGCCCGGCATCGGGTTGGTAAGGTTTGGTCTGGGTCCAGATGTCACAAACCTTGGGGGGTCGCAACAAGCAAGGAACCAGGGCTGACCCATACGGATGACGAGGAAATATTTTTAATTGGCTATGCACGGAGTCAGGCACCACGCATTAGGACTAGCCCGCTTTTTGCCCGTCGCAATGAGGGGCCGGTTAAGTGCGGTGCCTTGTCGTGCATGCCGTATTGGTGCACATGTGTACATGTACCCCAGGCTAAAGCCAAGTCCACTAGCCATACCCTAGAGCAGCTTCGTTCCCAACCAGACAGAGGTTGTGTCAAGTGTAATTTTTCTTGATGTTCTTTGTGAAGCTACAAGCTTAGTGATGAAGATATAACACATTCTGTATCAATACGGGAGAGAAATACTGACACCAATTTTCAATGGCGTTTTTGCTTCGCCCAGTGCTGGACGCCTTGAATTTTCCAGCTGGATACGAGCATGTGGCTTCTTTCATTTCGGCAGCTCGGTATTACTCCAGTCCCCTTCCAGTAATATTCAGAGCGAAAGAAGCAACGTCAAAAAGTGGAGCACAGTCCCGGCACTGTACCACTGCTCCGCCAACGGCGAACACCAATGGGACAATGACTCCATCCAGTCATTGATACCCATCCAGTCATTGATACCCATCCAGCTCATAAAATCCGAAGACGTCGTGATGCATAAGTATTAAGTGAGATAGCAATTGCATCGCTTGCAGCACCATCCTGGCCTGTCGCTCCCCCTCACTCTTCCACACTCACTCACACGCCCATTCCCATCCAACTCAAAGACACATTTCGCCATGAAACCATCAACATTACGCACAGCTCGTCTCGCCCTCAACGGCCTGCAAAAACGGGCATATTCTCAATCCTCAGGACCCAGGCATCTCATGTCAATCGCCGATCTGACACCCGCTGAATTCTCATCCATAGTTCGCAATGCTGCTGTGCGCAAGCAGGCCGTCAAGGCCGGTCAAACGCCGCCCTCGCTGAGCACTTCGTTGTCGGGCCAGACTATTGCCATGATGTTTAGCAAGAGGAGTACGAGGACGCGTGTGTCTACCGAGGCGGCGGTGACGATGCTTGGTGGACATCCCATGTTCTTGGGCAAGGATGATATTCAGCTCGGTGTATGCTTGAACCCCAAACTCCCACACTTGCCATGGTTGCTGACCGCGTGTTAGGTTAATGAGAGCCTGTACGACACTTCAGTCGTCATCTCGTCAATGACGTCCTGCATGGTCGCCCGTGTTGGGCCTCACTCCGACGTTGCCAATCTCGCTAAGCACTCCAGCGTGCCCGTCATCAACGCCCTGTCCGAGGATTTCCACCCCCTCCAGACCATTGCCGACTTTCTCACGATCCACGAGGCCTTTCCTTCTTCAAAACCCTCTGGGCCTGGCCTGGGTCTCAATGGCTTGAAGGTCGCCTGGGTGGGAGACTCTAACAATGTTCTGTTTGATCTGGCTATTGGCTGCGTCAAGATGGGCGTTGATATCGCAGTTGCATCCCCTGCTGGCTATGGAATTCCCGATAAGATGAGGCAGCTCATCATCTCTTCGGCCGAAGGGGTCAGCTCACCTGGCAAACTCTCGGAGACTATGGTCCCCGAGGAAGCCATCAAGGGTGCGGATGTGTTGGTCACGGATACGTGGATCTCCATGGGCCAAGAGAGTGAGCAGCAGAAGAGACTAAATTCGTTTGCAGGATATCAAATCACGAATGACTTGGCCAAGAGGGGCGGCGCTAAAGAGGGCTGGAAGTTTATGCACTGCTTGCCTCGACATCCCGAGGAGGTTGCAGATGAAGTCTTCTACAGTCCTAGGTCTCTCGTCTTTCCCGAGGCAGAGAATCGGTTGTGGGCTGCTGTTGGTACGTGATTCGAGTTCATGTTCATTGGAGAAGAGAACTAACAGGTGAATAGCTGCGCTCGAGGGCTTCGTTGTCAACAAGGGCAGCCTGTTACAGTGAGGGAAGGAACTAGTAATTGAGCTACCGGTATTTGATTTAACTCTTCAACAATGGATTTGGGCGCACAAAAGCCAAGTAGCGTAGGCAGCCGTTGAATTTAAATAAACCAACAATATAAACAACTATACACAAGGCTCCCATTCCTTCAGACGCCGAGTGGTCAACGACCCCCCCATAGGATGCTTGACCTTGAAGAAAAAAAATTTAACCAGGGGGGAGCTGGCTGGCGTCAACTACCTCCTCGGCTTCCTTGACTAGAGGTTCCTCAGCAGGGCCACGGAGAGGAGAACGAGGCAGAGCCATCAGACCGGTACGGGCCGACTCGAGGATACCAAAGGGAGCAATGAGCTTGAGAAAAGAGTCGATTCGAGTGGGCTTAGCGGAGCTGTAATTACCACGTTAGTGTCCAGTTGCGAATGCATCACGCCACGGTTCATGTGAACTTACAGCTCGACAATGCAGCTAATGGTGCTGATGTCCAAAACCTTGCCACCAAACTGATGAGTAAAATAGGTGATAGTCTTCAAGTGCTCATGCTTGTGACGCAAAGCCTCACTGGCTGCCAGCTTGCTAGGGTGGAAGTCGGCTGACGTCTCTTCCAAAGACTGAGCTTGTTCAGCACCTTCGGGAGTATGTTCGCGGTCGTATTCGCCGGCCGTTATCTCACGATGGTGAGAGAGCAGTTCTTCAAAGTACTCGGGGCCCAGGATGTTGATCTTGGCCAAGAGCAGCTCACGCTGAACAAGAGCAGCATTGCTGTAATCAAGCACGGCCCAGACGGGGACAAGATCCTCCAGCTGTCGACGAGCTTGCTCGACAACGCCGTCTTGGCCAGTCAGGACAATGGTCATCCGAGACAGGTCCTCCACCTCGGTGTTGCACACGACTAGCGAGTCGATATTGAACCCACGAGCTGCCAGAATACCAGAAAGACGAGAGAGGACACCAGGCTCGTTCTGGACCAGGCAATTGAGGATATGGCGCTTCGGCGGGGCCATGGACGGCGTGGGCGTTTCGTAGAGGATGTTGGAAACGGCGGCTTGGGCGGACCATGCTGGCGGGGCGTTGGTCACGGGCAAGGGGGCAGAGCGATTTCGAAGAGCCTTGTAGGCAATGGCAGAGGTTGAGCTGCTGTGGGAGGAGTTGTATCGCACGAAGCTGAGGGTTGAGGATTTGGTCGCCCAGCGCAGGGGAGCGGCGCACGACCGGAGGGAGGCCATCTTGGTTGCTTTTCAGACAGGGGATGGCCAATGGCTTTCCCTTTTGTGAAAATACAAGATGTTTCTCTCAGGAATCGTTTGCACGTCGGAGGGGACGGCAGGATACGATGCAGGAGAAGATTGCAGTCGTGAGTCAAAAGCTATCACGGTCCTCCGAAAGACCGGAGGTGAAGGACTGGGGTATGGGGGAAGCTGATTGGCGGAGATACAGTGCGAAAATGGCTGGCACACCTCCACAACCCGGGGAACATGCATTCGGTGGAATTTATTACAAAGTACATACTCATGGCAGAATATTTGCTTTTTGAGAAGAATACACAAATAGTATACTGGAGTACATACCTGGCAGTACATCTCACAGTAGCCAGACATCTGGGCTGCAAATGCGCCTGGAATCGACAGGTAGGTCGGCTGCTACATGACTTCAAGAGCTGACTCGGCCTGGAGATGGGATTGAGCCTCAGACCGATTGGTTTCTAACTGAGATGGACAACTGCTGTGTTTTAAACAAAAACCCGTACAGCTGATGGGGCAAGCCGCGAATCAATTCATCCCAATCGTGTTTCTCAACATCCAAGGCTGGAACATGAGTTACATGACGCCAAACCGTTCCGAGCCAAGACTTGTTCTAATTCTAACACGACACCACGGCTGCGGCTCTAATGTTCCCCAGGATTCTGAAATTGAGTGTAGAGGTGTGTTTTTGAATGTAGTATTCGTTGAACATGGATTAATCGGAATATGAACCAATGATTTGGCCAAATGTCGTACTGAGCACTTGCACACTCTTAACTCTCCCTGAACATGCACTGCGCCACCTGCACAGTCTGCACAGCCCTTGCACCAAATTGTGCCGTCTGGTAACAGGTGTCCGCCCTACCGCCTTAGGTAAGTACCACGTTCAGGCGCTGCCGCCGCCAATCGTGTCTCGTTAATGTTGGTCCCATGTACAATTTTCTGCCGTGCCGAGAGCAGCGCCTCAACCTCAGCATCGCGACCAACCTGCAAGTTGGTTTGCGCCCGACTTGTGCATGCACCTGACATTGCTACAGTCGAGCGACGACCACGCGAGTATCTTATTTTGCATCAAGGGCCAATCGACGCCTTCCGAAGTGTTGTCCTGATTCGCATACATACGTCCGCGCTCTGTCTGTGAAAAGACGGCCCATTTCCCAATCAACTTTGAGCGCCTCGTTCGAGTCGCCCATCCTTAGCTTCCACCATGGAGGATTCCGAACGGCGAACAGCCAAGAGGTCCCGGTTTGACCAAACAGAACCTGAGCCAAAGAGGGCCTCGAGATTCGACCGCCGCTCGCGCTCTCCACCAAGCCGTCGACCCGAAGGCAGAGATCGCAGCCCCCTCGGTCACGATAGTTCGTCGGACGCAAAAGGGTCACCAGTTGATGCAGCAGCGGCAGCCGGTATGTTATAACCCCCTTGCATTTCAAGGTTGAATATCGCGAATAGCTCACAGCCTTCCTGGAACCAACCCGGGTGCTAATGACCTTTGCAGCTGCCGCCGCCGCTCGAATCAATGCCTCGCTCCAAGCTCGAAAGGGCATTCAACATGTCGATGTACCGCCAATCCAGTCCGCCGATGCTAACGATGGGCAGTCGGGACAAGCAAAGCCGCATTCTGTTAGCAAGGAAATGTACACCGCTGATGGCGACTACATTCAAGACATCGAGGTCAATGACCTGCGAAATCGCTACTTAGTCACCAAGAGTTCTACACAGAAAAAGGTAAATATTTACTTGCTTTTTTTCACATATCTTTTCTTCTTCTTCAGATTTACCAACTGCTGGCGAACTCCCGTTCACCTGGGACGCCGATTTGCATTAGGGATATCCTGCTTACACCTGGCATGGTAGCTCGCCAGTAACCCCCTCGTCTTTTCTCCTACTGACTCCCGCTTGATTATAGATTGGTGAAGAAACCGGAGCTGGTACGAATCGCCTCTCACTTAAACTTGCTTTTCGTTGGACATAGGTTGACCTTTACAAGATATTACTACTCGGGGCAATTACTACCCTAATAAGGCCATGTCCACCGCTGCTGTAAGTTTTTGTAATGTCAAATGGTGTCGTGGGAGCGCGACCGCCAACATGTGTATTTAGAACCCACCGCTCTACCTTCACATTACCAGCACTACCAAATCAGGCCTCGAGGCCGCTGTTGCCAAGATCAACGAACTCATCAAGCAAGAACTGCCGCAACTGGTTGATGAACGACGATTCCGCCGACGAGACCAGGAGCAGCCGGAACCTGAGCGTGAACGGGAGCGTGAGCATGGAGGACGAGTAAGCATCGTGCCAGCAATCCCACCGCAGTCGTGGTTTGCTTCTTGGCCACTAACACTTGTATAGCGGAAATGGCCCGAAGAGAGGATCCCCATTGATCTCGAGCCGATTCCAGGGTTCAACTTGAGGGCGCAAATCGTTGGCCACGGCGGGTCATATGTGAAGCACATCCAGCAGGAAACGGGGTGCCGTGTACAGATCAAAGGCCGTGGATCTGGCTATCTCGAGGGTGCTACCAATCGAGAGAGTGACGAAGACATGTACTTGCACGTTGCGTATGTACAGGCTACTTTCTTATCAAGTGATGCATGCATGTTGTTGCTAACCAGCCACAGTGGCCCCGATGCCGGCATGGTTGAAAAAGCCAAGGAACTTTGCGAAGACCTGGTTGCCAATGTCAAGGAGCAATATGACGAGTTCAAGTCCCGACCGCCCCGTTACAATGACCGAGGTGGCCAACATGGAGGGGACCGGTACCGAGGAGGAAACGACCGTCATCACGACCGAGGCAACCAATCGTATGGGGGATATGGCCAGGACCGATATGGCCAGGACCAGAATGCCTCGACCAACAGTCCAGCTCACGGTGCTAACAGCCCGGCAACAAATGCAGCCGACTATGCCGCTCAATACGCTCAGTACTACGGCGGTGCCGATCCATATGCTGCATATGGCGGCTACGCCAAGTAAGTTCCCACGTCCCAAGAAATCGGGAATTGACAAATTGACCATGATAGCTATGTTGCCCTGTATCAACAATACTACGGAGCTCAAGCAACCCAAGCCCAAGCAGCCGGTGCTCCAGGTCAAGCCGTGGCCTCAACATCGGCATCACCACCTCCTCCGCCGCCGAGCGAAGCAGCTCCTCCTCCTCCACCGCCACCCAGTGCCGCCCCTCCTCCTCCGCCGCCATCAGGATCGCCACCAGGTGGCAGCTACAGCGCTGTAAGTCGTGCCCATGTTGATTACAAAAGGCATTAACGCCCGTTGACGATTCCTAGGTCCCCCCTCCACCAGGACTATGAAAATATTCCAACGATGTAGTGTATGGATAAACTTGTTGCTGCTAGGGAAAAACACTCGTATTTTTTTTTTGGGAGGGTTGCGAACCCGTTCAGAATTGCTGATATGCCTACTAGTAGTTCTTTTTGACTGTGGCGTCGCGCTGGACAATTTGGGGCTTTTGAGAAGACGAAGACGTAGTGAATTGACAAATGTGAGTGCAACGTGCTGGACTACATATTGACCGCCGTGTGGACAGATGTAGACGATGTAGGCACGTACGTACAGGTGCGCTGCACGTGCATCAATTGCAGCGCCCCCAGCGAGGCGAGGCGAGGCGAGAAACCGTAGCAGCTATTTGAATAACAAGAGATTCATATATTCGTGTATAAAAAAGATGGGACTTTGTGAAGTCATGGAACAATCGTACTGTTGTCAATTCCCCATGTCCATCATCACACGTGTTTGCCCAGCCATGCAAAAATGACGTCGCCAGCCCCCGTTCTATCGATAAGCAGCGCGTCCCACCATCAAGCTCGAGCTTCGCCAACTTGCTTCAACACCACAACGGCCAAAATCATCACAGCGGCACCAATCGGGCACAATGAGCCACCAGCGATACCCATCCCACGACCCCGTCAAGGAGCCGCACTCCGTCTCCGTCAAAGTCCTCCGGTACGGCCCCTTCTCCTGTTTCATTCATCCCCGCCGGCGCAACCGCTAAAAAAAAACGCATCTAGACTGTCACGACCGGCCCTCGTACCGCAGTATCCGAGCTCCCCGCTCCCCGCTACAAAGGAGGCCTTCCTCCCGTCTAGCCTGTCCTACAAAACGCCGTCTACGAACCCGGCACCCTTCCTGCTCAGCCCGATCCTCAACCTCCCCGTGTCCTTTGGGTCAGCGTACGTCGGCGAGACGTTTAGCTGCACGCTCTGCGCGAACAATGACCTCACGACGACATCCTCGTCCTCGTCGTCGCCATCACCGTCGCCGCCGCCGGCCAAGCATATCCGCGACGTGCGCATCGACGCCGAGATGAAGACGCCCGGCCCCGGCCCCGCGCACAGGCTGCCCCTGGCCAGCGGCGCGCCGGCGGACCTGGCCGCGGGCGAGACCCTGCAGAGGGTGGTGTCGTTTGACCTCAAGGAGGAGGGGAACCATGTGCTCGCCGTGACGGTGAGCTACTACGAGGCCAGCGAGACGAGCGGGCGCACGAGGACGTTCCGCAAGCTGTACCAGTTCATGTGCAAGGCTGGCCTGGTGGTGCGCACAAAGGTAGGGCTGCTGGGGGGCGGCAGCAGCAGCAGCAGCAGGAAGAGGTGGGTGCTGGAGGCGCAGCTGGAGAATTGCAGCCAGGACGTGATGCAGCTGGAGGAGGTGGGCATGGAGGCGGAGCGAGGCCTGCGGTGCGAGGGGTGCAACTGGGCCGAGGGGGAGAGGCCGGTCCTGCACCCGGGCGAGGTGGAACAGGTGTGTTTTGTGGTGGTGGAGGAGGACGAGGAGGACGAGGACGAGGACGGGAGCGGCGCGGATGGCGATGCGGATGGGAGGGTTGTTTTTGGTGTTTTGGGCATCGGCTGGAGGGGTGAGATGGGGAACAGGGGGTTTTTGTCGACAGGGAAGCTGGGAACGAGGGTTGGGTGATGGGGAAGGACATGGCTGGGCTGGGATTATTGGTTTCAAGAGAACAGAAAAATAGGGGGGGGAGCATTGGGTTTCAACGCAGGTTTTCGTCCATCATGGATGGAGTTTGGGTGCTCTGGAGCGATGGTGTTTTCGGCATGTGCTTGTGCCTGGCGATCCAGACCTGACGCAAGGGACGGCAAGGACAGGCTTTGTGATTGCTCCGGAGAGCATCAATTCCGGCGCGTCATCAGGTGCTTTGATTTAATGAAGCATGACGTTGAACACCTGGGAAGAGTGTTATAAAAAGAAACGCGGCCCGGCATCGAAACGGGCTCGACGGGGATGGTAACTCCTACAGGCATCTCGTGATGTCGGCATCTTCCGACACGGGCTACGGCAAATCTAGAATATGCAGAAAAACCCCGAAATGTCAAGATTCGCGGGCCTTTAATTATAGACGCCCGCCCGTCTGTGCGGTTGTTTGGTGATGCCCGTGCAAACAAGGTACAGGTGCCAAGCCTTCATCACGATACATGTCACGAGCGGAGCTGCATATGGTATGTATGCACATGCACCCTACTTAAAACACGTCGGGGAAGAAGGGTGGAAAAGAAAAGAATAGACAGGGGTAGAAGAATAGTGAGAGGCAGAGGAAAAAGAAACGCCATCCGTCATCGATTATGCGCTCTCGCTGCGCTGTACATAGCACTACTACTACCAGGAGACGGTATTTCGGCCTGAAGCCTGAACCGCAAAGAAGCAAATCTGAGCGCCGGTCAACCACAAAGTCAAAAGAGTTTGCTTTTTTTTCGTGTGTGTTCAACAGTCCCAGTCATGCCAGACATGCATCAGGCATACCTTGACCTTGTGCCCAAAAGCAACTGAAGCAAGTGAACAGAGTAGGAAGCATGAAACCTGCCTCACATTGACCGGTTTCCTGGATGGGCCTGAAGCTTCTTCTTGTGCCACCCCTTTTGGTCACAACAGTGTCTGAGTCAAGAACTGGAATTGGGATCAGGCAGGCCATGTTGGGAAATAGTTCATGATTGCAAGAGGTCTGGTTGGTTCGTGTCACATGCGTGCCTTATCAACAAGGGGCACGGAGTATGCAGGGCAACCACAAGTCCCAGGTTGTAGGTCGTACCGAGTATACACTGCAACCTTGAGATACGTACTTGATATAGTTCCAACGTGGCATGGAATCGGTCGTCAGTGCAAGCTGAAAGTCGTCCGCGCGTTTGATGGCCACGACCAGCTTGCTAACGTACGAATCGACCTAGAATTTGGGCAAGATGCCAAAACGGGTCTGTGTGAACGGTGAGTTGCAATCATGCCTCACCATCGCATGGCTCAGCTGTACTAGTTCCTGGTCGTCAATACTAGCAGTTTAGCTCGGTTCGTGTCTCTCTTTCCACCGAAGCGTGCTATGACAAGCCAAGTGACGGGGAGGGAGGGAGGGGAGGGCGGGTAGAAAAGCCTAGAAAAGGCATTGTATACCGTTTGATTCGTCCCGGCCATGTTTTTCTTTGTTTTAGCTTTTTGTCTCTTCCTCAGCTCCTGTCTTTGCCAGACGTCTCGGCTGGTAGCTGGAGACTTTCTCCAGAAAAGAGAGCGAGCTGGGACAGACACGGCCACAAAAGCACCGGGAGAGAGTGACGACGTAGTATTTTGTTGGCCCAAGGCCACACTCGATAGGGTTCATGTACTCCGTACTCCGTACACATGCAGCAAATGCATCGGACGAATAATGACACCCATCGCTAATGGCTCATATTTGTCTTCGCAAGCGAATCTGTCGCGTCAGACGAGATCGCCAGGATGTTGTGCGATGCCAATAGTACCGGAAGTTAGTACCCCGGCTCGACCCCTTGCAGGTGGCGCCCCGTCGTTGTTTGGACTTCTGGTGGAAATGCAGGCCGGAAAACCTTGCAGTAGTACTCCGTACCGGCGGTGGCATGCTCAAGGGCCAAAAGGCTCAGCGAAAGGAACATTGAACAGAAGATATGGGAACCTCAATGTCTGGTAAGCTACTTAATGGAGTATGGAGTATGGCGTATGGAGTATGGATTAGCTCGCTCCTGCTTTGTTGGGCCTGCACATGTGAGTTGAATAGCCTGTGCTTGGGTCGTATTCTCGCTGTCGGGACCACATCAACCTGCCAGCCGTTTTTGCACTTTGTTGTCATTGTACGAGAAGATGAGGACGATGAGTTGATTTCGTTCTGCATGCCCCTGATCGCTGCAGCGCATGGCCCGCCCTGGAGCTCTGTCTGAAAGAACAAGATGCCCAACGGCAGGGAGGGGTACCAGACATGTCAAAATATGATGCGGGTAGTAGCAAGACCTTTTGTTCTACGGCATGCGCCTGTTTGTCCCCGTATGCATGTGAGCGAGCCGTACAATCAAATCGCAATGTTTACTCGGTACGGGACGGGAGCAGTCGAGGGTAGCAACGGATGGTCCCAGGATCTGAACCTTCCCCAACCAACACGGCCTTGTGAGTGTGTTGAAATGAGGGTGTGACGAGCCATTGGATAGTTTCCTGTTGTTCCTCAACAAGGTATTCCGCATTGAAGCGTGATTGTGAAATTCAGGCGCCCCTGTCGATTTGATCGCTGGGCTCTTATACGGAGTACGCAGTGCATCAATCATAAGCCGGGCAAATGGAGAACAAATGTGACGGTGCCTTTCCCACAGGAGTTCTGTTTCAATAATAGTGTGCTATATGTTGCATCCCGTCATACTCCGTGCTCCGTACTCCATATTGGAGCATTCTCTCGGACACATGAGCGACGCGCGAGCGGCCAATGCATGGAAACCACCCTGGTGCAGACAGTCTCACAAGCCATGCTGCCTTGGACAAGATTATTTGCCGCCTCCCTACATGATGTTTGTGATTGTGAAACTGGTCCATGAATGCGATATCGACTGAGAGACTCGTAGAGCCGGATGTTTGTGGAGTGTTGCCGTACGGGGTGGTATACTGTGAATTTTGATTCCCCAACGTCAGTACGGAGTACGGAGTAGTAATTTGCCAATGACGTCTTGGCCAGGCCACGAGATGGGTGCATGGCACATTCTGGCTAGTATCAATGGAACCAATGATGGTCAAACACGGCCATGCGAGAGTGTACGGAGCATGTACGGAGCACGTACACGTAGTGCCAGGCTTGAGACCAAGACCATCAACCAACCTCCCTCTCCACCCGAAGGCGCCACCAACAAGGGGGCCATCTCGACAAGGGTAGCTTGGCGTCGAGTGGCGGTGTCCCATGAATTTGCCCTTCTCCTCTTCGGACGAGCGAGTCGTTGGATGGCGGCGGTAGGACCGCAAAGGCCCTAGGCAGTGCGTATGATCTATGATACCTCTGTCATAGTTAGCCCATCCCAGCGCCGCGGCCGTGTAGGCCATCTGGCGTCTAGCTCTTTGGCTTTGGGTTGCTACCGGTGGCGAGTGGATTCTGTGGCTTCAAGGTTGGTCTGCATTGAAGGGGTCCCTTCCCTCACCCTTTGCCCACTCTCTGCTTTCGGCTCTCGATGTGTAAAGGACTGCGGCAAGGTGTGTCCGTCTGCCTGGCGAATCGACCAAACAGTCCCCCATGCGCCCCTCTTGGAACCACTTTAGATCCGTGTTGCGCTCCTGGTGGGATGCGGCGGTGGAGGGACGCCAGGAGTCGACGGGTTCCTAGTCGTCTTGGCGGAGCATTTTCGTGGGTTTCTGTCGAAGATGGTATTGTTGACTAACAGAGACGGTACGGCGCAGGAACCTTGGAAAACGCACCATGGAGCTGGCTTCAGGGGTCAGACATGGGGCAGAGACATGGGGCAGAGGCCAGTCGTGAGGACGTACTAGTATTGACTAGTACCGGGTCGTCGTTGAGCTCCGTACTGTATGTACATAGTGATATTGTGCCGCGTAGCATTATAATATCGATATGGGCCAGAGAGACTCGACGTTGTTCGAATGTGTCGCTGCTATTGGGCGGCCGACGCCTGTTCAGCTGCCTGGGTAACATTTCGAGCCTCGCAGTGTGAAACATCACGCAACGACGCCTGTATCGGAGCAAGACGAGCGACGAGGTGGCGATCGGCGCCTCGAATAGTCCGGACCAATTCCCCCCAGGGTCTGTCTCGGTTCATTTTAGGCATTGCAGGGTCTCTCTGTTGGGGCGGATGCGCCAGATCAACATGGATATTGGAGAGTCCGATCTTGGAGTCCATCAGAGCTGCACTCTGCTCTGCTGAGCATTGCGCAACCATGCCAGACGCCGTAGATTGTGATAGAGTTTGCCATGCTGCCGCCACGCCTGGCCATTCCGGTCGGTACCTCGAAAACGGTAAAGGGAAAAAGACCGGCTGTTGTTGTTGCTGTCGTCGTCGTCGTCGTTGTCGACTTCTCCTATCTTTCCAACTCGGGCCCAAGTTGCCTTCACCAGACCATCCTTTTCCATCATTCTGGCAGCGTGACGATGCGAGCTCTGCTGCTGTAACCTGTCGTCATCTTTCATTTTCCATCTTGCTGGTTTCTTGGTCCCCCCCCTTTCTCGTATCGCTGCCGTGCTGCCGTCCTGTGTTGCGCCCGTGCGTTTGTGGTTTATGCCATCAGGGCATTTGCTGGAGCGGATTTGAGTTTGCTGGAAAATATACATGCGTACGTCGTCGACCATTGACTGTCAAACAACTTACTTTTCCCCTCTACAGCGGGAGGCCAAATGTATTGAACGAGATCAGGTACCCGGCGATCGCGCTTAATACCATACTATATTATACTATAGTAGTGTATACTTGTCCGGTGGGCAAATATATTCCGCCACGGACTGTAGATCTCACTGACTGACGAACACGTGTCGGACAGGCATCAGCATCACCTCGTCGGTTTGTCGAGGTGTGGGCTCTGTGTTTTTCCTCGCTCCGCTTTACGTCTGGTTTGCCTCTTTCCCACCGCCAAGTCCGTGAGCATTGCTTTGCGCTGTTTCAATCTTCGGCCCCGGCATCTGGACGATCGCAAAGAGGGTCCTT